ACCTGTAAGAGACCGACAGAGTAAATCTGGATAAAATATCATACTAACCTGTAAGAGACCGACAGAGTAAATCTGGATAAAATATCATACTAACCTGTAAGAGACCGACAGAGTAAATCTGGATAAAATATCATATTAACCTGTAAGAGACCGACAGAGTAAATCTGGATAAAATATACTAACCTGTAAGAGACTGACAGAGTAAATCTGAATAAAATATTGCACTCACCTGTAAGAGACCGACAGTAAATCTGGATAGAATATCATACTAACCTGTAAGAGACCGACAGATTAAATCTGGATAAAATATCATACTAACCTGTAAGAGACCGACAGAGTAAATCTGAATAAAATATTGCACTCACCTGTAAGAGACCGACAGAGTAAATCTGGATAAAATATCATACTAACCTGTAAGAGATCGACAGAGTAAATCTGGATAAAATATTACACTCACCTGTAAGAGACCGACAGAGTAAATCTGGATAAAATATCATACTAACCTGTAAGAGACCGACAGAGTAAATCTGGATAAAATATCATGCTAACCTGTAAGAGATCGACAGAGTAAATCTGGATAAAATATCATGCTAACCTGTAAGAGATCGACAGAGTAAATCTGGATAAAATATCATACTAACCTGTAAGAGACCGACAGAGTAAATCTGGATAAAATATCATACTAACCTGTAAGAGACCGACAGAGTAAATCTGGATAAAATATCATATTAACCTGTAAGAGATCGACAGAGTAAATCTGGATAAAATATCATATTAACCTGTAAGAGACCGACAGAGTAAATCTGGATAAAATATACTAACCTGTAAGAGACTGACAGAGTAAATCTGAATAAAATATTGCACTCACCTGTAAGAGACCGACAGTAAATCTGGATAAAATATCATACTAACCTGTAAGAGACCGACAGATTAAATCTGGATAAAATATCATACTAACCTGTAAGAGACCGACAGAGTAAATCTGGATAAAATATCATACTAACCTGTAAGAGACCGACAGAGTAAATCTGAATAAAATATTGCACTCACCTGTAAGAGACCGACAGTAAATCTGGATAAAATATCATACTAACCTGTAAGAGACCGACAGATTAAATCTGGATAAAATATCATACTAACCTGTAAGAGACCGACAGATTAAATCTGGATAAAATATCATACTAACCTGTAAGAGACCGACAGAGTAAATCTGGATAAAATATCATACTAACCTGTAAGAGACCGACAGATTAAATCTGAATAAAATATTGCACTCACCTGTAAGAGACCGACAGAGTAAATCTGGATGAAATATCATACTAACCTGTAAGAGACCGACAGAGTAAATCTGGATAAAATATCATACTAACCTGTAAGAGACCGACAGAGTAAATCTGGATAAAATATCATACTAACCTGTAAGAGACCGACAGAGTAAATCTGGATAAAATATCATACTAACCTGTAAGAGACCGACAGAGTAAATCTGGATAAAATATCATACTAACCTGTAAGAGACCGACAGATTAAATCTGGATAAAATATTACACTCACCTGTAAGAGGCAGACAGAGTAAATCTGGATAAAATATACTAACCTGTAAGAGACTGACAGAGTAAATCTGGATAAAATATCATATTAACCTGTAAGAGACCGACAGAGTAAATCTGGATAAAATATCATACTAACCTGTAAGAGACCGACAGATTAAATCTGGATAAAATATCATACTAACCTGTAAGAGACCGACAGAGTAAATCTGGATAAAATATCATACTAACCTGTAAGAGACCGACAGAGTAAATCTGGATCAAATATCATTCTAACCTGTAAGAGACTGACAGAGTAAATCTGAATAAAATATTGCACTCACCTGTAAGAGACCGACAGAGTAAATCTGGATGAAATATCATACTAACCTATAAGAGACTGACAGATTAAATCTGGATAAAATATCATACTAACCTGTAAGAGACCGACAGAGTAAATCTGGATAAAATATCATATTAACCTGTAAGAGACCGACAGAGTAAATCTGGATGAAATATCATACTAACCTATAAGAGACTGACAGATTAAATCTGGATAAAATATCATACTAACCTGTAAGAGACCGACAGAGTAAATCTGGATAAAATATCATATTAACCTGTAAGAGACCGACAGAGTAAATCTGGATAAAATATCATACTAACCTGTAAGAGACCGACAGAGTAAATCTGGATAAAATATCATACTAACCTGTAAGAGACCGACAGAGTAAATCTGGATAAAATATCATACTAACCTGTAAGAGATCGACAGAGTAAATCTGGATAAAATATTACACTCACCTGCAAGAGACCGACAGAGTAAATCTGGATAAAATATCATACTAACCTGTAAGAGACCGACAGAGTAAATCTAGATAAAATATTACACTCACCTGTAAGAGACCGACAGAGTAAATCTGGATAAAATATCATACTAACCTGTAAGAGACCGACAGAGTAAATCTGGATAAAATATCATACTAACCTGTAAGAGACCGACAGAGTAAATCTGGATAAAATATCATACTAACCTGTAAGAGATTGACAGAGTAAATCTGGATAAAATATCATGCTAACCTGTAAGAGATCGACAGAGTAAATCTGGATAAAATATCATGCTAACCTGTAAGAGATCGACAGAGTAAATCTGGATAAAATATCATACTAACCTGTAAGAGACCGACAGAGTAAATCTGGATAAAATATCATATTAACCTGTAAGAGACCGACAGAGTAAATCTGGATAAAATATCATATTAACCTGTAAGAGACCGACAGAGTAAATCTGGATAAAATATCATACTAACCTGTAAGAGACCGACAGAGTAAATCTGGATAAAATATCATACTAACCTGTAAGAGACCGACAGAGTAAATCTGGATAAAATATCATATTAACCTGTAAGAGACCGACAGAGTAAATCTGGATAAAATATACTAACCTGTAAGAGACTGACAGAGTAAATCTGAATAAAATATTGCACTCACCTGTAAGAGACCGACAGTAAATCTGGATAAAATATCATACTAACCTGTAAGAGACCGACAGAGTAAATCTGGATAAAATATCATACTAACCTGTAAGAGACCGACAGATTAAATCTGGATAAAATATCATACTAACCTGTAAGAGACCGACAGAGTAAATCTGGATAAAATATCATACTAACCTGTAAGAGACCGACAGTAAATCTAGATAAAATATTACACTCACCTGTAAGAGACCGACAGAGTAAATCTGGATAAAATATACTAACCTGTAAGAGACCGACAGAGTAAATCTGAATAAAATATTGCACTCACCTGTAAGAGACCGACAGAGTAAATCTGGATAAATATCATACTAAACTGTAAGAGACCGACAGATTAAATCTGGATAAAATATCATACTAACCTGTAAGAGACCGACAGAGTAAATCTGGATAAAATATCATACTAACCTGTAAGAGACCGACAGAGTAAATCTGGATAAAATATCACACTAACCTGTAAGAGATCGACAGAGTAAATCTGGATAAAATATCACACTAACCTGTAAGAGACCGACAGAGTAAATCTGGATAAAATATCATACTAACCTGTAAGAGACCGACAGAGTAAATCTGGATAAAATATCATACTAACCTGTAAGAGACCGACAGAGTAAATCTGGATAAAATATCATACTAACCTGTAAGAGATCGACAGAGTAAATCTGGATAAAATATCACACTAACCTGTAAGAGACCGACAGAGTAAATCTGGATAAAATATCACACTAACCTGTAAGAGACCGACAGAGTAAATCTGGATAAAATATCATACTAACCTGTAAGAGACTGACAGAGTAAATCTGGATAAAATATCATACTAACCTGTAAGAGACCGACAGAGTAAATCTGGATAAAATATCATACTAACCTGTAAGAGACTGACAGAGTAAATCTGGATAAAATATCATACTAACCTGTAAGAGACCGACAGAGTAAATCTGGATAAAATATTACTCTAACCTGTAAGAGACCGACAGAGTAAATCTGGATAAAATATTATTTTGACCTCTAGTAGATCCATTTTTAGAGTAGCTGCAAGTTTAATAAAGATAACTAATTATGCTCTGTTTGCAAAGAAACATGCAGCTGGTCAGTGTTTTTAATACTGATAATGTCCAAAATATACTCAAGGAAGCATATTGTGATATTTAAGCAATAGAACACGAGAGGGAGTGTGGTATCGTGAAATAACATCACGGCTGTGATTTGGTTGCAGGCATGAGCCGAAAGCGAAACACTCTTTATATAAAGCTGAAACACTCTTTATAACTTTTGTGTAAATGGAGCTTAACTGCTGTAGGCTTAATAAGAGGATATATGTAAAAGTTGCCTTTCATTACATCACAAAAACTTTACATTTTAAAAACAGGCTGTTTTAACAAATTATTTTCCATGTATGGTCTTTGTGGACTGGGGTGTTTTGATGCATTAACAGTGTTTACATACTTAATCAAACAACAAGCAAAGAAAAAGAGGTTTTCCAATATATGTGCCCTTTGAAATAATGTGTAAAAGACCTGAGAGGGTCCCCCTCCCCATCCCCTCATTAGATCTCACACACCTACAGATGGTAAACTCACCGTACCCGTGTGGAATGTAATCAACACTCTGTGTTCAATATGTGTAAAACATCCTTATAGTGTAAAGATTTTTAGCTTTTTTACTTATAATGTTTATATTGTTAATATTGTGAAGGATACAGTTTATATTTTTTATCTTTATTATAATGTATATCATCTGTATGGTAATAAGTAACAAACTGTAACTGTGTTAAGTAATTAACAAGGTTTATACCTTGTTTGTAAATTCTCTTCTTGTTACTTCTTTTCTTGAATGCCTAGCTATCCCCTTGCTGCTGTAGCACTGTGAATTTCCCACGTTGTGGGACTAATAAAGAGTGATCTTATCTTAATTGATGCATTTTTTTTTCCACCAGAGCCTACGCAAATATACAGATTTCTGCGGACAAGGAACCTAATTGCTGTATGTACACCTCAATAAAATTGCAAAAACCTTTTTATAGCATGGTTTGAAACGCTTGATTTACTGAAGTGACACTCTACATTCCTGACATTCCTCTGTGTGAATGTGGTCTCTGACACTGCTCAAAATTAAACTGTTTCTCTTTCTCTCTTGCAGCCGATTCTGCTGCACAGATCTCTGACCTTCATGTCCCACAGAAACTCTCGAACAAATGCCAACAGGTATTTAAATGCTTTAAAATTCAAACTTTATTGCTCCTTTGACAGGGATAAACCTCATATCTCCAAAAAGGTAACTATACCGCCCATGTGTCAAACGCAAGGCCCGCGGGCCAGGTTTGGCTCATAGCATGATCCTGTCTGACCCTCAGAAATATTTTCATTTTCTATTAATAATAGCCCATTTCACAGTGTGCTGCACTATAATCACCAACATGCACTGCAACGTAAAGTCCAACCCCCCTCCACCCAAAAGCAGTCTACAGGAAAGCGTTTACACCTCAATCCTACTACAACAGTCACATCACCAAACACACTAACCTGTGTTTCAGCAGCAGTTCAACCAATATAAAAAAAACACCTGGTTCTCTTAAAGTGAGAAGTGAACAGTCAGCGCTGGGGGTTTCAAGAGGGGTGGGACCTCAAATACCTTTTTTACTTCCGATATCCATCTCATTTGCAGAGATGGTGTGGCTGTAATAAAAGAATACCACATTAAGTATCATTATGAAATAAAAAAACATTTTTTAAAATATGGCCCTTTAAGCGGTTGAGTTTGAGGCCCCTGCTTACAGGACAGTGAGAAAAATTCTTTTAATGGAAGTTAAATATTTTGAAGTAATTTTGCACTGTATATATTGGCCCATTAATCAAGTTTGACACAACATAAAGGGCAACTGGCTTTTTTAAATTATGTCAAAAAATTAAAACAACAAAAGATGAAGAGGTTTTGTCCTGACAGCGACAACATTTTCACTGGGCACTAGCACCATCAAGCTAATTAATTTTGCTGTCAGAATCATAGAAAAATAGTTATGGTACATACATTGTATTTACAATTAACAAGCATGTTTTAATATAAAAAAACAGACAGGTGCTGCTTTGAAAAAGGAAATATTGACTAAAGAGTTTATATTAATAAGAAACAGTGTTCTTTCTTGGTTTTTTTCTCAGCAGTGGTGGCAGGCCAGACACTTACCGCCCTTTTATTTACTGTCCAGCCACTAAAAATCAGGCTCAGGCCATCAGTCTTACCTGTTTCATTCAGTACATTTTCTCGCTGTAAAGTTGTAAACAAACAAGATATACTGTCCTCAACTGTAATTTGCCCTCGTTGGCCAGCTGGCTCACATAATCACATTACAGCGAGCAAGCTGCCAGGTTTGCACAGGATAAAACAGATAAACACCACTGTCTACAAATGTCCACAAAATGTAAAACTGATCTTAACAACATTGTAAAATGAGGTCAACCCAATCTTCTCATAGTGTCCTGAAACTGTCTGCACAGTCCGCTCCACTGACGACCGTTTCATTCGGCACTTTGGCTCTGACTGGTTTGCACAATGTTTGTCCACTTCTCGTAACAAATTAAAAGCCCTTTTCAGAGTTTTCAAATTGCAACTTCATGACATTTCATAAGATTCTGAAGCAAAGGCAGCAATAAAAGTAGCCACTTGGGTCTCAAGCTCTGCATTTTAGTGGCCAAAGTGTGAAATCTAAAATAGTCAGTTACCCCCAGTTGAGACTGTAATTACTATTTTAGTTCAATGCAATACCTATAATTACTGCTTTATAAATGAAAGTTTACCAGTGCATGTTCTTTGTCCTCAGGAAAATGTTTAAAGTGGATGACATGCTTGCCAAAGTGGAGCGAATGAGGGGAGACCAGGAATCTCACAGGTACTGATGATGATAAAGGTGTTAATAAAGTGAATATTCTGATCTAAGACTGCTGTGTTAGTGTTTGTCTGTAGGTCCTTAAAAAGTTACATTTCTGAAATTAAATGACTAAAGAGGTATTACACTGTTTTCACATCTAGTTTGTTTGCTAGAGACTGCACCAGACTTCAGGTTTTGGGACAATGAGTGTGTTTGCATGCACTCAATAATCCGATCATAATCAGATTTCTGCAGTTATCAGATTATTTAAATGACCATGTGAACACCATACTCTGATCTAAAAATCTGATTAAGAAATCTGATAAAGAGAGCTGGATTTTAGCTCAGTGATCAGATTTCTCAGTGCATTACTCTTACTCTGATTTCTCAGTCAGCGCATGCGCGAGAACAGACAGCGGTACCAGAAATAGGCAAGCAGCATTGCTGTGAGACGCAGCAAAACACTTTGGAAGCGGTGCTGAAACCAAACATGAAATGAAGGATTTAAATATTCTTCATCTTCTAGATGATGTATGTTCATATTTTCAGGTAAAATTGCTCGATGATTAAAAAAAATAGTTGCGGGATGAAGTTTTGTATTATGTTTACATCACATCTTCTTCTGTGAGTTTATTGGCCAGTTGCAAAGCAGAAATCTGATTACTGCCTGGCTCATGTAGACCCGGAATTTCCCCATTATCTGATTACTCAAGAGCATGTAAACGTGTTCATCGCATTACTGACAAGATCTTCTGCAAAAAAATTTCTGCAGTTATCAGATTATTAAATGCATGTAAACATGCTCAGTGTATTTTTATGACGTTGGATTTTTCTGTGACATTGATTTTGTTAGTTTGGCATTGCAATGGCATTGATTGGTCAGGGATTTGGCAGTGATGCAGTAGCCCTGTTATTTTGACGTTGGCCTCTGTTTAATGTTATTTTTTTTAAATCTTTTACACTAACTAGTCTGGCAAGGTATAAAATCCATGTCCCTCACATATTGACTGAAAATAAGGTTGCTTAACTCCTTACCAAGCCATTACACCCTTCTATAACATAAGAACAGCTCCATTAGGTTGCACTGAAGTCCATGTAGTTAATGGATAATAATGATCAAGTTTAATTATGTGTCAATTTGAGTTCAGCCAAACCAGTCATCGCTGTCTGGTCCAACACATTAAATATTTTGTTTATATAACAAAATCAAATGCTTTTCTTTTGCTCATCTGCCAAAAACAGGCAGATTGTTCTGGCACTGCTGCACTGATGTGCACTGAGAAAAGGACACAGACACAATGAATAATTTGAATAATATGTGTATTAAAGTAACATTACCTGCTGTCCAGCTAGCATACACAGAGATCTGGGTATGAGTGTTACAATACACTTCAAATACATGGCAAAAAAGTGGCATTAAAAGGTCTTAATAAGTTTAACATTAAATTTGAGGATGCCTGCAGAAATATTACTTTAGTGATATATTACTTTAGTAAAATGGTATATTCCATTTCAAGGCTAATATTGCCCAGCTTGGGGACATTTTAGATACCAAGAATGATACAGAACACACCCAAATGTAGGACTTACACAATTGTCTAGGAATTAAAGCAAAATGTTTTGTTAATTATCTGTTATTCTGTCTTTTTCTGCTCATTATTCAGCTTATCGTCACACCTGCAACTGACCTTTACTGGATTCTTTCATAAGAATGGTAAGTGCACAAAGATCTCAATTATCAAACCCTGTTGTTTCGAATATAAATAACAGGAACCAAGAGAGTAAAAATTAAAGGTCCAACCTTTTGTCTTGTGGACAAATGTATGTATCACTGTGAATGGATGATGCAGTTATTATGTCAAGGATAACATGTTGCATTAATTAAACTTTTTGTCCCCCTCTTTCTCCTAGATAAGCCATGTCAAAACTCAGAAAATGAACAAAACTCAGTTTCTCTTGAGGTGCTACTCGTCAAAGTCTGCCATAAAAAGCGTAAGGTAATTTTCTTTCATACATTGTTCTTCTTTTTTCACATTGAAACATAATTGCCCTTTCCATGCTCAGCTCACAGATGCATGCTTTTGTAGCTTCTTTGGTGAGATTGGACTGGCTTTACAGAACGCTGGTGAAAATCCCATTCGACCTAATGAGAAACTGTTGAACAGACTCAGTTTATATCACAATACCTACAAAATACATAAATTATTCATGTCCCATCACAACAGTGCCCCAGCATCCAGTAACTAAAACTGAGTAGTTTCCCATTAGATAGAGTGGAATTTTTACCAGCGTGCTGTCCAACCTCGCAACAGTAGCTATGAAAGAACACATTTTTTTGGCAGAGCATGGATAGACCAGTTGAATGACTAGGACACTTGATGACCCACTAAATGCTGGACTGAAAACCTGCTCTTTCCAGCACATGTGAACTAGCAACATTTTTTATTTTGATAGGATGTCAGTTGTCCTATAAAGCAAGTGCCTACGGGGAAAAAGCAGGTGCCTTTGAATCCAGATCTCAGCCAAACCAAGCCTGGTGCCTTTCCCTCCCTACTCGTGTCAAGCAGTGAGTTCGAGCCCAGTAACAGCCACATTGTGAAGTCCTACTCACTCCTGTTCCGAGTGTCGCGGCCGGGGAAGAGAGACTCCAATGGCTTCATTAATGGAGAGACTGATGAAAACATAGGTAAGTGTCACAGTTATTTCACCGGCACTGCTGGGAGAAAATGTTGTGGGTGTCTGCTCCTTTAATGGACTTTAATAACAGCTCACAGAGAGAAAAAAACAGCTTTAAACCCGACTAAACTAATGATTTTCTGATGTGCACTTACAGCATTAGTACACAGTTATTTAGCGTTCCCGTGGGTCCTTAAAGTCTTAATACATGCCACACTGGGTCTTTTGTTTTGCAGTAATAATTGTATTATTTTTCTTTTACTTGAGGTCTTAAAAGGATATTTCTTTTAAATATCTTAAAAGGATATTTAAAAGCTTTGAATATGATTGTTAAAGTTGTGTAGCAACCCTGTTATAATGCAGGAAGGACTAGAAGGAAAAATTCTGTGTGTGTTTGTTTATTTATTTATATAAAGTGGGCACTACCTCAGCTCTCAAGTTCCCAAGTAGCTTATTTGATGTTAGCCCATTATACCATTACCGTAGCCTTTTTAAATGTGGCTGTAGCACACCATGTGCTACCTTGGGTGAAGGAAGGATGCTTCAGGCGGGTTTGATGGCAGCAGACGTATCTTTTTGATTTTCATCAAAAAAATCAGTCTACTGCTTCTCGCCTAAACTATGTATTCACAGCAGGAACTTTTCAGTCCTTCTTCTTTTGATAAACAAGCTTTTCAGCCCTGCTGCCTTCCTCTGCCATACCATTGTCTCTCTTTGTCTCCTGCATGTTCTTGTGTCCTGTCTTTGCTTTTTTTTTTTTAAAGGCAACCATGACTATGAAGACACTTATGTCCCATTATGGTGTACACGTTTGGTACCATTCTAATAATTTAATTATTATTATAATTAGACAAAATTCTTTCACTAGCAGGCTGCTGTTCTTGTTGCCACATCAAATGGTTGCTCTCTCTCTCTTGTCCACTGATCGAGGAACAGTCAGCTGAATATCTCATTTAACCCTAATATATCATTCAGCCTTTCCAGCTTTAGCTATGTCGCGTTATGACATAACACAAGAAAATCTTTTTTTATTGTCCTTTTTTCTTTAGAACTGGCTCCACTTCAATCATATGACATCATCACAGTGCAACAGTGGTGACCTACTAGTAAAGGAATTTTATCTATTTGTCATGTTTTTATTAATCATAAACAAAACATTCCTATTTGGGTTATATGTCGTAGTTTAATAGTATTGGACATATACACTGTTTTAAGGTATACAAGTCTTAACAGTCAGGGTTCCCTTTAAAGGTGTATGTACTGTTCATTCCAAATCAGCAGCAGCTGGGGCTTCTTGAGAGCAGCTTACTGTGAAACATAGGGAGAGAGAGAAACACAGAGAGTTGTCGCTTGTCTCCCTGTTGCCTCTGCCCTCACATCCCATGGTAACGTCACTGGGCTTAAATGTAAGGGTGTGGCCACTGGTGAAGCCATCTGACTCAGTCAGCCGCATCACATGAGGCCACCGTCTCATGTGCTCAAAACAAACCGTGGACCAGCTGGGACTGAAGCTTGAACAACTGTAATATTTTCCTGTTTCCAGCAGTGTCTGACGATTGGAGGCGTGACACTGTTACAATTTACAAAAAGATGTTTACTTAATCATCTAAATGGTTTTATTTGAAAATGTGTATATGTACTGTGATATATACCAAAACCAAACCCGTATATGCCAAACCAACTGTGATATAAATTTTTGGCCAAACCTACCACTACTAGTGGCACTACTTTTTGCCTTTTCTACCTTCACAAAATACACATCATGAAGTGAATCATGAAAAAGTCTTGTGTTTGTATTGAAGAGCTTTATGATGTGATAGTTTTGCAGTGTTGCCCACCATTACTCCACCGAGTTCCCAGGGACTGTAGAGTTAAACTGGCTCTACCTTGATGCTCTTTTTCTGAGCAGATGTGAAGGATGAGCCCCCAAGCAGGAAGAAGAGGAGCGCGTCCCATCGTGACGACGGAGACTCTACAGAAACATTTGTCGCACAGATGACCGTCTTTGATAAGAACAGGTAACAGACAAGTACCTCATCGGGTAGAGATAGAAAGAGCCACATCATCTTTAACAGATGGAAAACAAATGTTAAAAACATTTCAAGTGAAGCTTGAATTTTTTTTTCTCAGCTCTTCAGAAATGGTGTTTGATTTGAAAGTCCTGATCCTTTACGTACAACAAAGGATGAACATCTGTGACTCATGTGACTCATTAAATCTGTGTGTGGGAAGTTCTGGTCAGACTGACTAACAGATCTGTACTGCAGTAGGTGAGTTTTTCTGTTTTGTGTTGGTAGGCGGCTGCAGCTGCTGGATGGAGAGTATGAGGTGTCCATGCAGCAGATAGAAGACTGTCCGGTCAGCAAGAAAAGAGCCACATGGGAAACCATTCTGGATGGGAAGGTTCGTTCTGCATTATGGAGTTAAACTGAGGAGCAGATTTCATTCAGATTTGTCCACACTGGATGATTTGTTCTCTTGGAAGATACTTGAATATGAGGTGCAGATCACAGAATGACAGTGTATGGCTGGCTGTAGCTGTTAGAATGTTAAACTCTGAACTTAATATTGAATTGTGAACATTTAAAGTACTCTGACCAAATTAACATGAAATTTCAAATGCATTAATTACTGAACTAATCCTCAATGTTTCTTCTTAGCATTTTGGGCAGTTTTTACTCAGTGTTATGCTCCAACATTTGTGCTCTTTAAATCTGTGCTTTGTTGAAATATTGTTGAAAAATTGCTTCTACATTAAATCACACTGAATTGAAATTAAGCTAGCTTCAATTTAACTCATTTAAAGAAAATATATAACGATTATATATATGTGTAACGACACAAAACCACATTTTAAAAATCCATTCAAAATAGAGGTGGTTACTAGCTCTTTTCTGTAATGGCCCTTTATTATTCTAATTTGATTTTTACTTTTAATAATTCTTCTCCTTTGAAATCTATCGTTTTACTTACGTTTTAATCATGTTTTTAATTTCTATGCTCCTTAACTTTGTTACTTTTCTTTAAATTATAAATTGAGTTATCTTTGTATTTCATCATTTGTAAAGCTCTTTGAATGACCACAGTATATAAAAGGAGCTATATAAACTTCATCCAAATGATTTATTTATGAAAAACATTTTAACCCTTCAAAAACAGAAATTGTCTGTAATATTGTATGAATGTCGTCAAAACTTTTTTCCATTCCACTTCAGTCTGTGGAAATGTTACATTGGAAATGGAGATTTTTTTTTTCCTTAGGAAATGAACACATTTACTCATGAATTTGGTCAAGTACAGGTTTGGTCAAGGACAGAGTTCTGTCATGTGCCTCTTACAACAACACAAACAGCGTGGTGGAGAGTTAGAGCTGGACTGAGGAGGAGACAAGAGTTTTAAAAAGAATGCTGCCACTTTTCAGCTCTTAGAGAGAGAGAGAGAAACCAGAAAAGGCCTTTCTGAGTGGAAAGTGCTGAAACAGCTGAATATGGCATAGAAACGTGATCTCTCTTGTAATGGTTCAGATAAAATACCAATAATTATAATAAGGTAAAGGTATACGAGTTAATTACTAAAAGTTAGTTTGATGGTAAAAAGCTGCTGAACCACAAAAATCTGAATATATATTTTCATTTTATCTTTTGCAATTTGTGCAGAGTCACTTGGACAAGGCAAGCTACTGCTTAATGTAAATTTTGCTTGATCTGACTAAAATACTGAACTGTTCGTGACAATGAATTGTTGACTATGTGTGAGTTTGACTATGTTGGATTAATCCCTGATTGGTCTTTTTTTTGCAGAGACTGCCCCCGTTTGAAACCTTCTCTCAGGGACCCACCTTACAGTTCACACTACGCTGGACAGGTGACCCCAATGACCCCTCTACAGCACCTGTGGCCAAGCCACTATCCACACGCAACTCTGACACCAGCGCCCCAGAGAGTCGCACCCCCACCCTCAGATCCACCCCCGTGGGTAAGGTGCTGCATGCCTGAAGCGCAGTTTCTTAAAGCAGATTTCCTAATACAGAAATGTGAACTTGGTTAGTATTGGAACTAGAGGACCAGTGAGTCAGTGATTTTGTAAACATAATCCTAACTGGGTCCTACCATCTTACATTCTTCACTATCAATACTAATATGTTCACATATATCATATAACCTCCTGGGCGAAAAAAAGGGCCAAACCCGAGCTACACTATATGGAAAAAAGTTTTGGGACTCCTACACATTATACTTACATGAGCTTTTATGACATCCTATTCTAAATCTATAGGCATTAATATGGAGTTGGTCCCCCTTTGCAGCTACTAAATTCTACAAGATTTTGGAGTGTGTGGGAATTTTTTCCTATTCATCCAGAAGAGCATTTGTGAGGTCAGACACCGATGTTGGACGAGAGGGCCTGGCTCGTAATCTCTGTTCTAGTTCATCCCAAAGGTGTTTGATGAGGTTGAGGTGGACCTTGCTTTGTGCAGAGGGGCTCAGTCATGCTGGAACAGAAAAGGGTCTTCCTCAAACTGATCCCACAAAGTTGGAAGCATAGAATTGTCCAAAATGCCTTGGTCTGCTGAAGCATTACAATTTCCCTTCACTGGAATTAAGGGGCCTATAGACCAACCCCTGAAAAACAACCTCATAGCATTATCCCTCCTCCACCAAACTTTACAGTGCAGTCAGGCAGGTAAAGTTCTGGCATTCGCCAAACCCAGACTTGTCCATCAGACTGACAGATAGAGAAGTGTAATTTGTCACTCCGTTTCCACTGCTTCAGAGTCCAGTGGCGGCGTGCTTTACACCACTCCATCCGACACTTGGCATTGTGTTGGTGATGTATGGCTTGCATGCAGCTGAGGAGGTTTGAACTTTGCAGTTATTGAGTCAGCAGAGCGTTGGTGACTTTTATGCTTTATGCTCCTTAGCACTCGGCGAACTGCTCTGTAACTTCACATGGTCTGACACTTCGTGTCTGAGCTGCTGTGGTTCCTAAATGCTTCCACGTTTCAATAATACTACTCACAGTTGATCGTGGAATATCTAGGAGGGAAGAAATTTCTCAAACTGACTTGCAATGGTGGCATCCTGTTACAGGACCACGCTTGAATTCAGTGAGCTCTTTAGAATGACTCCTTTCACAAATATCTGTAAAGGCAGACTGCATGGCTAGGTGCTTGATTTTATACACCTGCGGCAATAAACTAAATTAAACACCTGAATTCAGTGATTAAGAGATGTGTCCCAGTACTTTTGTCCATATAGTGTAGTAGCATTTAAGGCCAGTGATGCGCATCACTGAAAAAAAAAAACCCACACGTTTGTGTTCTTGTATAAAGAATTTTGGTCATATTGCCCATCCCTATTTCAGCTGACACATTGTATAGAGATATGCTAGTCCCTCTAATTCTGTACCTCTGCACTGTTTTTGTGCATCAGCTGTGAAAGACTCAGTGAACACCAGCAGCAGCAGCGGTAGTGGTGTGCAGACCAGGAGAGAACAGTCCGTCTGTGAGCCCAGACAGAAACTACGGATCTTCTACCAGGTGCCCTTTTTAGCCTCGTTCTTATCCTCGAAGGCCTGTAGGACCACATCACTGCAGGGTTTCTGTTATCTTCCTGATCAAACACATCTGATTCTGCCCATTAATAGCTTGAGAACAAGATGAAGAGCCGTTCCAGGTATCAGACAGAAGAGAGATGTGTACTCAATGATGTAAATGAAGTGTTGTGAGTCCCCGGGGAGCACAGCAAAGCTTATTTTAGGAATTTACATTTACATCATTTAGCAGTCAGATCAGTTGTTTTAGATGGTAAAAATGTAAATATATGCAGCACAGGAGACCCCAGAATAGAGACTGTAAATGAGTGTCGGAATTTTAGTAAGAAGCCTATGTATGTATAGGCAGATTAACATCTGAGATTTTATATCAGGCAAATAAACTTGTGGATTAAGCTCTGGCAGTGTTTTAATAAACACTACACACTTGCATTTACATGAAGAGAACATGTACAGAACATGTGAGAAAAACATGGAAAGCAATGTATGTAAAAATGATGCATAAAACATTTGTAGCACTAAACTTTCTCTCCCCATAGTTTCTGTACAACAATAACACACGGCAGCAGACGGAGGCTCGGGATGACCTGCATTGTCCGTGGTGCACGCTGAACTGCCGAAAACTCTACAGCCTCCTCAAACACCTCAAACTCTCCCACAGCCGCTTCATCTTCAACTACGTGGTGAGTCTGGTTCTGCATGTGATTATGATTAATTTATATTTTGTTTTGGTCCCATAACTGGGCTATCCATCAAGTATGATCACAGAAATATATTTGTTTTTACCAGAATATCATTGCTGTCCAAAGAAAAACATGTATCTCCATATTTGTTGAGTTTAATTTTTCTACATCACCAGCTGTCCTTCATGTTGTGTGGATATTTCATGATGAATAGACCAACAGAAATGCTCTAAAATCACTTGGTATAAAATCTCTTTACATTATCTTACGTTGAAAGGTAAGAGTGTTTTTGCCTTCTCCTGTAAAGTTACTATTTTGGAGATACTTGTTTTTCTTTGGACAGCAATGATATACTGTAATTATATATTTCATATATGCTACTGTGCGATGCTAAGATTACCAATTCTGTTCTGCAGCCTCATCCTAAAGGGGCCAGGATAGATGTGTCTATAAACGAGTGCTACGACGGGTCCTATGTGGGAAATCCCCAAGATATCCACAGCCAGCCCGGCTTCGCCTTCAGCCGTAATGGCCCCGTCAAGAGGACAGCTGTCACTCATATCCTGGTCTGCAGGTAGGAGCCAATGAAGGTGGACCATAGAGAAGGTCAGAAATGTAAAACTGAAAACATCAGTACAACAGCTTGAACTATTCATTCAAACCCAACCTTTCACATGTGGTGTTGGTCAGGTTCACACATAATTTCTCAAATATTTGTTAGGCTTGGTTGGCTTCAAAATTCATGTTGGGTCTTGCACAGCCTGATTCTCCCCCATCAGTTTAGCCTACATTTACCTTATGTTGTCATGGTTTTGGCAGCAAAGTCTGTGGTGAGCAAAGAGTGTGAGCAACCTCGCGGCACATATTTTTTCAGAAACCAGCACTTTTGTGAGCAAATAAAAGCATGTAAATCCAATGATTCGTTCACTGCAAAAATGGTATCTTGTCATATGAAATGATCTTAATTCTAGTTGATCTATGTAATATTTCTTATTTTGAAATAGTTGTGCACTTATTACAAGACTATCTAGCTTATTTCTAGACATTTTTCCCTGTGTTAAGTCATTTTATCAAGAAAAATGTATCTCACTATATTGGCAGATAATTTTGATGGTTTAAATTACATTTCTTAAAAACAAATAAAATTGTGTACCAATATAGTGAGATAAATTTACTTAATAAAATTGCTTAAAATACGTGAAAAATGTTTGGAAATAAGTTTATTAATCTTAGAATATGCTTACAACAATCTCAACAGAAGAAATATTAGATTTATTGACTAGATTTAAGATCATTTTACTTGACAAGATACCAGTTTTTGCAGTGTTTTGGGTTGGATTCAGGCAGCGTTTTTGGGTCAGGTTTATGTTTTTTAACATTGTACTGTGGCAGAAAGACTTGAGTAGAAAGTTCTCGAGCTATATTCTGGTTAAGAACGCAATTTTAGGCCAAATTGAAGCTCTGATTAGAATCTGAAACACTAACTTAAACTGACCGTTAACTCTGAGGAGCTGATAATCCAGCGGCCAGAAATAAACACTCCTCTGTGTTGGTCTGGACATCAAAGACATGGAGAGGAGAAGTAGAGTTTTTATGGTATTGCTGTATCAGTGCAGTTGCAGAGAACCTATCCTTGAGTGTAGTTTTGTGTCACTGACTCTTGGTAGAGTCACTGACAGTTGCTAGAAACAAATTCACACCAGAATGACAGCAGTAACATCCAAATGCTGGAACACAGGTTAATTACACAGCATGGGAGAAAATCCACACAAACTCAGCTGTTACACACTGCCACTGACTAGCATTGCTGATTATAGCCTAAACTTCTGAACAGAGGTTTTTCAGAGTCACACTCCAAACGGAGTGTTATGAGAAAAAACGAAAAACCCATAAGATGGCCGCATATGCGAACAAAGAAACCCACAAATGTAAGTATTTTCTCCATTTATAAATTACAGTAACCATTGTATTATCTTAGTTTAATGTCGGCTCAATGTATTATCGTCCTTTTCTTCATAACAAGCATAAAAAAGCACCAGTATGCTGATGTCTCGGTAGCTAGCTTAATTTCCCATTTCACCTTAAATGGTGCAGAAGCTAGCGAATAGCTGACTTCAGCTTCATATCACCAAAGAATAAGGGGTGGGTGATAATAAATAATTGTGGCATCCCCCTCTTTGAAGGCATATTACACATGCCACTGACTAGCTTGGCTGCTTACAGCCTAAACTTCTGATAGGCTGAAACCTATGTGAAGTGTAATGACTAATGCAAAGGGAAATATTAAGAATTCCTCTTGTAAAAAAGAAACGCCCTATCTATGGAAACTTTAATACACTAGCACTAGAATATCTGAGTTCTAAATGTGTGTCCTTTACACTGAAATGTTTTGTGTTGTCTGTGTCAGCACAGTTATATTCTTAGTGTCATAAGAATATTCAAAAACAGGTTTGGAGTTCAGTGTAAAACCAGTTTGTTATTTTAGGAAAGCTGTGTCATACAAATGTGATTAGAGGTGGGCGATATGGCAAACATTTGATATCACGTTACTTTTCCTAATGCGCAATGTATTTTTCTGACATCTGGTAAGTTAGAAAAGACAAAGTAGTGCCACGATTAAAAATACCATTAAGAATCATAAATACAACAGTAACAATATTGTCATTTTTGTATCAAGAGACACCTTTAACATCAACCACTTTATGACCCTGAATTCTGAATCACGTTAACTCCCCAGATTTATTTTGCCATTTAAGGAACCAAAAGTTCTTTTAGTACTTTCAAAACAAATACTACACTGTTTTGATTAAGAGGCAAATTTCTGGTTATTGATGGGACTATGTTTGTCAGGCCCAAGCGCACTAAACCAAGCCTGTCCGAGTTTCTGGAGTCGGAGGACGGGGAGCCGGAGCAGCAGAGGATGTATGTGAGTGGCCACAACCGTCTCTACTTCCACAGCGACAGCTGTATGCCCCTAAGGCCGCAGGAGATGGACGTGGACAGTGAGGACGAGAGAGACCCCGAGTGGCTCAGAGAGAAGACCACCACGGTGAGAACATCGTTCATGTATCAGCCCCAGTGCAACCCTATAGTAAACAGACACATTGGAGCAGTTTTATTGCTAACAGGGCTTAAAAGACTCAGCTCTGAATATTACGGTATTGCAAGCTGTTAAGGTCCTGCATTGCTGTTGTGTATAAAGTAAATTAATTTGTGATCTGCAGCAAATTGAGGAGTTCACCGACGTGAATGAGGGAGAGAAGGAGGTGATGAAGCTGTGGAATCTCCATGTGATGAAACATGGGTATGTGTATTATTTTTACAAACCTACTTTTCAAACTAGTAACCATTTTTAATACCACATACCACACCCATTATCCACAAATATCTGTACATGATTCCATAACAAAACACGACCCAACTTATTTGGATCAGATTTGTCCCTGCAGTTAAACACAATGCTATGTTCACCCATTAGTCCTATCAGTTTTAAATGGTTTATTTCACTCAGCTGCATTTTCAGTTCAGGAATTCTGCTTTGGAGATATTTTGTCACTCTTAGATTTACCACAGTTGGATCCGTCAAAAGCTGAGTAACCAGCCCGGACACTTGTATTGATCGAGTACATTTAGGCCCAGTCCTGTTTCACCCCTCGCCCCTACCACTTAGCCCTACCCTACTGTTTTGCATGTTAACATCTAGGGGTAGGGTGTCCTGATTCTTGTTGAGATAGAGAGGTAGGGCGAAGTGTTAGGGCTACATGGCGCTCCAAACAAAGGTTTTTCAGAGACACAATCCAAAGAGAGTGTTTTGAGAGAAAAAGAAAAGCAAGCGACCAAAGAAACACACAAATGTGAGCATTTTCTCCATTAAAAAATTACAATAACTATTGTATTATCTTAGAATAATGTTGTTTCAATGTATTATGGTGCTTTTCTTCATAACAAACATAAAAAATCGCTAGTAGTATGCTGATGTCTCGGTAGCTAGCTAGCTGCATTTCCCATTCCACTTTAAATAGTCCAGTAGTTCTGACACCTGAGGCACCAGAATGTAACTGCTGCTCCATTTAAGGTTGAACGAGAAAATTCCAACAAGAACTAGAGAATAGCTGACTTCAGCTTCATATCACTGAAGAATTAGGGGTGGGCGATAATAAATAACCCTGCCCCCCTTTGAAGGCATATGATGTCCTAAATGTAACTAAAGACCAGCAGTGAGGTTGCTGAACTTAACCCTCCTCTGCTGTCACTGCAGACTGGCAGGGTCGCTAGCAGCGATAGTAGCCTGTTAATGAAGTAATGTTCTTTTTTATTTGAGGGTCCCATTCCATAGGGAAGATTTCAACCACTACCCCTTGTAACTCAATTCCAAGGGGCAAGATGACACTCGAAAACTAGGGGTAAAAATAAGAAATGGGATTAGGCCCCTCATCAAAAACAATTTCAGAACATCTATCTAGTCGTCTCCTTTTTCACTCCACCCACACTTGACTTGACCTTGACCTGTATGAGAAACTCAAACATTTTCACCTGTTATACCTACGTTTTGCTGGTCACATCTTTTGTACCTGTTGTCTGTTGACCTTGTATCTGACTGTATCACGCTTTTCCCCTCCCTCTCAAAGGTTCATAGCCGATAACCAGATGAACCAGGCCATCATGCTGTTTGTGGAGAACTGCGGGCCACACGTCGCACGCAGGAACCTATGGCGCAACTTCCTGCTGCACCTGGTCAGCATGCACGACTTCAACTTGGTCACCACGGCAACCATCGACCGGGCAATGACGCGTCTGCGGGAGATCCAGGCTGAGCTCCCGGAGGTGGAGGAAGGGCAGGAGGGCGTGGAAGCTGCCTGCAATGGCCATGCCGTCTCCTCAGGGTTCACTCTCCACGGCAAACGCACCAAGAGCGCCGTCTCAGACTGACCGCCTGCCAGACTCAAGAGCTCAAACCATGCACACTCCTGCCAGACTCAAGTGCTCTGGAATCAACTTTGTGGTGCTTCAGGCATTCACCAAACACTGCTGGACTTCTGGAAGTCACGAAAAACTCTGCTGTGCTTCTAGAGTTCATCTAGAGTTCATCTGCTTTGCTTCTAGAGTTCACCAAAACTCGGCTGTGCTTCTAGAGTTCACCAAACTTCTGCTGTGCTTCTAGAGTTCACCAGACTTCTGCTGTGATTCTAGAGTTCACCAAACTTCTGCTGTGCTTCTAGAGTTCACCAAACCTCTCCCAAATGATAGGACAAAACCCCTCTTCTTACCTTTAAACATAACGTCTGTCAGTTTGTTCACTTTGCAACATTTCGTTGGTTTCCCTGTAAAATTAAAACATAAATCAAATATCTTCATTAATTTAGTGAAAAACAAAAGGGTCTAGGGCGGCATGGTGGCGCAGTGGGTTGCGCTGTCACCTCCCAGCAAGAAGGGCCTGGGTCCGGCCAGGTGAGCAGGGTCCCTTCTGTGTGGTGTTTGCATGTTCTCCCTGTGTCTGCTTGGGTTTCCTCCAGGTGTTCCAGTTTCCTCCCACAGTTTAAACACATGCAGTCAGGCCAACTGGATAAGCTATATTGCCCCTAGGTGTGAATGTGTATTTCTGTCTGTCTGCCTATCCTGCGATGGACTGGCGACCTGTCCAGGGTGTATCCTGCCTTCTGCCCAGTGACTGCTGGGATGGGCTTCAGCTCCCCCCGTGACCCAGAAGGATAAGCGGCTTACAAAGTGTGTGTATGTGTGTGTGTGAGAGAGAGAAAAGGGTCTAAGGATTTCAGTACAACATAGATAAATTGAGCGTATACAGTATTGTTAAATTTAAAGAGTGCATGTAAATGTATCTCATGTACTATTTTTCATGGAAACCACTGGCAGTGTGATAAACTCGTATAACACTCGTTTAGTTATTGTAGACTTCACAGAGATTTTTGGTGTTCTAGAATGCACAGAGACCGTTTTTGGTGTTCTAGAATGCGCAGAAACGGTTTAGGTGTTCTACAATGTATAGAAACGCTCATGGTGCTCTAGAATGCACAGAAACTATTTTGTTGTTCTAAGATGCACAGAAATGGCATTGGTGTTCTAGAATGCACAGAGACAGTTTCAGTGTTCTAGAATGCACAGAGACAGCTTTGGTGTTCTAGAACGTAAAGAAATGGCTTTGGTATTCTAGAATGCACAACAACTATTTTGTTGTTCTAAGATGCACAGAAACTGACTTTGTGTTCTAGAATGCACGGAAACTGTCTTGGTGTTCTAGAATACACAAACTATTTTGATGTTCTAAGATGCACAGAAACTGACATGGTGTTCTAGAATGCATGGAATCTGTCTCAGTGTTCCTGAATGTACAGAAACTGTCCTGTTGTTCTAGAATGCATAGAAACTCAGTGTCTCAGTGTTCTAGAAACTTGACTAGAACCGTCTTTACCAGAAGACGGAGGCTAAAAGCTGTAGAGGCAGATCTGAGCTGATTGTAGACGAGTCTTGGTCTGTGAGGGAACAGCTGTCTGGAAAGGCTGCGTTTTGGACTGACACCGGTTTTACGGATTGAAGCAGTTTGGACTGAATCCTGCCTTTTTAAAAAAATTTTTAACACACAACAAGCAGTCGTGAGTTCTCTCCCGTAGACGTCATTCAGCTGAGGGTTCCCTGTTTACTCACAGCAGCCTCTCTACTCTGCCCTCACAATCATGGCTAGGATGCGTTCATCTCTGAGTAGTTTCTTGAGTGCTGTATGTCATTTCGTGAATATCTGTAGAATGGAATACTGTTAGTCTTGATTATTTGTATGCATTTAATCATTTCTTTCACAGTCATTTCTTTCAGTGGTCATTTAGCACTTCTTTCACAAGCTGATGGCTCTAGATGGTGAACAATGGACAGTGATTTTTCATTTGTGCGTCAGACTTTATCAAGCAATGGTCCTCTATGTGTTTTATTGGCCCATAGTTGTTTTTAAATTAGCGATCGATGTGAAATGCAGGTTTTTTTTTCTTTTTTGATAACTGCAGTCGGTCGCCACCAACAACTGACCTGTCGATGCTTCCATGTGGGTTGGTATGACTTTCTTTTTCAGCACCTTTCCTACGTTGTTCTGAGCATTATTAAGTAATCAGCAATATTATACCTGTGTTCATGGAAGGAAAGCTCTTTCTTCAGTCAAGCTTGTGATTTTTTGACCCCCCTATATTGCCTTTATGGGGTAAACTGATCTAAATTGTTTTTGGAACACCATTGGACTGCTTTTGAAAACGAACAAAATGAATGAGTGAATGGATGGATGAACAAAAAGAGGGACCACTGCAAACCCCCTGCAACGGATTTCTTCAGGAAACGACAGAACCCAAATGGTAGAATAGTTTTCTAGATCTGGAAATCTCGTTGAGACTTTGAGCAGTATATAAAAGACTATGGTAAATGTGTCATAGCATATGAAATGCCAAAGTATATGACGAAACTCCCCTCTTTTCATAATACCATGTATATTTCAATTTGTTCACTTTGCAACATTGCATAGGTTCCCCTGTAACATGAAAATATATGACAGATTAAAGTCTTGACTAATTTAGTGAAAAATAATTCTTTGTTTTAAATGAAAAGCGATGCTTTTGATGCAGCATATCAAGTTTTGATTCTTTACATTTTCTTTTTTTTTTTAAATATGATTGGGGGTGTAACAGTTTCAGTAACAGTATTGATAAACTAAGCGTGTATGTAAATGTAAAACTGTGTGACACTCACTCTCGCCTGTACTGTCTTTCATAGAAACTGTCACTGATCAAAACTAGGTACCTGGGGGCAGCCTTTCGGAGTCCAGTGGGCGGGGTTTATGCTATGGACACACCCACACTCAAATGACTCAAATGAGAACTTATTTACCTGAGACAAACTAAACTGTGTAGAACAGAATTAGAATCAAATCTTGACCCTCAGAATCAAAAACTGTATTCACTCAATGTGCCCATTGAGAACCTACACTTAAAAAGAGGGTTCTTAAGTAAAGGCAGTGGTTCTATTTAGAACCATTTCATGCTTAAATTAGTCTTTGCATGGTGAAATGGTTCTTCAGATTGGTGGAGGATGTTCTATATAGCACCAAAAGGGGTTCTGCTATTGTTATTGTTAGATGATGCTTGACATCATCTCAGTGTAAAAGCCCATTTTGCTGCTATATAGAACTCTTTTCAAAAAGGTTCTGTATAGAACCGTCTACAGCACATTCTCCACCAATCTGAAGAACGTTTCACGAGGCAAAAAAACCCTTTAATTATACAAAGGGTTCTTTGAGTGTTCATGGTTCTATATAGAGCCATTTTCTTTACTAAGGAACCCCTGAAGAACCATCATTTGTAAGAGCGTATTTGAATCACTCTGCAAATATGAATGTAGTTGAACTACCAGCAAGATACCACGTAATGTAGTTAAACTAATAGTTACAAAAGATGGTTCTTCAAGGGTTCTTCGGTAAAGAAAGGGGTTCTGTATAGATCCAATAACACTCAAATAACCCTTTGCATGATTAAAGGGTTCTCTGCATGGTGAAATAGTTCTTCAGATTGGTGGAGAATGTGTTGTTTATGGTTCTCTACATAGCACCAAAAAGATTTTTGCTATTGTTACAAGCTTGACATCGTTACAATAGCAGAACCCTTTTTGGTGCTATATAGGACCATTTTCAAAAAGGTTCTATATGGAACCATTTACAGCACATTCTCCATCAGTCTGAAGAACCATCTCACCACGGAATGATCCATTTAATCATGTAAAGGGTTCTTTGAGTGTTCATGGTTCTAAGTAGAACCATTTTCTTTGCTAAAGAACCCTTGAAGAACCACCTTTTTTCAGGTTGTAGGTCATTACTCCCCAACACTGGCTAAGACAGTCTTGACTGTTTATCTGCTTGTGCAGGGATGCTCACTGGAAGAATGCAGGTAGGTTCATTTCTAGGTGGCCATGTAATTCTACTTTCTGGTATGTAAGACAGTAGACACAATATCGCAGTGACAAAATAAAAGACCCAACAGTAAAAGTCACAGTATGCAGTTTACAGTGCTTAACAAAACAATTCCCATTAGAAAATTCTTATTTGGTTGTGAATAAAGGTATGATAGTTATTCGTAATCAGAATAGTGTTAGATGTTTATGGAGTATAATATAAAGATTTCACTTCAGAGCTGCCCAGCGTTGGCACGTTTGATTTCGACCCCAAAAGTCATCCTAACCCGACCCCCTCACCCAGTAAGAGAACAAAAAATAGTGAATTTGTATAAAGTTGAAGTATTTTAGTCACTAAATAGTCAAATGTCATAAGATACATTTAAAAAAATTATCTAAACATACCAGCCATTTTTATTTCTGTTGTTTAGGATCTCGGCAGACCGCAAGACAAAAAATTAGGCCTGCTTTAAACCAATCAGTAAACTCTGGCATTTTTGCTCACATTACATTTAGTCGTTAGACAGTAATGTGTCGAGTAATACGCCTTGAAAAATAATACTTTTAAATATTTATAGATACCTTTCACTGCAGTAGAAGTACTGGAGGCGAATTCATTTGGAGCAGGCGTCAGGTGGGCGTGGTCTTTCGGCGACGCTGTTGCGTCATTTTTTATACCGCGTTCTGATTGGCCGCTTCAGTGTGGCGCCGAATGCGGAATAGAAACAGGGTGTATAAATGCTGTACACAGAAATATTGTATTTATCGTTATTTTTTGTACGGATTGTGTAAAATTAGTCTGAGCTTCAGCCAGATAAACAGTATTAATGTACTTAACACTTACGGTTTGTATGTATTAACGCCTCGATCGTGAATCAGAGTTGGATACTACAAAAGAAACAGGTAAGGAAACTGAGAAACGGCCGTGCTGTAAATGCAAATTAGTCACCCTTTGAATGCTGAATATGCCATTTATGTGAGTCGTTTAGATTTGATGAGATTTAATTTTGAAGCAGTATTGTAGTCTCAGCGTGCACCAGAATGCCAGAATTTCCACCTAGGAATGATGCACTGCTATTGCTAAAATGAAATCAAATCACACTTATTGCCACATTCTCTCTCTCTCTCTCTCTCTCTCTCTCTCTCTCTCTCTCTCTCTCTCTCTCTCTCTATATATATATATATATATATATATATATATATATATATATATATATATAGAATGTGGCAGTACATGTGATACAGGTGTACCATTACAGACTCTACTTCATTCATCACTGGTCACTTTCTGACCACTGTTGCTGAGCACTGTTGTCCAGATATTATTTGGGTGGTGGTTCATTCTCAGGACAGCAGTGACACTGACATGGTAGTGTTATTTATTCGAAACACCTACCTTGTACCTCCATTAACTGGCCATATTATTAGTAACACCTACCTTGTACTTCCATTAACTGGCCATATTATTAGTAACACCTACCTTGTACCTCCATTAACTGGCCATATTATTAGTAACACCTACCTAGTACTTCCACTCACTGGCCACTTTATTCGAAACACCTACTTTGTGCTTCCACTAACTGGTCACTTTAGGTGCTCCACCTACGTTATACCTTATAGTCCACTATACAGTTACAGACTGAAGTCCATCTGTTGCCGCACAGTTTATTGGTCAGGTTCTAACCACAGGACCGCTGTTATCGAGCTATTTTATAGGTGGTGGTCCATTCTCAGCATAGCAGTGACACTGACATGGTGGTATGTGTGGTGCTGGTACAAGTGTATCAGACACAGCAGTGTTGCTGACAATTTTTACACACATCAGTATCACTGCTAGATCGAAAGTGGACCACCAGCCAAAATGTCCACCAAGAGCAGCTCTTTCTGAGCACTGATGAAGGACTGGAGGATGGCTAACTCAAACTGCATCAACAGAGGAGCCACAGTCTCCCAATGTGTGGCCCACCAGAAAGTTACCCTGATCCCACCATCTCACTTAATGAGAGAACACATTTTATCCTGTGTATAATTTATAAAATTCGTATTTTCCTTTTTTAAATTGTACATATTTAACAGATATTAAATGACTATAACTGTATATAATGTAATGTTATAAAATACATATTTAAACACTCAATTTAAAACCTAACTAGCTTGTCTTCTTTATTATTTTGTCTTTTTGACCCACCACAAATATCACACTTTTGGCCGCACTTATTGGGAGTGGTTTCTAATAAAGTGGCCAGGGAGATTGGTGTAAATTAGTGTAGATTATGGTTTATTTTACATCTTTCCAACAAACTTAATGAAGTGGCTTTACAGTCTGATGTATTTCTTTACATTTGATCCACAGGCGTCCGTAGGGCCTGTGAGGATGATGATGGTGGGTCTGTCTGGAATGACTCTGTCACATTCTTCTTTCTAATGTCTCTGTGTGAGGAGAAGTTACTCTCAGCCGGGTCTGCCTGCATCCCACAGTGCATCAGTGGTGCTGACGCGTTCCAGAAGATCCAGGAAAAGAGCAGTGAGGTCCAACCAAAGTTCAACAGACTGAAACGACAGAAGAAGACGGCAGGGAAAGAAAGTCCAGCTGCGATTAAGACTGGATATGATGTACTGTTAGTCAACTGTAATGAAATCCGTTTGGAAGCCTATAATAAAAAATGCTTGTTAACAGCTCAGGCGTCCACCAAGAACATAAACAAGAGCGAGGCGGGGCCTCGGAGGGAGGGAGGTGGACGATGTTCTTCACCAAAACATGACCTGCTACCTTTAAAGAGGTCTCTGAAACAAAGTAAGCTGAACCTGAAGGAGGTGAAAGCCAGCTGTGTGCAGCTAAATGAGGACAACACAGATGGTGTCCAGTGCTTCAGCACTGCTGACTCAGAGACAGATATCATTGACCTTTGTGGAGATGATGAGGCCCATAAACATGTTTCCGTGGTAACCGCAGGACATGTGAGAGAACAGAGATGCTATAATGACCCAGCGCAAGCTTCAGTGACAGAAACCATCAGGATCAGGAGATATGATGGTGATGTCCAGCCACTTTTAGCCATAACTGAGATGCAGAAAGCATCTCGTTCTCATGACTCCTTATTCAAATCAGCAAAGAGCCACAAAGAAACTGTGAGTGTGTTAATAAGTCCAGTCTCTGCTATTACACAGTGCAGTTAGAAAGCCAGGGAAGGGGAAATCTACCGTTATTTCTAAATTTCTCCATAATTAAGAGATGTGTTTGAGATGTAAACAGAGTGATTCAGAAGGGTTTGGTATGAAATGGTTCAGATTTCTTTACAGTGATGGTGATAGGAACCAGGGGTCGCCATGACTACAGACTCCATTTTGCCTCACAACACCCTGCATATTGTGTATCCCTCCACCATAAATGGAATTTTAAGACCAGAATCTCCTTAAAATACTGTAAAACAGTGTCTCAGTCATCAGACAGTGTATTCATACCCATTTCATGTAGTAACTTTCTGTGAGGGAGCTTTTAGAGGTGGACATCTGGTTCCTATCACCACCACTGTGAACAATTCTGACTCTGTAAGTTTCTGTAGAACAAAGCATTTCAAACCAAACCATTCTGAATGACTTTGTTCACATCTCAACCACTAAATTAGGCAGAAATCTAGAAAAAATAGTGGAATTGCCCCTTAATGATTACTATTTTTGTATGCAAAAGTTTAGGTGTCCTGGTCAAATTCCATGTTGTTGTTGATTTCAAGTGTGAATAAGTAAACACATCCTCTACAGAGAACACACTTCTGCACATTTTCCTGTAAAAGTACTGTTTATTTGCAGAATTTAACTAATTGTAAAAAAAAAGAGATAAAACACAAAACATGGCCTGTGAAAAAAAATGGCCCGTTATTTCCTTCCAATATGTTAGTCAGCAAAGTAAGTTGTGCACTAAAATTTGCAGAAGAATGTCGTATTTGAGTGTGTTCTCTGTAGAAGATGTGTTAACAATTAGGTGTTCGAATGGTTCTATTTAGTGCTATGAGTTCTATTTAGAGCCATTTCATACCTAAATGGTTCTTTGCATGGTGAAATGGTACTTAAGATTGATGGAGAATGTGTTATATATGGTTCTATATAGTGCCAAAAAGGGTTCTGCTATTGTTCTAAATAGAACCACTGCTTTTACTAAAGAACACTTGAAGAGCCATTTTTTAGGAGTGTAGAATGAATTAACACACTCACCACTAACCCCCCCCCCACACACACACACGCTGTTGTTCTGGTAAGAAAATAAAAGCGTGGTGCATTAGAGATGCATTAAACAAAATGAAACAAATAAAAGTACAAGTCCATCAAACTTTTGATGGTCAGTGTAAAGGTTCTGTTTTTGGGTGTGCTTTACAGTCTGCTGTGTCATGACTCTCTTTCCTCTTCTTGTATCCAGTTTTCTCTCCAGAGTTCAGGATGGAGGGAAGGTTTTTCTCCTGAAACCCGTGAGGAGCTGCTGCAGCGGATTCAGACTCAGAACCAGCTCTTCCCCGTCCGCCGGTTCTTCTCCCTGCTGCTGGAACATCAGAGCCAGTCTGAAAAGAGTTTAAACAGCCGCGGTGAGACACTACATTATTATGACTGACAGGGTCAGACTGCTCATGTGCTGCCAGTGTTTCTTAACTTACTCTGTTTGATTTACTTCACTAAAATGTTGATAGATTTGTATTTTCAAAGGATTTTTACTTCTCATTTATATTAAAGAGTAGTAGATTTTCTCCTCAATTCCATTTGTTCCTAATTCTCTCTTTTTTTGGCTTTCATTCTGTTGTGTTGATTCAGCTCCTGTTCTGCTTTACAGTCACTCTAGATCAGGGGTGTCAGACTCATTAAAAGGGCCATATTAAAAAAATCTCATCATATCTGTGGGCCAGAGAAAAAAAAGTTTGTATATCATTTTTAATTAATGTGCTATAACCTGAACTGGCCATTGTCAGCAGTAAAATACAGACACTTATAATAGACCTTGAAATATTACATGGACACTTGAAATATTCAAAATTTAAATGTCCCCAGGACAACAGCTCAGTGTTTTAAACCTACCTATTTCCTTGAACTAGACACCTGGTATCCTTTCTTTGCTGCAAGTTTTTTTTTTATTTAAACTTGGGCTCCGTTTCAGAGCTGCTGAGCTGATGATAAGTGTTTATGTTGGTTGAACTGCAGCTGAAATGCATTTTGGTGATATGACTGGCGTGGAATTGTGTAGAATTGTGCTGTAACTGCTGTCCCATAGACTGTTGTTGGGGTAGGAGAGTCAGAGCACATGTTACATTGCAATGCATGCTGGGGACTGTAGTGCAGCACACTGTGAAACAAGCTAATATTAATAGAAAAATAAAATACTTTGCAGGCCAGATATAATTCAGGCCCATGGGTCTCGTGTTTGATACCTGGGCTCTAGAGCTTTGGCATTTTATCTCAGATCAAAGGGATCTAAAAAAGAGAAGAACAGAGTCTAATAAACTTCACTTCCTAAGCGACTTCTTATTCGCCAGCTTGATATGCCAGTTTTCCGTTCCACCTTAAATGGAGCAGCTGTTACATTCTAGAGCGAAATCGAGTTCCCTGGTGTGATAAACCATTTTTGTTCACTTTAAATTGGCCTATAGTCACATTTTATTTACATTTACAGCATTTAGCAGGCACTCTTTATTCAGAGCAACTTAGAAAAGTGCTTTGTTGTCCACCCAGAGAATGTATCTTTGCTAGTACAAACAGGTTAGAGTAAAATCTACCCCTGAGCTCAGATATTGCTAGAAATAAAAGCCTATCTTGATACCTAGAGAAAAGAAACAGGTTTAGACATATTGCAACACAGTACATTTCAATAAGTACTTATATTAGTGCTCCTTTAAGTGCTTTAAAAGAGATGTGTCTTCAGTCAGAGAGTCAGCCAATTTTATAATTTCTGAAAAACTGATGGACGCAGCAGCCGTAACTAAGGCAGGCAGGACTTGTCAGAAACCTTCAAACAGTCAGTGATCCAGTTAAACTGAGGAATCGTGCTTTGTGAGAACCTCGTGGGCTGAGAAACATGAGTCTGTTATGTGTTTGCTTCTCTCTTTCAGGGTCAGAAGCGACTGCTGCCCGACCTACACCGGTCTCTGAGAAGAGGAAACAGGACACAGAGTTTCTCCATGATGACCATCCCCCGAAATGCCAGCGATGGAACCGAGACGCAGTGAGTGTTAACGTCCCTCAGAATCCTGACCAGCTTCACATTAAACCCGCCAGCAGGAGCAGACTGAGCGTGAGCCGGAGGAAGAAACAGCAGAGCACACCTCCACCTGCTCAGAGTGTGTATTCTGCAGGAGAAACCACACCACCGGAGTGTGTGCTGAGAGAAGATGACGTTCTGTGGACGGAGAAATATCAGCCTCAGTGCTCAGAGGAGATCATCGGGAATTCAGCCGCAATGAGGAAGCTGCACAGGTGAGTAGAGTAGCCTAAATTAATACTTAATTAAAAGCATCACAAAATACACTGCATGGACAAAAGTATTGGGACACCTACACCTTATACCTACAGGAGATTTTATGACATCTCATTCTAAATCCATGGGCATCAATATGTAGTTGGTCCAGCTTTGCAGCTATAATAGTTTCCACTCTTCTGGGAAGCTTTCTACAAGATTTTGGAGTGTGTCTGTGGGAATTTTTGTCCATTCATCCAGAAGAGCATTTGTGATGTCTGACACGGATGTTGGAGGAGAGGACTGGCTGACAATCTCTGTTCTAGTTCATCCCAAAGGTGTTTGATGGGGTTGAGGTCAGGGCTCTGTGTGAGCCATTCAAGTTCTTCCACACCAGACTCACCCAGCCATGCCTTTATGGACCTTGCTTTGTGCACTGGGGCTCAGTCATGCTGGAACAGAAAAGGTTCTTCCCCAAACTGTTCCCACGTAGCTGGAAGCACACAATTGTCCAAAATGTCTAAATGCATTAAGGGGTCTAGGCCAACCCTTGAAAAACAACCCCATAGCATTATCCCTCCTCCACCAAACATTACAGTTGGCACAATGCAGTCAGGCAGGTAACGCTCTCTTGCCATTCTCCAAACCCAGACTCTTCCATCAGGCTGCCAGATAGAGAAGCGTGATTTGTTACTCCACAGAATGCGTTTCAACTGCTCCAGAGTCCAGTGGCAGCGTGTTTTACACCACTCCATTCAACGCTTGGCATTGTGCATTTTGATCTTAGGCTTGTGTGAAGCTGCTCGGCCATGGAAACCCATTTCGTGAAGCTCCTAATGTGCAGTTTTTTTGCTGATGTTGCTTCCAGAGACAATTTGAACCTTGTTAAGGAGTAATTCAACAGAGGATGGGCACTGTGCTCCTCAGCAGGCCCACTCTGGGAGTTTGCGTGGTCTACCGCTTCATGGCTGAGCTGTTGTTACTCCTAGACACTTCCATTTCACAATAATAGCACTTACAATTGACACGGGCAGATCTAGCGGGAAAGAAATTCCACAAACTGACTTTTGGCAGAGGTGGCATCCAATGACAGTGCAATGTTTAAACTCTTAAAAATCAGTGAAACTTACATTCAACTTTAACTAAAGTGTCCTGCAACTCATTTGCAATTCATCCGTAACAGTTGCAAGCGTCTCAACTTCATAAAAACAGGCTCATCGGTGTGCTTAGTTAAAATCTCTTTTACTGTTTTCAAATCTCTCTGTTGCGGTAACAGCTGGCTCAAGGAGTGGAGGATGAGAGCGGACGTGGAGGAAAGAAGGAAAAGACAAGAGGAACGACGCAGAATGCAGGAGGAGAGCAAAGGTAACGTACACGCCCATAGTACTGTGCAAAAGTGAGGAACCGCCCCCCCTTCCCTTCTAGTCAAAACAGCTATTAAGTACAAGACTTTCATTTTTCAGTTTTGGGGAAAAATTTTAATTACACAGAAGATTTGATTTTTCACCAAACTGTCTCCATTCTCACATGTTCTCACATTTAGTGCTGTTGTGTCCCTCCTGTGTGCAGAGTCATGGGACTGCGGTGATTTCGAGGGCGAGATGGTGATGGTGGACTCAGAGGCGGAGCTGTGTAATACTGTGCTGATTCAAGGACCTGCAGGTGCCGGCAAGACTGCAGCAGTGTACGCCTGCGCACAGGAGCTGGGATATAAAGTATGCAGACAATGGCCAAACCCATTTCTTATTTTTACCCCTACCCCTTGTTTTTGAGTGTCACCTTGCCTCTTGAGTTACAAGGGTAGTGGTTGAAATCTTCCCTACAAAATGAGACCCTCAAATAAAAAAGAACATTACTTCATTAACAGGGTACTAGTGCTGCTCTGTAGGCGACCCTGCTAGTCTGCAGTGATAGCAGAGGAGGGTAAAGTTCAGCAACCTCACTGCTAGGCTTTAGTTACATTTAGGGAATCATATGCATTCAAAGTGTACAGTGTAGGAAAAACACTTTACATTGCTTCATTGGGAATGGGCGGGGCTAAACTGCTGTCAACTGAATGGGTGGGGCTAAACTACTGTATGATTAATGGGTGGGGCCAAACTGCTGTCATATGTAAATGCTAATTACTAAAACTCAACCTCACTCTATGTGCTGTCTTGCTGTCTCTCCACAGGTTTTTGAGGTCAATAGCTCGTCTCTGCGTAGTGGTCAGATTGTCCTCTCGCAGCTCAGAGAAGCTACTCAGTCTCACCAGGTGGGGGTGCTGCAGTCTGGCTCCACAAAGCCCCAAAACAGCCACAGCACAGACCCTCCTGCAGCTTCTACGGTGGCATCTAGTGAGTTGACTGAAGTCTAAACCATGATCTAACACAAGAGTTAACATATCTAATTAACGATTAATAATAATTACACTAACCTAGCGCAGAACAGGAGAAAGGGCTAAATGGAACAGTAGGGATGTTTAATATTCATGGCCCAGTGATAATGATCTTTATTTTGGCATTTTAGTACCATGTAAAAGTCTTGGACACATGTTAATAACAACACTTTTAGCCTTTTGGCACAATTGAAAATCATTTGTTTTTTATTGTTGTTGTTTTTGGTGCCTTATTCTATTACAATTGTATTTTTTTTTACAATTTTATTACAATTGTATTTTTTGTTGTTGCTGTTGTTGTTGTTGTTGTTGTTGTTGTTGTTGTTGTTGTTGTTGTTGTTTTTCCTCCTTTTTTCTAATGCATATTTTTTGCTGTATGTTACTGTGTTTAAGGAAAAGATGCTTCCAGAAAACTCCTCACATCCACCACAAAAACCTCAGTGAGCTCCCGTAATGCTCCCAGAAAGAAAAGTGCTGCTCCACCGGCTGTAACCCTCAAAAACTTCTTCAAGAGAACCAACAGGCCTGTGGACAAAAGCACTGATCGTCCTCAAGACCCAAATGGTACATCTACGAAAATAGATCTTACACAGATCTTAAAATAAACGTCTGGGTGATATTCAGGTCACCAGCTGTCTTGGGCTAAATTACACTAATTTTGTGGGAATCTCCTGTTTTAGTCTAAAAACTAGTCCATATGACTTGTTCTTAAGTGCAAACATCAGAATGTTGTGGAACATTTGGTCATTTGCCCTTAAAACAGGTGAAGAACATGAACTCTCACAATACTGAGTTCCCTTATGCCTGATAGTTGGTTTGGTTGATGTTCAAAACATCCCTGAATGTGTTTCCTTATGTAACATTTATAGAGTTTTATTAAGAGTTTTATTGACTGGATTTTGAGTAAAGCTGATGAATCTGTGAAGCAGTAATATCAGTTGATTTTATCAGCCAGAAGAGATACCAGTTGGGCTGTGTGATTATCACTAGGCTTAATCTGTGTCCAGAGTTCTAACCACAACCTTAAAAAAGATGGTGCTTCCACGGTTCCTTAGTAAAGAAAATGGTTCTACATAGAACCAATAAACTTTGCGTGATTAAAGGTTTCTTTGCATCATGAAAGGGTTCTTCAGATTGATGGAAAATTTGCATGAATGTGCTAAAGACAGTTCTATATAGAACCTTTTTGAAAAGTGTTCTTGTTGTTACAAGCTTGACATTGTAACAATAGAAGAACCCTTTTTCGTGCTATATAGAACCCTTTTCAAACCTTCCATGGCACATTTTCCATCAGTCTGAAGAACTTTCACAATGCAAAGAACCCTTTAATCGTGCAAAGTGTTCATGGTTCATGGAGTGTTCATGATTCTATATAGAAGCATTTTCTTTACTAAAGAACCCTTGAAGCACCATTTATCACTCATTTATGATATTTTTGTCCCTCCTGCAGGTTCTGATGAAACCAAACCTGATGTGATTATTGAGTCTGATTCAAATGCTAAAGACTCCGGTGAAGAACACGTACTAAACGCTGAAGACCGAAAAAACAGGACACCTCCCATATCTCTCATACTGTTTGAGGAGGTAAAGGGAAAATATCACATAAAATACAGGATACTAAGGAGCAATACCAGACCAGGGTGGACGATGTATGATATTTTATTGTTAATGTAATCATTTGTATTATCGTGATACACAACATGCACCTCTGTGCAGATTGTAATAGTATTTATTAGTCAGTATTCAAAGAACACTGACTAATGACTGGTAATGGCTAGTGATGATTGCATGTTTCATTACTGAGAGAGCAGAATTAGCCCTGTTTAATCAGCCCTGTTAAATTGGATTTGGTGCAGCGCTGTTCATTTTTAAATGTTCAACACATTTTGCCAGAATATTGTGATCCGCATCATGAGATACTTCTTTTTTTTTTCCCATATCGCCCGCCCCTACTGGGCCATATGACATATTTATCTCCCATTGTTACCTATTGTCATGACATGTATGGGGATGTCAAATTGCAATGAACAAAGTCAATAAACAGTTTGCTTATAATCTGTGTTACTACATTAGAGATTACTTTGTTTAGGCATAAACAGTGTCTGGATATCAGCATATGAAAATAACCAGCTTCAGCAGCTTCAGCATGCCTTTTGCACATCAGCTTACATTTTATATAGCTTTCTCTGTCATCATTGTCCTAATCATTATCATTAAATGCTAGTGTTTTTGAATTCCTCAACGTTTAATACTGTTTGCAGGTCGACATCATCTTTAGTGAGGATGTGGGGCTTCTCACAGCCATTAAGACCTTAATGACCACCACTAAGAGACCAATTATACTGACCACTAACGGTGAGTTCTGTTTACTTCAGAAAACTATTTTAAAGCTATCCGGATGTGTTTGTGTTCAGAATGTAACTGTGCAATACTAAATTTTCACAGATCCGCTGTTTAGCAAAACTTTTGATGGCCGTTTTGAGGAGGTCCGTTTCAAAACTCCTCCAGTGGTAAGTGCTGAACTATCCGCACAATTGGTTGTCATCAAAACCACTGCCTTTACCTATACTCCACCTATTCCACCTCCACCAGTTTAGCCCTGCCCACTCACACTGAAGTTATAAGGAGTGTTGCAGCCTGCACTGCTGTGCTATATTTTGTTTACCTCCCTCTCATGTTTAAGACTGATATATGTAAACAGAAGTGGGAACAAGTCACTAAGTTACAAGTGACAAGTCTCAAGTCCTGACACTCTAGTCCCCAGTCAAGATAGTCGAGTCTCGATTCAAGTCTGGAGTTCCACTCCAGAAGGTGAGTCTCAAGTTGAGTCCCACATCAATAGTCCTAATCTTCAAGTCCTAAACAAGTCAGTCTGCATTCTTCAGCTAATTTAAGGCCATAACACTGAATAATGGTAACAATCATATAGCTTTTTAATGACAGCTTGTTAGCATTGTATGGCTGTATATTAATTAATAATTAATTAATTATTTATTTATTTATTTATTTTTTTTTATCCTCCCAACTAAAATATAAAATCCATAGTACACAGATAACCATGACAAGCATATTGTATACACAAAGAGTAGTGCAAGCCTAAGTTGACTTGTTTTTGTCAGCAGCTTCTTATGAGGATTTTACATTCCGGCGCCTGACTGCAGCACCATTTAAGGTGGAACAGCAGATTCTGGAAACTGGCAAACAAAAGTCGGCCTCAGCTTTGTGGTGAAAGCTGCACTTGTTTTACCTGCAGAATCTGTTAAAATCGTTCAAATAGTAAGAGTTGTGTTTCTTTGATTTGCTACCACGTAGCTGGAGTTTAAGAGCAGAGTTTGGCTTATAGATGCTGTTGATGCTTCGCTTGTTTCCAGCTTATGGAGGCGATCTTGAACTCTAACTCTTGTCTTCCGAAATAAACCTGCTGTATAATTAATTTACGGCAGAAAACGAATCCATTAGAATGAAAACTAAGCGGCTGTGTAGAGTCCCGTCTGCAGTCAGACTCTCCACGTTTCTCCCAACCAGTCTCGAGTGTTTCCGAGTCGTAAGGCTGAAGAGTCAAAGTCTTAGTCAGTGGTGTTGAAGTCAAAGTCAAATCACAAGTCTTTCTCGATTTTCTCAAGTCAAGTCTCAAGTCATCAAATTCGTGACTCAAGTCAAGCTCGAGTCCAAGTCGTATGACTCAAGCCCAGACCTCTGTATGTAAATGACCTGATTTCTGATTGACTGCCCTGTATTGTGCCTTATTGAAAATAGCAGTGTTGGCAGAAACACTCCTTATAACTTCAGTGTGAGTGGGCGGAGCTTAACTTGGTACACTGAATAGGTGTACATATGTAGATGCAGTGGTTTTCATGACATCAGAAACACTAAAACACTAAAAAATGTGGAAACAGTACTGTTAATATGGGCTTGGGAGTGAATGATACATTTTGAGTAGTGGATAAGATTATTTTATAAAAACGTGAGGGAAAAAAATGATTTTTGATTTATGGGACGGTCTGTGATGAGTGGAATGATACAGGTATGGTAAAAAAAAGGAAAAAACACACTTTGCAACCAGTCGGATTTTGGTCGGACTAACAATAAATAAAACATTAATAAACCCAGTGGTCCTGTTATTGTGCCTCTCTAAAAGGAGACTACCAGAAGCTACCTGCAGTGTTTGTGTTTGGTGGAGAGCGTGTGGCTGGACCCAGATGACCTCAGCGTCCTGCTGGCAGAGTGTGAAGGGGACGTTAGGAGGAGCGTGTTGGAGCTGGAGCTGTGGACGCGCAGTGGAGGAGGAAAGACACGCCGACACATTCAGAACACAGCACTGACCGTGAGTCGAATCTCAACATCACTGCAGCATTTCACCTCCAAATATTCAGCTGAGGAACATAAATACATAAAATACTTCACTCCATGCTGTAACAGCTCTTTTTGAATGAGGCAGCCAGTCAGAACAGAGCTTATTTACATGTATTAGTCTTACAGGAACAGCAACAAAAACAGCCTGTTTAATTCTAAAGGATAAACAGAGGCTGGAAAATGAACATGTAAAAATTAATTGATTATTTTTGGTTCCCCATATATTTCACAAGTGGGCCTTGAGGAAAATGTACGATATGGGCCCTTTAATGTTTCACGAGTAACACCACTCGCACAATCCTTTAGTGACACGGGAAGCTGTTGGTATTTAAATAAATTTAGCAGAGATATAACAAGAGATTTTGTAACTGTTGACTTCTCAGAGTCTTTCTTCCTTGGAGATACAAGACCTTCTTGTAATTATTTTTCAAAACACTTTTGACAAAATATCTTATGATAGGATTTAGTATCAAAATAAAAATATATTTATATGTTTTAAGTAAGTTTGACCCAAGACAAGCATCATAATTGTTGTTTCATGTAAAAATAATACCTAAGCATCTCTAAAAATAAATATAAAAAGAAGAGTTATCATCATTTTTTGTATTTTAGCATAAAAACAATACAACAAAGAATATTCAGACACCAACTTTCCATGGTTTATTTTTATTTGGGCTCATTTTCACAGCTTCAGAGTTGTAGGACAGTGATTGAATGACACAGCTACAATGCTAATGTAGATTAAAAAGTAATGTAAAGCTTATACCCCACCAATTTGTCTCATGCAAAGTTGTTCAGTATATCTAATATCCTTGATGATGTGGTTGTATGGCACACTGTTATGTATAAACATGGACTAAAGCACTTAAGCATCGCTAAAGCAGTAGCAACCACCTGGAAGACTGATTTTATTTATTTATTTATTTTTAAAGTCTGTACTTTAGTCTATGTTTATAGATAACAGTGAGTCATAGAGTGTCAGAAACCACATACATAAGTCTATTAGAGATACTGAACACTGCCACATGGTTTGAGAGAGGTGTGTGATGATTTAGGCATGCAGTTAGCACCATGCTAATTGGTGGGGTATAAGCTTTTATTAGCTCCAGGGCTAAAACTGAGGAAGTAAACTTTAGGCACTTAAACACGGCTGATCAACTTCATTTGGGGTAAGAGTGGAAAATGGGTACATTTAAATGTTCTACATAGTACCAAAAAAGGGTTCTTTGGCTTATAGTGGAGCCCTTTTGGTACTATATAGAACCCTTTTCAAAAAGGGTTCTTTAGAGAACCATCTACAACTCAACACAAAAAGCCCTTTTATGCATGCAAAGGTTCTTTGAGTGTTCATGGTTCTATATGGAACCATTTTCTTTACCATATTTTTAAGAGTGCAAGTAATTTGGTAACATTTGTGTCTGTTTCTCCTGGCTGTATTAGTGTGGCTCCTGGGCTGAGCTGGAAAGCACTGGGTGTTTGGATGTCCTGATGGAGATTTGGAGGACGGGACGGAGCCTTTTCTACTCAAACCTCAACCTACTTTTTGCTCCGCTCTCCAGAACCTCTCAAAACACAGATAAAAACACTTCTGAGGTGGACAGCCTTAAGTTTAAGGAGAAATTGGAAAAAGAAGAAAATTCCCCCAGCTTGAACGAGACAAGGCCTGGAAAGCTTTCTAGACTGAAAGTGAAGAAACATAAAGCTGCTGGAGATGAACTGAAAATGACACACTCTCCCTGCTCAAAGCTTGCCCGTCTTCACCTGGATATATTTAACCAATCCACTTCTCCTGTAAAATGCCAATCAGAACATTTCTCAGCTGAAGAAAGTTCATCTAAGCTTGTGTCCTGCTGCCTGGAATCACTGGCCCAGTTTTTTGACACCATGTCTTTCCTGGACTCCTGTATTTACAAGCAGCAGCTGCAGGTAGGAGTGGGCAATATGATGATATGTTATCGTTATCATGGTAAATTGGTGCAAATAGAATGCTGAACAGTATATTCTTTTGTAGATACTGTTGTGAGATTAGACAAGATAAACGGATATAGATACAAATCCCATTCAGCATAAACTGTAGAACAGACTCAGTTTATATCACAATACCTACATTTAGAGCCAGTTATTCATTCAGCCTAATGAGAAACTGTAGAACAGACTCGGTTTATATCACAATACCTACATTTAGAGCCAGTTATTCATTCAACCTAATGAGAAACTGTAGAACAGACTCAGTTTATATCACAATACCTACATTTAGAGCCAGTTATTCATTCAGCCTAATGAGAAACTAGGTAAAATAGGTTTTTTTTTTTTTACAATATGTTAAGCTCAGCAAATTAATATTAATTGTACATTAAATTGTGGAGAGCTATGTTTTTTGAGAATGTGTTCACTTATTTACACTCAATAAAACGTAATTTGACAGGAATGTTCAAACCTTTGCATGCGACTGTACATATTGTGTGCTGTAAAAGTGTCGATTGTCGTGATTTTCTGACTTTATCCGTATCTCCCACCCTTAACTGCAGGTTCCTGGACAGTGCCAGTCTGGTCCACAGGGCTGGATGGGTGCCAAACTGACGGACAGTTTAGTGGACGAACTGAGAGAGGAGGAGGTGAATCCACACTTGGAGTGCTCTTATGAGCTCCTGGCTGTTTTGGAGTCTCTGGGTTTCCACCAGTGCAGAGGAGAACTTTCTGAGACACTGAGAAAAGCTGAAAAACTGAAGGAGGTGATGGGAGGAGAAAGATTTACTCATCTGATGGAACATCTCATCCTTTCTGAGTCAGCTGATGCTTCTGCCTCTCAGAAGAGCAAACCTGGGTGAGCACTAATTTGTGGAGGGCTGTATTTGTTTCAGAGCTGTTGATGAATTGAACTGATAGTTTGGTGATTATATTTACACAACTTTCCTCTTAATGTAGTTAATCAGCCAGGATATGTCTGGTGTTTGAAGTTTGCTTCTGTAGTTTAAGCACTGGAGTAAACATGTAATGGAAGCTTATAGCTTTATGCCAAAAATCGAATTGTTAAAGGGCCCATATTCTACATTTTTCTTCTATTTTACTTTTTTTCCTGAGGCTCACTTATGACGTTTTTGTGGATTTATGCACCAAAAAAGTTGTAATTCAGTTTTATTTTGTTACCGTGGCTTTAAGATATATGTAAATGAGCTGTGTCCTGTTGGGCTGGCCTGTATTCAAAAAGCAGCCCAGGCTGGAACTGAGCTACTCCAGGCTGAATAGGCAGATATAGGTAAAAGTGTTGTTTCTGTAACATCACAAAACTATGGATTCATTTATGTCTATGCAGCTTAGTTTGTTTAGATGGACGAGATGGAGAGTCAGCAGACAGTTCAGAAAAATTAACAATGTTTAGATACTATATCAAACTCTTTTTTCCAAAAAAGTGGAAATTTTGTTTTTCCATGACAGGAGCCCTTTAAATAATCTCCAACAGACTTGATAATGTTGTTTCTGACATTATATGACACACGGTTGTCTATAAACATGGACTAAAGTAGGGACTCTATGCCTTTGTCCATTTTTATGGATGTCTTGTCTAACAGATTAGATCTGTGGTCAGAAGGGAAAATGTGCATATTTGATTTTTCTCTGAGCTGCCCCTTTAAATCATGTACTGCATCCTTTATAGAGTAAATTAGCCTAAAAACATTTACAAACAAAAGCCCTTCAGTACGTCAGGAGACTGGAGGTCAGTGCGCTGGTCCAGTGATATTCTGATGCACGGCTCATGACTTGTGAAAAGTGCTAAACTTGTAAAGACTGTTTAAAGTTTTGAACGAAACCTGACACTAAAATAACACTAGATTACTACACATGGCCTTATTTATCTTCTTGTTGTTACAGTGCTGACCAAAAGAGCAAAGAGGTCATCAACAAAGTGTTGTCTAGTAAGGCGTTCCGTTGTCATAGTAACAAGAACGCAGTTGCCGTGGACTACCTGCCCGTCCTTCGCTGTATATGCAGAATGGAAAGAGCGAAGCAGCAAAACAGACCCAGGTGATGTGTGGTGTATAGTTGATTTAACTGAATCAATCAGATAAAATCCATTATTATAACATTTTCTGGTTATTTTCAATCATTAACAATCCCAAAATACTAAGCATTTCCCAAATTCAGTTCAGAAAGACCACAGTATTCAAAGTTTGTTGCAACAAACTTGATTGAACTCAAAATGGCTTTGATTTTTAGCTGATGAGTTGATTCATGTGGCTTGAGGCAGAAAACACTAAATCATTAAAAAAACAAACATTCCTTTGAGTTATGAGTAACCGCTTTTGGTTCCCTGAAGACCCATGTTTGATTGAGAGATATCAACTGTGAAGAACATTTTAAAGGCTTAAAGCTGCACTGTGTAAGTTTTGGAGGATTTGGGGACCTCTCTGGTGGAAATGTATAATTGCACACAACATTTGGTTAATATTATTAGAGTTTTGTAGTGTGGGTTATGCTTTGGACCCCTTCCAAATCTCATGAATCTGATGATTGAAAGAGAATGTAAAAATGTGAGTGAATTATTTGCTATTGTCAACATACCATCATCAGCATAATGTTGATTTTGAGATCATTTGAGATGAAAACATCGAGCCAGACCTTCTTTTTGAGTCTGTGCGTGTCGTTAATATGTAAAGACGTACGATGTGGCGTGAAAAACTCAACGCCTCTGACTTTTAAATGACTATTTCAGGCTTTACAGGGCGACTCGCAGCAGCACGTTCACCATTTTTAGCCTATTTTTATTGTTCTCAGAACGTGGCACTTCTCTCAGTTTTAACTTTTGATTTTTTTTTTTTTGTTTTTAACAAAACAATCTCACATAGTGCAGCTTTAAAGAACCTTCACATAATGTAAAGGTTCTGTACCCGGTTGAGTTTATGCTATGTGGAGGTTCTTTTAACTTCTTTTAACATCCTCCTTTAAACTGGGGTTTGATCCCTCCCCTGGGCATGCAACCTACACTATACCAATAAGAGTCCTTGGGCAAGACTCCTAACACCGCCTTTGAAATTGAAATTGTAAGTCGCTCTGGATAAGAGAGTCTTCCAAATGCCATAAATGTAAATGTAAAGGTTCTTCACAGTTGCGCATCTCCAATTCAAACCTGGTTCCACTGAAAGCTTTCTGGCACCTTTCTTTGTTCAGAGTGTAGACAGTGATTCATGTGTGTTGATCTTCATCTCATTTTCTCAATTACAGATTTTTACATTATTTGAGTGACATTCGCCTGCCTCTCCCCAAAAGCACTCTCAAACTGCTAGCCTTGGATCTACACTGATACAGCTCCTCCTGGATAATCTGTATAACAGCATAATAATAAGAGGAAGAAGATGTGAAAAGTGTCAATTTTAATAATGTATATAATTTTCTAATTTATTGATAGCCTTATGCTCTAGACATGGTTTTAAATGAAAAGTACCCTCATGAACTGTTACTGTCCTCACATTTAATTTAACACAATAAATATGCAATTTATACACTTTCCTTTTAGCAACCAGGCTCTAGTTGTGCATTTAAAAAACGCCTTCCTCTAATTAAGGCAGCAAGAACAGAGAAAAACTGTGCTAGATCATTAGTCTGAGGTGTTCATAGCTGGAAAGTAGAGGTTTGTGGGGAAAGTCCATCTTTATTATAGAACAATGCTGGAACGACAGTCTTACAGCTTCCAAAGAACTGGATGTCCTGTACACCATGAAAGTGATGCACTCTTCTCGCTGCCAGTCTTAAGATGGTCATCACTCAGGCCGTGTGCGTCCACCATATTTCACTTGTGCTGCACACAGTGCAGACGTAGGATGTGTCAGTCTACAAAACATCAGAACAGAATGTAAATTTGTATGATTAAAATAAATAGTGTGTGGACACCCCTTCTACCTGAGTTCAGGTGTTTCAGCCACACTCATTGCTAACCGGTGTATAAAATTAAGCACAAAGCCTTGCAGTCTCCATAGATGAACACTGGCAGTAGAATCGGTCATACTGATGAGCTTAGTGATTTTGAATATGGCACAGTCATGAGATGCCCCCTTCAAAACAAATCAGTTTGTGAAAAGTCTGCCCTGCTAGATCTGCTCCAGACAACTGCAAGTGCTATTACTGTAAAATGGAAGCACGTAAGAACAACAATATGCCACGAAGCGGTAGACCACAAAGATTCACAGAGCGGGACCTCCGAGTTCTGAAGCACGTAAAAATCACCCATCTTCTGTTGCACCACTCACTACAAAGTTCCAAACTAGCTCTGTTATAGCTGCAAAGTGGGGTGGGTGGGGGGGTGCAGGATGTTCAATAAACTTTTATAGGTGTGATGATCAGGTGTCCATATACTTTTGCATATAGTGTATCACTTCAACTGAACTACAGTGTGTAAACTTTTTGAATAATTTACAGTGTTGACCCCTTTGGTGCCTAATTGTTAGAGCCTTGCTGAGCACAGTTTGAGGTTCTAAAACCTTTTTGCTCCACTCACATGTCCATCTGTCCTTCACTCTGTGAGCAGCTCGTAGAAAGCCACAGCCTGCAGCAGTGCGTCACACAGCTCCTCCCCTCTGTTCCTGCTGTTTATGTGGAACGCCCCCTGATACCTCATCAGCAGCTCTCTGGGGAACGTCACCCGTGGATACTTTTTCGTCACAGACTCAGTCATCATCTGCCTGACCGTCTGAGCGCCGCTCGTCCGACTCTCGCCCACCATCAGGCTGAAATGTCGGCCCACTGTGGTGCGCATCATGTTTAAAACCTTCGGGGCGGAGCCTGGCTCTCTCCTCGGGCTTAGCAGAGCGAAGAGCATGGCCTCCACCGTCCGCAGGTGAGCCATGACCGGGTACAGCGTTGTGTTCTGGAGAGATATGCCCGGCTTCTCCACCACAAACAAATCAGCGGCGGGAAGGTTTGAAACCACGGCTGAAATCTGGAGCACAAAGTGTAAAAAGAGGGTAATCCAGCGTTCAGTACCAGAGGAAGGTAGTAACTAGTTACATTCACTTAGTTACATGTACTCAAACTGATGGTTTTCTGAGTTGACGTAGGATATAAACACTGTTACAGTTTCAAAACATATTCACTTCCTATTCCACAAAGTCCATATATGGAAACTAAGCTACAAAAACAGGCTGTTCTTAGTTCACAGCTTTTGTGATGTCACAAAAACCAACACATATCCACCAACGCACATCCCCCCAGTAGTTTAGGCCTGCCCATTCACACTGAAGTTATAAGGAATGTTTTAGCTTGAACTGCTTTATGAATGAGGCAAAATACAGGACAGCCAATCAGAACAGCTCATTTACATATTAGTCTTAAAGGCACGCTAACAAAAACAGCCTGTTAAAAAGGGATAAAGAGAAGTTGGAAAATGTCATGCATAAATTAATTATCACCGATCTTCGTACATAAAATGAGACAAAAGTTATAAGTGGACCTTATGGGAAAAAAAATCTTAGAAAAATGTAGGATGTGGATCCTATAACATTTATTTATGTTCTTTTTTGAGGTTCACTTCCATTCTGCTGTGCTGGTTCAGCTCCTGTCCTGCTTTACGGTTCATCACTCCTCTCATTTTAAGACCATCAGCATTTTATTTTACACCCAAATGATCCAAAAGGAAACAAAGTCTAACAGACATCAGTTCCTGTGCTGAAAGATGCTGGATAGACTAAGAAGTTCCACTGTTCGAGTTCCTCAGTAGTCAGAGTTTTCTGAGCTGCTACTCAAAGGTATTTTAATTTTATGAATTAAAAACACTTTTACTGCAGTACAGGTTTAGGTTATTCTACACATCTGTGTCCGTTATAAAACAAGCATTAAAAAAACAGTAAAAATATAATCTCTTTTGAAAAAATACACAGAACCAACAGTCTTACATCTTCCAAATAACTGGATGCCATGTATGTCCCGTTCATGAAACTGCGGCACTCCTCCTGCTGCCAGTCTAAGATGGTCATCGCCCGGTCCACATGCGTCCACGCTATTTTATTTGTGCCGCACACAATGGAGACGATAGATGTGGCAGCCTGCAAATATAACATAAGAGAGGATTCAAAACAGGTCAGATTATACTTATCGTCATCAAACTGAACCTATTTTTTTTGTCCTGCTGCCAGTTTTTGATAGAAAAGCATTCTAAAAGAGATTTCTAATCCCTGTGAGTTTCTCCTGGTTAAATAGAAAGGTGAAAGAAAGTAAATCTTACATTAATGTATGTTAAAGGGCAATAAAAAAAAATTACAAGTTGCTTCATATGTTAACATGCTCCCTCGCCTTCTACAGCTGCACTGCAAATCCTAAAAACGTCCCCCTTCTGATGATGTGTCTTGAAGGTGGGGATCCTTTTGAAAAACTTTTGATTGTATGCCGTAATGCATGTTGGGTCCCCACTTGAGAGCGGGTTGATTGTATGCAGTAATGCATGCTGGGTATTGCAGTGAAAGACCGTTAAATAGATAAATCTTAATTGTCATTGTTTAAAAACAATTAGAAACATTTAGCAGCTCTACAATTGAAAGCAAGGGCATAAATTAAAAAAGAACATAAAGATAAATAAGGCCAAAGATGTAAAGATATATTTCAATATCACAATACATAAACTGTGAATTCTGTCAAACTGATGAGGCTGAGGGATATATCGTAACTACAGAATACTGCAAAAGACAACAAATAACATATTAAACTATTATTTTTAGACTGAAATGTCTATTTTTCCTGTAAGTTTCCATTCCAGATACAAGATTTTGTTATGTGTTGTTAGTCTCTAAAGGATTGAAATCTTTTTAAGGATCTTCTACTATTCCAGGACTTCATCAGGAAAACTATCTTGCTGTTTATTCACCTGTAAATGTGCCTTGTCCACTAATGGTCTGATGAACTTTGCAAGCTGGAGTTTCTCCTTCCTCTTCTCTCTCCGCACATCCGGGTGCAGGATGGAGTTAAACACGATGACGGCGCTCTTATGTTTTAGCAGCGGCACGTTTACAACACTTTCCAGATCTTTAAAGGGTCCGTTTCTTGTCCTGTACTCCAGCATATTAACCAGTTTTCGCCCTCTGAGCAGCTTGACCCCGGCCAGTTCAGTCTCTGACCCCGTGTTGAGGAGCTTTAGGATAGTCTCCCGCTGCTCAGAGGTGTAGAAGGAGTCCAGCGGTTTGTTTTCCCCGCAGAGATCCAGAGCTTCGATGCTGAACGGCTCCAGACCTGCAGCTGGGATCCGGACCGCCCTGCGACAGCATGTGCAGTACAGGGGGCGGAGCTTAACGGGAGGGAGGAGACCTGAGTGACCTACAGAACACAGAGTTAATTAAGGCCAATTTAATATGAATTGAACACAAACAAGGTTAATAAACGCAAAATGTTTTTAGCTAAAGGAAATAACTTTTATTGTAACTAATATTATTATTCGGAAGTCACACATATTTTAATTAATGCATATAAGTTATGAAAAAAAATCTATAGTGGGCTAATACGAGAGGAAGGTGTTACAGTATATGCAGACAATTATTATAGTTTACTATTTATTTACATTTAATTCAGTGCAGTTTTTAAAACATTTAATAAAAAACATTGTATTATTATTGTTATGATTATGATTATTATTATCATCATTAGTTGTAGTAGTAATAGTAGTGGTATTTTTGTGTGGCAATATAGCTTCTATTTTGTCTGTTCCAACTTATTAAAATCTTACAGAAACAAAATCGTGATGTATTGTGTTTCATAAAAATGTCTTTAAGTGTCATATGTTTTTGCCATATCGCCAATCCCTCCATTTAATGTTCATACTTTTATTCAAAATTACATTTTGATTCTCATTTTTGTGTTTGTTCAAATTAGCAGTCCCATGTAACCAAAAGATTGAATTTAATTTAAATTAATTTTTACTTAAGTAATAAAAGTCATTTTTGAGCTCATGTTTTGCATACATGTAACTTTACATTTTATAATGCAAATTACCTTTTCATTTTAAAGCAAATAGTTTCAAGTTACAAAAAAATCCAATTAAACGCAAAACATTAACTTTGTTAAATCCAAATTCTCTTCATTGACGCTGCTGTATCTTTGCTAGGTTAGCCAAGCTAGCTGGCTAATGGCTAAAGCAGCGGCGTGTTTTAACACTTTTTTGTCTTTATGCGCTTCTTCAAAAAACCCCGATCAAATGTGTTTTTACCTCTGAGGAGAAGAGAAGACAGAAACCGCGTAGCAACCAACATCATCGATCATTTTACTAAAATAAAGCTTAAACAGCTGAAATCTTCCATAACCTGTCCTCAACTGCTTGACAATTATGGTCCGGGCGGGATCCACAGGCTGCATGTTTTTAGTTCCGGATGAGAACAGTTCCGTCTCTGTGAAACTATTCCTGCTGCTGTTTCACTTTCGATTCCTGAACAACGCCTAAAGTTTCTCCACCATGTCTGCAGCGCATGAGGAGATACTGAAAGTCGTCGTCAACAGCCTGAAGTGCTCCATTTGTTTTGAGCTCTTTGTGGAGCCGGTCACTCTGGCCTGCGGTCACAACTACTGCTACAAATGCATAGAGAGCCATTTGGTCCGCGGAAAGAGAAACTGCCCTCAGTGCAGGTTTTCGCTCCCAGCGCAGCACAAACTGAGGAAAAATGTCGCTCTGTCCAACATCCTGGACCTGCAGGAGGCTGGAGGCCGTGAAATATGGAACGAAGTGGTGGCGAGAACAGATCATTGCTTCAGTTACCAAAGAGAGAAGCTAACAAGAGTGAGTTTCGCCTTCTCCTCTTAGTCCTGTTAGTATTGGGTTCTGTGATCAGTGTTCTGTGTTCTGTGCCCTGTGTTCTGTGTTTTGTTCTCTGTGCCCTGTGTTCTGTGTTCTGCACCCTGTGCCCTGTGTTCTGTGTTTTGTTCTCTGTGCCCTGTGTTCTGTGTTCTGCACCCTGTGCTTTGTGTTCTGTGTTTTGTTTCCTGTGCTGTGTGCCCTGTGCCCTATTGTGTGCCCTGTAGTTTGTGTTCTGTGTTCTGTACCCTGTGCCCTGTGCTTTGTGTTCTGTGCCCTGTGCTCTGTGTTCTGTGCCCTGTGCTCTGTGTTCTGTACCCTGTGCCCTGTGCTTTGTGTTCTGTGCCCTGTGCTTTGTGTTCTGTGCCCTGTGCTCTGTGTTCTGTACCCTGTGCCCTGTGCTTTGTGTTCTGTGTGCCCTGTGCCCTATTCTGTGCCCTGTGCTTTGTGTTCTGTGCCCTGTGTTCTGTGTTCTGGGCCCTGTGCCCTGTGCTCTGTGTTCTGCACCCTGTGCCCTGTGCTCTGTGTTCTGCACCCTGTGCCCTGTGCTTTGTGTTCTGTGTTCTGTGCCCTGTGCCCTGTGTTCTGTGCCCTGTGTTCTGTGCCCTGTGCTTTGTGTTCTGTGCCCTGTGTTCTGTGCCCTGTGCTTTGTGTCCTGTGTTCTGTGCCCTGTGCTTTGTGTCCTGTGTTCTGTGTTCTGTGCTCTGTGCTTTGTGTCCTGTGTTCTGTGTTCTGTGTTCTGTGTTCTGTGCCCTGTGCTTTGTGTTCTGTGCCCTGTGTTCTGTGCCCTGTGCTTTGTGTTCTGTGTCTGTGTTCTGTGTCCTGTGTCCTGTGTTCTGTGCCCTGTGCTGTGTGCCCTGTGTTCTGTGCCCTGTGCCCTATTCTGTTCCTTATATATTATGTCAAAATAATGACTTACCATGTCTAAATATTGACTTATTCTCAAAATAATGACATACAATGTCAAAATAAGGGCTTAAATAATGACATAGTACCTTGTAACTTGACTTATTGCCCTAAATAATTGCTTACTTTCTTGAAATGTAGTAACTTATTATTTCAATATAGTATCTCCAAATAGGCTTCCGTTCATGCCACTTCTGTATTTTATGATGGTTTTGCACTGTTTTTACACTGTAGGCCAGTTTTGCCAGTTTTACAGACCCTGCTTAAGTGTTGACTTAAAAGCATTTCAAACTGTGATTTTTCATCTGAAATTACACAAACATTGTATACCAATCTAAAGTTATATATGTGTATAAGAGAGAATGAGATCAAGGGAGGGAAATCATGTAAATTTCATTTTCCACAAAACCATCACTTTAAAGCAGTGTTGACTGCAATAAAAGCAGTGCTGACTGCAATACATATGCATCCTTTTAAATATTTTTATATTATGTTTTATTTTTTCTCAGGAAGCTTTGGTGAGAAGACTGGAGTCCTTGAAGCTGGAGATCAAAGAAATAGAAATCTTCCTAACTGAACTAAACTGCCAGGTAGGGACAATATAGAAGAGGCACTCTTTGTTTATATAAAGTGTACATGTGACCTACATATTTTAACCTTACTGTATCATATAGGATGAGTCCATCATTATGGAAGAGGACACTCAGACTGCGGAGCTTTTCAGTTCGTCACTGGACAGTGGATTAGGAGCTGCTGGCAGCAGTTTATCCAGCCTGCCTTCAGAACCTGAGGACAGTCTGAACAGCCTTTCACACATGGAAGAGGTACCTTATATTAACAAGCCTCATGATTTATTCTGTGAAATGTCTTTTAAAGATCCTCGTGCGACGCTTATGTGGTTCTATGCACCACAAATTCGTTTCATAACTGACCATTTTCCAACATCTGTTTATCCTTTACAATTAAACAGGCTGGTTTTGTAACTGTTTTTGTTACAAACTGATATATGAAAATGAGATCTTTTCTGATTGTCTGTTCTGTATTGTCCCTTATTCAAAAAGCCTTCTAAGTTGAAACACTCATACATATAATGTCAGTGTAAATGGGTGGGGCTAAGCTGGCTGAATTGGCACATATTCATTGCCACTATGGGAACAAAATCTCATTTGTCCCAGTACCTTTAACATTTATCCCAGTACCTTCCAGTAACAGTATTTTTATGTTAATGGAACATGATTTTATCCGTATTTACTTATTCTTATATGTCATTCTGGACCATTTCTGTTGGTCCATTCATCATAATTTACAATATAATTCACCATTTAAAGGGCAGCTGTTTGTTCAAATGATGTAAAAAAACATAATAATAATAAATTGGAATTGAGGACCGGGGAGTGAACAGTATGTTTAAAAACTTAACTAGTGTTTGCATACTCCATACTCAAAAAAGATGGTTCTTCAAGGGTTCTTTAGTTAAGAAAACGGTTCTATATAGAATCTTGAACGCTCAAAGAACCCTTTGCATGGTTTGTTCTTCACATAGATGGAGAATGTGCTGTAGATGGTTCAGTTTAGAACATTCTTGAAAAGTGTTCTATATAGCACCAAAAAGCTTGACATAGTAACATTAGCAGAACCCTGCTTGGTGCTACATAGATCTTTTTTCAGAAAGGTTCTATACAGAATCATCTACAGCACTTTCTCCGTTCTATATAGCCATTGCCTTTACTAAAGAACCCTTGAAGAACAACTTTTTTTAGGAGTGTATTTTATGGCTTTAAAGCAGGCATCTCAAATGGGGGACTTGAAGACAAAGAGCAGCCGATATTAGCGTTTACCCTCATCCAACGCTCTGTGTTCAGTTCACGAAGGCCTCGCTAATTACCTGATGAGTTGAATCAGGTGTGTTTAATGAGGCAGCGTGCTGAAGTCTGCAGTGTTTTGGCTTGCGAGGACTGGAGCCTGACACATGCTTTAATGTGACTTATCAGATTTCAGAACCAGAGCCCCAGAGAGTTTTATGAGTTGATAGATAGATGTGTTTCTTTCTCCAGTCTGAGGCTGTGCTGCCTGATCCAGTCAGTGATGCAGGGGAGATCAGTGAGGTCCTGCTGGAGGATAGAGATGCTCTGGCTGGTTTGACTGGAGCCTGCGGTCTGTCCGATTCTGCTGCAGTGCGGCTGAAGTTCAGTGAACCTGCAGGTAAATCTGTCTTCACATAAAGATTTATTACTGTGTGAAATACTGACAAATGAAAGCATCTTAAAAAGTCAGTGAGATCAAAGAAAACTATCTACAAATACAGTCATAAAAGCAAAAATAAGTACAACACATTCAGAAATTGTACACCAGCGAGGTGGAGCTACAAGAGAGCGGTTTCTGATAAAGTGGTCAGGGAGTTCACTTTACCATTTGTAATGAAATACCCTTTAGTGTAAGATATGTTTGACAAAGATTAAGATTCACAATTTGCATAGTGTGATAATTCTGTGACGCTACCACAAGCTACCACTAGGTGGTCACACTTGTACAGCCTTCAGGGCAGCACATAACAAACAATGCAGAAAGTTTTAAAAATTGGGTCTTTTAAGCAACAATTATGGGTTTGTTTCTTTGTATATCAGTCTCTTACAAAGCCATATGACCATAATAAGTGATTTAAAAGTACAATGAAAAACAAAACACAATATACAAATGTACAGACACAATTTTGGTTTTAAAGGACTGCTATGGCTTTTTTTTTTTAGCTATGCTTATGTATTCAGTCCATGTTTATAGATAACAGAGAGTCATACAGTGTCAGAAACCACATGATCAAGTCTATTAGTGATACTGAACAGCTCCACACAGTTTGAGGCGAGTGTTGATTTAGGAAAGCAGTTAGCACCATGCTGTTTTTTTCCCTGCTTGTTAGCATTAGCCTTGTAGCTCCAGTGCAAAACCAATTAGACTTCTTTTCCCCACAGAATTTGTGCTGCTCTCCTTCTCACCGACTCTGGGTCACAGACGTTTGGCGTTCGTCCCGGAGAGACGGAGGATGCAAGTGAGGTCATCTTGCTCGCCGATGACCCAAAACAGCCGCTTCGATGCCTGTCAGTGGATGGCGGATCAGGAGTTTTCTGCAGGGAGGCATTACTGGGACGTGGACGTGTCGCTGTGCTCCAGCTGGGCCGCCGGCGTGGCGTATCCAGACCTGGGCCGGAACCAAAAGCTCGGCAGGAGCTCCTCGTCCTGGTGCATCGAGCGGAGCAGCGCACGACTGAGCGCCTGGCACAACAACGCAGAGACTCCACTCAAACAGGGCTGCCCTGAGAGCATTAGGGTCCTGCTGGACATGGTTTAGGGGTCGGCTGTCCTTCTGGAGCCTGACGGATGGACAGGAAGAGCTGTACAACGTCCAGGTGGACTTCTGTGGCCCAGTTAGACCCATGTTCTGGCTTTTTGGGACGCAGCAGAGAAATGCTCTGATCTTTCCTGCGACTTACAGATGAATAATCAACTTGATGGTTCACCATGAACACTCAAAGAACCCTTACATGATTAAATGGTTCTTTGCATCATGAAAGGATTCTTCAGATTGATGGAGAATGTGCTGTAGATGGTTCTACATAGGACCTTCTTGACAAGGGTTCTGTATAGCACCCAAAAAGGTTATTCTATTGTTACAATCTTGACTTCGTAAAAATAGAAGAACTCTTATGGGTGTTATACAGAACACTTTTCAAAAAGGTTCTATATGGAACCATCTACAGCACATTCTTAAGAACCCTTTCATGATGCAAAAAGCCCTTTAATAATGCAAAGTGTTCTTTTAGTGTTGTTTATAGAATCTTTTTCTTTACTGAAGAACCCTTGAAGAGCCATCTTTTTTAAGAGTATATTGTCTTGTAGTCTCTTTATTGTGTTGTTTTCTCCTTTTGTCTTTGTTTTGTTTTTAAGCAGCATTTTTCATTTTCATTTCATTTTGTTTATGTCACAAGTTCCAAAACATTTGCCTATCCAGTCTACAGTAGCTTGTGAGGTGAGGAGTTATGAGGGGTGTTTCAGCCTGGACTGCTCTTTAAAGGCCCAATACAGAGCAGCCTATCAGAACAGAGCTCATTTACATATATCAGTGTTAAAGCCACAGTAAAATGAACATCCTGTTTAGTTCTAAGGGATAAAGAGAGGTCATGTGGAATCAATTATGGCTGCTTTTAGTGCATAACTAACACTTACATCAAAAAAGTATGGAAAAACTGTAGGATATAGGCACTTTAACTGAAAACCAAAAGGAGAATTGTCCAGTGCTCTTCTCCTACTGGACTTTAGCTTAAAGATGAATTACACTGATGTAAAAGATATGAACAAAGTCATTCAGAGTGGTTTGGTGTGAAACGGTCTGTTCTAGAGAAACTTACCGAGACAGAATTGTTCACAGCGGTGGTGATAGGAACCAGACGTCCACCTCTAACAGCTCCCTCACAGAAAGTTGTTACATGAAATGGTTATGAATTCACTGCCTGATGTCAGAATTGTTTTATGATAGTTTTGAGAAAATGTTGACCTTAATTCAATTCACGGTGGAGGGATACATACAGGACGCTGTGAAGCAAAATAGTCCCCAAAGAAAACTTATTATTTCAGATTTTCACCATCATCAACATTCCATGTGAAATTCAGAAGACACGTGTAGGTTCACTTGTGGTTTTGGATAGTAAATACAAATATTTGTGTGGTAGTCATGGCAACCTCTGGTTCCTATCACCACCACTGTAGAAAAATCTGAACCATTTCACACCAAACCACTCTGAATCTCTCTGTTTACATCTCAAGCACTGAATTATGGAAACATTTTTAAATAAGCAGTGGAATTTCCCTTTTTGCCTTGCCATGCAATGCCGTTGTAAACAGTGTTGGGGAGTAGTGAACTGCACCAGTAGGTTGTATTTTGCAGTATCTTGCTGGTAGTTCAACTACATTCATATTTGCGTAGTGATTTCAGTAGTTAAATTACTTTTTTGCCATTTTTTGTGTAACTACTAAAACTACAAACAATTTTGAGCTCCGAAAGGCTGACATTCCTTGCACTTTCCCATGAATAGTGGGGTATTTTATTTTGTCTGACCTGTAAACAAGTGGGCACTTTTGCAATAAACTCAACTGTGTGGAATTTCTTGCTGGCATGTAACTGTATTATATTTTGTTATAATTTCATATCACATGCACATGGTCAATTTGATCATTTTTTCACAAAGTAGTTTAAGCTACTTTTTGCACACTTAAAAAAGAGGGGTTCCATAGTAAAGACAATTCTATATAGAACCATGAACACTCAATGACCATTTGCATGCTTAAGGTGTTCTTTGCATGGCAAAATGTTTTTTTAGATTGGAGAATGTGTTGTATATGGTTCTACACAGAACCTTTTGAAAAGATTTCTAAAAAGCACCAAAGATTGTAACAGTAGAAGAACCCTGTTTGGTGCTATGTAGAACACTATATTAGAACATTCACACTCCACCAATCTGAAGAACCATTTCTCCATGCAAAGTACCATTTAAGCATGCAAATGGTTCTTCGACTGTTCATGGTTCTATTTAGAACCATGGTCTTTACTGAAGAACCCTTCAAGAACCCTCTTTGTAGCTTTAATAGCTTTAGTTGAGTGTAGCTTTAGTTAAGTGCACAGTGTATATATTAATACCTAGTGTGGTATTTACGTTTTAAAGTTAAGTGCACGGAGAGACATGTTTTATTTTTGACAGCAAATATATGTATTAATAAATACATGCTTAAAGTACGTTACACTAAATGTAAATCATTTTCACAAAAGAACATCCTTTAATAAGCTCTTCTTATTAATCTATTGTAAATGCACGCGCACGTCTCTGAGAGCCACTTCGCGTGCTGGAATTGGCCCTGAGAGGGATCCGTAGACACGTTGGAGGTCAGTAGGAGGAGGAGAGTGGATGTTTGAGCAGTGAAGTCCAGCAGCAGGACCAGGCTGACCGGGCTCATCAGGCTGGAGGGGCTTCAGCTACACAGCGGCTGCCTCTATATCACACTGTAGCTGTACTGTGTGTGTGTCGCTGTGCTGGAGCTGCAGCTTCTGCATTATTATATTCATTATCCACATCCAGCGCTTATAGCTTAAATGCTACTCGGTCTCAGTTCCCTCGAAGACGAGATTAGGTGTGAGGAAGATGCGCAAGGACGTCAGGATTCTGCTGGTGGGAGAACGTAAGTCGTATAAGGTGTTTGTGTGGCTTCTGCAGCCACAGCGCATCTCTGTCCTTTCACTTTATAGTCCTCGAGTAATAATATCGAGGCATTGTGAGGCTGGAGTTCGTATCTTTTTCGAATTTTACGTTCCACCTTAAATGGTGCAGCAGTTACATGGTGGAGCCTGAACCGCCAGAATATAACTGCACCATTTAAGGTGGAACGGAAAATTCCAATAAGAAGCCAATTTCTTCTGGATTATCCTCTGTTATTTACACTTGCACTGACGTTAGTATTGGCCACAACTGTTGATCTCTAGCGTGGTATTTACTTTTTAAAGGGGAATTCCACCAATTTTTCTAAATTTCTGTATAATTCATTTTTTGAGATGTAATCAGAGTGATTCAAAGTGGTTTGGTGTGAAATGGTTTAGAAGTCTTTACAGTGGTGGTGATAGGAACCAGGGGTCACCATGACTGCAACACAAATATAGACATTTTATTTACTATCTAAAACCACCAGTGAACCTACACGCGTCTTCTGAGTTTTGTATGGATTGTTGACGATGGGAAAATAGTGGAAAATCTCAAATAATAATAATTTTTCTTGGGGGACTGTTTTTGCCTCACAGCACCCTGCATGTATCCTGTCACCATGTATGGGTTAAACTGATTAGAATACAAAACTGTATCACACAACTATTATGAAACAGTGTCTCAGACATCAGGCAGTGAATTCATAATCATTCCATGTAATAACTTTCTGTGAGGGAGCTTTTAGAGGTGGACATCTGGTTCCTATCACCACCACTGTGAACAATTCTGACTCAGCAAGTTTCTAAAGAACGGAGCATTTCACACCAAACCACTTTGAATGACTCTGTTTACATCTTAACCATTTAGTTAGCTAGAGTTTTATAAAAATCAGTGGAGTTCCCCTTTAATGTTAGTATCACAAAGTGTCTCCAAGTTTAAACTCGTCTTTTAAAATAGGTTTCATGTGGTGCTTTTGCAATCTTATAGACTTTTCAGTTGCCTCACTATCATTCATTGACTTTTAGTAGTCCGCTGTGGATAATTCTCTAGTCTACACATGTCCACTGTGCCCTTGTTTTATGTAGCTTGTTGTAAGGAGTAGTAAGGTTCACCAGCCTTGACCCCTAAACCACTTTCATACATGTTTCACTTCCAACTCACGTCTGATTAATTAGATTGGTAATCTGGATTAGATATGTTGGATTTAAGGTTGGATCTCAATGGGCATGACCAATTGTCATTACATGCATCTCTGTTTTGCTGCTGTTATCTGATTTGTTTTATTTACTTTATATGTCAGGCGTTTATATAAACAGTATGGACTGTAAATGAGCCAACATTAGCCCAGAAGGCTAAAGCTAAGTGTATGTGATCAATTCATTCTGGCCTGTCAGTTACTGCTCACAACACACATACAACACAACATTCACAATGAAGTCCAGGAAAGGCTTCATTTGCATGTTTTAAGGGGGAATACGACCGATTTTTTGCAAAATTTCTGTATAATTGATAGTTGAGATGTAAACAGAGTGATTCAGAGTGGTTTGGTGTGAAATGGTTCAAATTTCTTCACAGTGGTGGTGATAGGAACCGGGGGTCACCATGACTACAACACAAGTGTAGCTTTTAGAGGTGGATGTCTGGTTCCTGTCACCACCACTGTGAACAATTCTGACTCAGTAAGTTTCTTTAGAACAGAGTATTTCACACCAAACCACTCTGAATGACTCTGTTTACATCTTACCTATTTAATTCTACAGAAATTGTGAAAAATTGGTGGACTTCCCCTCTAACACATGCACCCAGTGTCCAGTTCCTAGCTGGATGCTGAGAATTGGAGGAATAGGTCAGGAGTGAATGCATACATGCCTTCAGTCAAAGTGCTAAGTAGACGCTCAGTGCATGCTGCTCCTAAAAACAGCTAGTTTTGCATTGCAAATCAAAAGCATAGCAAATAACAAATTTGCATTGCAGGTTGTGATGTGGTGTGTAACTGTTAGTTAAAGCAGGGAGGCTGCTGTGGTGAAACTAGGTTGAAGGGCTCTCTGGGAAAAGTGTTTCTTTTTAAATAACAACTCCAATTGCAGCGCTGGCTGTTTGAATATTTAGTGAAATTAATAGCTAATTGTATGCTCTATGATACTGCTGTTTACAGTCATCACTGTTGTTATACACAGATAAAGAGATAATAATCTCACTGTGTGCTTAAACAAAGCTTCAGATTTCACAGGCTTATAATCAAACAAACTTGGCTCTGTCTGCAGGGCTGGCCCCAAGTTAAAGGGCCCATATAGTACTTTTTTCTTGCATTTTGAGGTCCATTTAAGAAGTTTGTATGGTTTACGTTTCAAAGAACAGTAATAATTAATGTTTACTTGCCCAGTGTCCAACCTCCCTTTATCCCTAACAAATAAACTAGCTGTTTTGTTACTGTGTCAGGCTGAAACACTCCTCATAACTTGTAGTGTAAATTGTGGGCAGAGCTAAACTACTGTAGGCTGTAGGCTACTGTAAGCAGCTATATAATCCAGTGATTTTCATGACATCACAAAAACAATGAATTGAAGACTGGCTTCGTTTTAATGTACAGACTATATTGACCGGAAAGTGAATGGTACATTTTGAGACTTTAAAATACTTCATAAAACTTTGAGATTAAAACTCATTTGTTTTTTCATGCTGTTGGTCCTTTAAACCTAGAATGGACTGTGGCCTCTATTTTTGGGAGGTAATTTGTCAACATGTACCTCATTCTCAAATGTGATCATTAGTTGCTGTGTGCAGAAAGTGTCCCGTGTGGTTACATTTAATTGAACCCTGAAATAAAACAGTTAATCATAAATAAACAAATAGGCCAGTTAGGCCTTAAAGGGGCACTCCAGCCAAAATGAAAAATTTAACCATCGCAACATCTGATGTAAACATGCTTACTCCCCTCCTACAGCTGTGCTTCAGTAATCTTTGGAGTGAGACATTCAGGTTTAAAGGCTAGGAGAACACCCTTCTGCTGATATACAGTCATGTGCAAAAGTTTTGGTGCCCCTGGTCAAATGACATGTGGTTGATTTTTTCTAAGTGAAAGTCTTAGCAGTAAATAGTGTTACACATACAGAGTGAGGGTGACCAGAGCAGTTAAACTTAATCTCACTGTAAGCACAATATGCTCTTTTAAACAGAAAGATCAGTTACGGAAAACCCAGACTGTCTCCCAGCTGCAGTAAGGGGACCAATATTGGGGGGACACCCATCATTCTAGCGGTATTAGCATCCAAGTAAACAAAAACGTCATTATTGAAAAAAATGTTTTCTTTGAAAATCAAATGAGTCTTGGACATTAATCTGCACACAAACATTAATTTGGGTGAGCAATGTGATTTCATTTATTTACAGTTAAAATTGGTCTTTAAGGGTTCTTTTGTAAAGATAATGGTTCTATATAGAACCTTGAACACTCAAAGAACCACTTGTATGGTGAAAAGATTCTTCAGACTAAAGGAGAATGTATTGTATATGGTTCTAAATAGCACTAATAAAGGTTCTGCTATCGGTACTGTGTCAAGCTTGTAACAATAGAAGAACCATTTTTTGATGCTATATAGAACCATTTTCAAAAATATTTTTCTGTATAGAACCATTTACAACTCATTCTCCATCGATCTGAAGAACCATTTCACCATGCCAAGAATGATTTAAGCATACAGATGCTTCTGTGAGTGTTTATGGTTCTATACAGAACCATTGTCTTTATTAAGGAACACTTAAAGAACAATCTTTTTAAGAGATTTTTCAGAGTTTCTGCACAGTTCCCTGGTTAAAATATTAACAGTGTTTAATGTGAAATTAAACGTTGTTAAATAAATGTGAGATTTTTCGTTTTGAGCTGACTGATAACAGGACACCTACGCTGACAAATATTATGTTAAACTCTAGTTATGGTCTATAATTTCTCATAAGCTAAGCACGTTTGTTTTCATGCAGCAGGATGAGTGGGAAGCTAAATTCACATGAAGAATATGTAAGATATATTCATAGTGAAACATGTTTGCTACAGATTCAGTGCTGCTAAACATTCAGTGTGAAACACATTAAGCAGGTTTTGTGCAGGTGTTCGCTCTGTTATGAGCCTCAATATCAAAAGGGCGTTAGTCTAAGTTTAACTGTGAATGCAGTTGAGTGAGGTCAGCTACAGAGTGTTACTGTGTTACTAAAGGCTGAAAATCTAATTCACTGAGATTTTGGGTGACAACCAGGTTAGAAAATCAGAGACCCTTAATTTATTTATTTTCCAGTCAAAACAGCTGTTAAGTACAATTTTTCTTTGAAAAAAAAATAGAGAAAAAATGGGGAAAAAAACATCTAATACTCGAGTTACAGAGCAAATGGGCCTCCTAACAACCACCTGGAAGACATGGTAGAGACCAAAATTGTCCCCATCAGATAAACAGCACTTAAAGCTTTCATCTCTGAGAGGGAGGAGAAAATCCAGCTGCTTCAGATCTGAAAATATCCACAGGAGTTTCTGTCCACCCTTTCCACTGTAAGAAGACAACTCAGCACTATGGGTCTGAAAGGATGTATAGCTGTTCAAGAAGCCTCACTGAGAAAAGGAGACGGACACATCAAACAAAGAAGGTGAACAATGGACTGACCACCTCAGAGTCCAGACCTCAACATCACTGAATGAGTTTGATTACTTCAGAAAATGATGAACCAACTTCTAAGACTGAACTTTGGAGGCGTGTCTGCAGATTTCTTTGAGAAACTGAAAGTGAGTCTCCCGAAAGGAATGAAAACTGTAGTAGAGGTAAAGAGTGACACACTGAACACTCAAACAGCTGAGATTAGATTTAGTTGTTGAGCCTTTTTGTTAAATATTTTTTTCTGTCTCTTTTATCTAACACTGAAAAACTTGTACTTAATTGCTTGTTTGACTGGAAATAAAGTTAATGAAGGGGGGTGAGATGACTTTTTACACAGTGCTATAGGAGAACTTGTAGAGAGGAGAATTACCACTCTGTAATGTCCTCCGGCTTTCTCAAACGCTAGAGGGCGCTGCTGAGCAAGTCCAAAATGAATGGATTAAGATGCAGCATTTAAGCAAAATCATAGTTAATAAGTGCTTAAACATTTTTAATGTAAAAGATTATAATCATTTCCTGAACACTGAACAGCATAAAACATTTTAACGATGCTGGTAGATTTTAGGAGCTTTTAAACTTGAGTTATAGGAGTTTAAAACGGTGCCTCATGTACATTCATGACCTCTGTGAGCGCAAAGAGCCAATGAGCTGCTCCGCTCTCCAACCAATCAGCACTCAGTAGCAGTAGTGCTAGCGTTCTGCTGCCCAAAACCCGTTTGCTGTAGAAAAAAGGAAATAAATAGGTTTTCTTTGCTTTTTTCATGAAATGCACCCTGGTAGAGTGATTAGAAACTGTTTTAACTTCTTGTTTTTAGCCAGTGAGTTCCATTAACTCCCATTCATTGAGGACTCACTCGCAGGCGCCCTCTGTTTTGCAGTTCTGTTTTTGACATAACGGGGGAAATAGGAAGTGGCAAGACTCATGTCATGTGAATATATCATATAATGATCAAATTCTGTTGTGTGTCTCTGTGTTTGCTTGTACAGCCAAAGTGGGGAAGACGTCTCTGATCATGTCTCTGGTCAGCGAGGAATTCCCAGACGTGGTAGGAAAACTACTAACTTAATTTTTTCATCTTTATTCCCTTTTTTTTTTTGTTTTGTTTTGTGTTACTGTGCCTTTAAAATAGATATAAATAATCCCTGATTTTATTGCCAAATCGTTGAACATTGACCATAAAAGGGTACAGAGTATGAAAAAATTAAAGAAGAAAGAAAAATGCTAGGGGAAACAAAAAATGTACATCTGTATTAGGATGCAATACTCAAAGAAAAGGAAATAAATAAATATGAAAAACGAAGTATAAGTCAGATGAAATAATGTATATAGTTTTAACATCTTTTTAATAGTCAGAGGAACTTATGAGCTTTGGATACTGTTTATATTCCTTAATGTAAACTAGATATGAAGGCTTAGAATTTGCCTTCAACACTTATTATAACTTCAGCATGAATGGGCGGAGCTAAACTGCTGTAGGCTAAATAGGTGGATATTCAATACTGTCCAAATGTCTTAGGCACCTAAACACATTGTTTAAACCCTTTATCTGAGCAATGAATGTGTTTATGTTTGTTAAAATCCAGTATTACATCAGAATAGAGTCATGTGAAAAAAGTTTGGCCTGGCACGTATTATGGTACATGTTTTTCTAATATGTTAAACTCAGCAAGTAAACAGAACCTGTGCATTAAGTTTGTTTCTTGTAGAGTTTAATTATTTTCTTCCAATTGAAATATTTTGAGCTAGTTTGAAGAACACAGTGTTTCAATTAATTGGAAACAGGCTATTTACAGCTTAGTTTCCATATGTAGTCTGTATGGATTGGAAAGTAAACAATGCATTTTGAAACCTTTTTTAATGTCTGTAGGTTCCCTACAAGGCTGAAGAGATCACTATCCCGGCCGACGTCACTCCAGAGAGAGTTCCTACACACATAGTCGATTACTCAGGTAGAAAACAATCAGATCAATAACACTTACTGCTGCATTATGAGACCATAAAGGTCTTAAGCAGAACCCTGTAGGTCAGTACTCAACTGTAAGAGATGTTTGTTATTTTTAAATCCATACAGAGGCAGAACAGACAGATGAACAGCTGTATCAGGAGATATCAAAGGTAACACCACTGTTTGAACACTAGTTTATAGCAACAGTGAGAATGAAAACATTACCAAAGTTGTCTCTGTCTGTGTTGACCTGCCGCTGGTAGTTTATATCTATTTGTTTTTCCATTATAGGCTAATGTCATATGCATTGTGTATTCCGTCAATAACAAGAAGTCGATTGAAAAGGTGAGTTAGCATGATGCTAGTCATGTGTGGGCTAACAGGGGTTTCTGTCTGTTTCAGATTAGTATGTTGAAGCATTATAAGCCAACCCTGCTGGAATATCCAGCTTGACCAGCTCATACTGATTACCAGCTTACCAGTTCAAGCTATGTTTTGAGACCTGGTTGGCTGGTTCAACCATTTACCACTTGGCAAGCTGGTCATCCAGCTCAGAGGAGTTCAACAAAGCTAGTCTGGCAGCTCTAACCAGCAGGCCAAGCTGGTTTTCCAGCTTGAAATTTTACACAACGCCAAGCTGGTCATATGGCTCTGAACAGCTTAATAAAAATGGTCAACCAGCTTTTAACCTGCTTGACCAGTTTAGAATCTAAGCAGGGAATGTATGAATGTTTAAATGCTTTTATGTTAATAAATCTCTTTGTGTAAACTTGAGTTGGATCCAGATTTAGTGTTAGTTTGAATGTGGTTAGCATGCTAATGTGCTACTTTGCTAATTTTCATTATATAGTGTTACACTGGTTGGTTGAACCTTCCTTTAAACTCAGCAAAGCAGTGCTAGTATGGCTAAGATGCTAATGTGCAATCTTGCTAAAAAGCAGCCTAAGCTTTTATTGATTGTTAGCATTCCCTGATGGAAAATCCAGCTTGACTAGCTTAAGTTAGAAAATATCTTACCAGTTTAAGCTGTGTTTTAAGACCTGGTTGACCAGTTTGTCCATCTACCAGTTGGTAAAACTGGTCATCCAACAAAGCTGGTCTACCAGCTCTAACCAGCTGACCAAGCTGGTCTCCCAACATCTCTTACATATCCAGCTCGGATCAGCTAACCAGCTAAACCAGCTTCAGAACAGCGTAGAATTTAAGCTGTTTTTTCTGACAGGGTTGTTTGGTGGAACCATCTATGCTTATATGGCTAAGATGCTAATTCTCAGCATTTGTTTTTATTAATTGTTAGTATTTGTTGACTGAACCACTTTGCCAAACAGTGCTAATGTGGCTAATGTTCTTAGCTTTTGTATGTTATAATCATTGGTTGGTCCCTTTTATCGTTTTACATTAGAGTGAATGAGTCTAGGTATTTTTCTTAGAACTGTGTCCAGGTGCAAGAAAATAAATGATAAAAGTTGTACATATTTAGTAGCGTTGGCTGTTCGTAGATGACAAGAAAATCTGAAAGTTGCCGTAAACTGATGGTGTTTTTTTTCCTCCTCCAGGTAACCAGCCACTGGATCCCGCTCATTAATGAGAGAACAGATAAAGATAGTAGGTCAGTGATGGACAGACAGACAAAATGCTCTAAAATACTTCTTTCTCCATTCAATACTCTTTTTTTTTTCTGTGTATTGTAAATAGATGTTTAAAAAATTGTTTCATTGTTCTCAGTAATACTTTTGGATTCTAGTTTAAAATAATAAATTCTAAACTACTAATTATTTTAAAATAGCAACTATTGTATATTAAATAGCAAGTATGCAAAAGAAAGACACTTTAAATACAGAAAAACTAATAAGGGGGGTTCCTCTGGGTTCCTCTGTAGGGTTCCTCTGATCCTGGTGGGGAATAAATCAGACCTGGTGGAGCACAGCAGCATGGAGACCATCCTGCCCATAATGAATAAATACACGGAGATAGAGACGTGTGTGGAGGTACGAGTCTCTCTGTGTTTTCTGCTGACTGACGGGTTTTATGAGATATTGGAATGGCACTCGCACTGAGTTTAAGCTTAGTCTTGAACTAAATTACACTAGTAATGATTTCAGTGTCATGATGGTCCAGTCTTATCCACGAAGGGCCGGTGTGGCTGCAGGTTCTCGTTCCAGTAAACTGTTTTAAGTCAGAGCGAGGCTCACTGATTAAACAACTAAAATCAAGTGAGCCTCAGCCACACCGGTCCATTGTGAATAAGTCTGGCACCCCTGCTCTAGTGGAAACCCTTTTAAGTAAAAAAAAAAACTCAAATCTGCCTCCTGTCCAGTTTCTGGTTCTGGAGACACATTACAGAAACATCCTAGCTCTGAAATCTGTTTAGTCTCCATGACGACTTCAGTACGGACTGAATTTAGGACAGTAGCTATGACAGAATAACCGTCCCTAACTTCATCATCTCATCATTAACTCCAGATAAGAAAACAGTATTACACAAACATCCTAACTAGACTAAACCTCCTAAATACTGTCCTAACTTTAGGATAAACCCCAACAGTGTCCTGACTTCTGTTTAAGTGTCTGTTTCTATTGTTTTTAGGCAGCTGTGTCAGGCAGCATAGTTCACTACTATCATGATGACGCTACGTTTATTTTACTGTAAAACGCTGCTTTCAATGTGAGATGTTTTTCTTTTCTAACTCTGTGTTTTAAAAATCTCAGACACTGCAGACTCAGATCTGCACCGTCCCTATTACCTTTGTGTGTTATTGTTGATGATAAAATATCACAGTGATGGTGGTGAATAATGAGGCGACAGAGCTGAACGTGTGTGTTTATTAGGAGGAATAACAGCAGAGGGCACTCTCACAGTATTTACAACTTGCAGTTTATCACACTTTAGTTTTGAACCTTTTTCACATCTCTGACTGTAGCTGTCTGACTAGCTTACATTCTGAGTGTTATTTTGAAGACATGTTTGTTTCAGCTGTGCACAGAACCACGATTGAGTAGTTTAGGATCTCCTAACTGGAAATAAGATGCTGTAAGATAAGATATTGTTTGTAGATTTGTTTCTGTACATACGTTTCTGAGTTTGTGAAAATCTTAAATCTTATCTTAACCTGTCAGATCTTAACTTAGGACTAAAGATAGGAAGTTTCTGTAATACGGCCGCTGGAGTTTCTAATTGTCACTGGTAGGTGTGGCACTGATCATTTATGTCAACAGTTCGGTTAACAACCAGTAGGGCTGGGCGATAAAACGATGATGATAATTATCGCGATATAACTTTTCCTCGAATAGAGCGATAAGAAAGGTTTGATAAATTTTCAATATAATACATCGTTCTCACACTTCCACGTTCAGCGAAAGCCCTGGTGGCGTTTTCTACTGCAAGGAAAGCGACACTACTCGGCTGTCGCCAGGAGAGGGCGCACGTCCGAGTTTCTGACATGAATAGAGAGGGAGGGGCAACGAGTAAAATCTTTAGCAACGGCTGAAACGCGGAGTTATACATTCCCTTTTTGAGTGGAGCGACCGATGATCTGTTCTCCTGTGACCAAGTGTGAGTGACGAGATCAGTGGCGTAACTATACTGTCCTACAGCGAACTCACCTCTTTACTAACATCCTAACAAGCTTTAGTAGCGTTAAATCACATCTGCTCCTCATAACTAAAGCACTGTTACAGCGCTCAAAAACTCATTTTAGTATTTGTGCATTCCCAAGCAACGAAAGTGAAAGAAAGAAGTGGGTTCATGCAAGTTACAGCCCTGATTTAAACGAAAGTAAACTGAGGAAGCTGTGAGGCATTGGAAAGCGGGAGAGCGCTATCTTTCCAGGCTAACTGTTTTTAGCAGCTGGTAAACTTCAAGCAGCGCTCCAGCACAACACGGTGAATTGATGTTACTGTAGATCAGACAAGACACAACAGCACCGCTTTCAGTTTAAACGTACTTAAGGACTCAGTTTGTCTGGTCTCAGATATATTGTGGTTCACCCCTCAAACCACTACGATAGAATAGAGAAACCCAGTCGTCTGCTAGCTGGTGTCTGAATAGTGTGATATACTCTGATATGGATGTGGTAGGAGTGACGGCAGTAAGGCAGTGTGATCCATCACTGACGTGCCCAGCCAGATAATGTTTGCTGTTCATACTGAGTTGACGTTGTTGACAAACTAAACAGTTTAGCACTGTTGTTGGCCACTTGTTAAGCGTTTGTAACTGGATAGCCTAGCACTTGTCACCAGACAGCTAAAAATCTGTTTTCTTTCTTAAATTATGACTACTACAAGAACTGCGGCTGTGCTTTTCCAGCTGATAAAAACAGCTCACCAGACACTCTCTCCCACTCTCCCATGACAGATTTGTGAAATGTTCCACTGTTTGGTGAGTGTTTGTCGTGTTCCGACCATAAAGGATAGTTTTAAACAACAATTAACCACCCAGGAGCAAAAATCAGCCCTCAAACTTGAAAGAAATAATGATTTGACATTTATCGCGATATGTATCGATATCGAACAATATGAATTTTGTTTATCGTGATCACATTTTTGGCCATATCGCCCATCTCTAACTACCAGTGATTACAAAATCCAGGACCAGAAACTGGATTAAATTTCCAGATTTGAGGATCTCTGCTCTAAGACTTATCTTAAAGTGATAGTTTAACAAAGCCAAAGAAAATACCCCAATAATATCTGCCTGCAGAGCTACAGTTTCACGCTGACAGTTTCACTCCAGCAGATTCAAGCCAGTGGCATTCAGCGCGCTTATTTTGTTTTTTCTTAGCGAGTTTTGGGCTAATCAATATTTCAGTCGTTTTATGTGGGTTTCCAATAAATACATGATAAATTTGCATTAAGCTAACGTTATATTTTAGGCTTTAGGCTGAAACAAACTTTGGTTTGAACGTATATAGAAATTCACAGGGTAAATGTTACATAAACTACAGCTGATGTGGCCTGGGTAAACTAATGGGTTATGTAGACATATAGCTCAGTTAACTTACCCTTAATACGGGGGCTTTGTGTGTACACTTACGTTACATGAGCAGGAATAAAACTTTACCTTGAACAGGCTTAAACTAAGTATAATATTAAGTTTTAGGCTAAAAAAAAAGTTCAGTTTTTGAACGTATCCCTGCTGAAAAATCCCTAGAAGCCACTAAGTGTTTCTTATGGTTTCTGGTGGTTTTGTAGTGTGTTTTGGCTCATGGTTTAACCGGTTACCAGCAGTTGATTCGTATATTGACAGTATCCCTTCCTAAATGGTAATATGCATGGAGACACATACAACCAGCACAAACGGCTGCTGTTGACCTCAGAGACGTTATAAATAAAGAGACCCGACACTGGTTGAAATATGAATGCGATGCTCATAGCCCTCAACTTTTCTATAAGGACTTTGTTTACATGGCACAGTCGTGCTGTCCTACTGCGCATGCATTCCACTAGCCTGAAACCGCTGGAGTGAAACTGTGGGTGTAAATCTACAGCTCTGTGGCTCTGCAGTCAAACCCTTCTTACATACCCAGTGTACCTCTTACTCCAGATGTAGTCAATCAGCCAAGATGTGTGTGAAGTGGTGTGAAGTTTGCTTCTTTAAATTTCGCAGCTACAGAGCTAATGTATCTAACACATACTGTAAGTTTATATTCCACCAATTAGCAAACTGCTAAATCATCAGACATCAGTGTCACTGCTGGGTTGCTAGGTTAAAGGCCGGGCAGTGTGTTTACATCATTATCTGAACAGGAACATTGCTCTCGCTCACATTTCTGCTGTAAGCTCTACTTTCTGTCTGAATAACCTCAAAGCGAACAGTGAATGAAATTCTGCGGTCGAGTTCCTGTAAAGCGCCGTGCTGTGACTGTAACTGTGGTCAGGGTGTGATTTCGGTCTCTGCGCTGAGCAGCAGCGGTGCCAAAAAATACATCTCAATGCCAGTGACATTTTCAGTGTACACTGCATGTATCGTTAGTTTTTCTGAGGGTTGGAACAGACAGCAAAACAGTGCAGCCATATTGTAAAGGGGCACTCCAGCAAAAAATGAAAATCCATCGCTACATCTGTTGTAATCATGCCTCCTCTCATCCTACAGTGGTGCTGCAGTATTCTCTAAAGTCAGAGCTTAAAGCATAGAAAACCCCTTATGTTAGCTGGTGAACAGAGAAGGAAAGCAGACAGCTAATGTTACTGCTACCGGATTTCTTACTACACTGTAACTGTGGTATCTGCCTTCAGTTTAGGGAAATGATTTTGGCAAATTCTTTCGCTGATACCCAACCATTTAGACACAGCACTGCATTTGATCTAAACAAGACTTAAGACTTTATTTAATGAAAGAACGCTGATGAATGTAACAGATTGTAGTCTACTTTACGTTTAACACATTATAGCCCAGGTTAATGAACATATATGGCCTAAACAGGGCTATTTTCTTTTCTTTGGGCATTTTCCCCCCAGTTTTCTCCCTTTCTGTCATGTTCAGTCTCCTCCAATCACACAATACTGCCAGCACAAGGAGGGTGAAGGCTGACATGTGAAGGTCCACCATGTTACATCATCATTGGAGCTCAACACGCTTGCAGGAGGATTATGCTAATTCTATTTCATTAACCAATAGACACCTGCCTTGGCTAGCATTGTGCTGAGTAAAGGAGGAGGGGGAGGACTATTCTACCTACCAGTCCCTTTTACGGATGGCTGTGGCATCACTAGGAATCTAAATCCCAACCTCTCGATTGATGGGGCCAACGCTGCCATGGCTAACAAGCACATTTGTAGGCTTTAGCTTAAGGCTACACTTCACCTAAGCCTCAATTTAACATTTTGACAGAGTCACTTGTAACCTACACTCTCAAAAAAGATGATTTTTCAAAGGTTCTTAAGTAAAGAAAAAGGTTCTATATAGAACCATGAACACACAAAGATCCCTTTTCGTGATTAAACGATTCTTTGCATCATGGAAGAGTTCTTAAGAATGTGCTGTCGATGGTTCTTCTGTTGTTACAGTTTTAGGCTTGTGACAACAGAAGAACCCTTTTGGGTGCTATATAGAACCCTTTTTTAGAAAGATTCTATATAGAACCATCTGCAGCACATTCTCCATCAATCTGAAGAACAGTTTCATAATGCAGAAAACCCTATAATCATGCAAAGGGTTCTGTAAGTGTTCATGGTTTTATATAGAACCTTTTTCTATACTAAAGAACCCTTGAAGAACCCTTTTTTTAAGAGTGAAGCTTAGCATTGTGCTACTGTGGCTGTATCCCTTTATCGGTGGCTCTCGGTTAAAATTCAGTGGAATTTTAAAGCAAACTCCTCCAGCAGCAAGAGCTGAGAGTTGACTCTCAAAATTGCCCACTGCTGCTGATAAGCTGGTAAACACGGTTGCGTGCTGATGACCCCTGTCGTCCTGGTCACTTGGCCGTGTCTCAGACCGGCTAATGAGTAAAGCTGATCTTTCTAATTCAGCAGTTCTGCTAAAACCGCCTCCATTCAGTTAAGTAACAGTGATACGAGGCAGAGATTAGAGACTTTAATCTTACGCTGAGGTCGTTTTAGGGTCTCCTGTTCAGCTACTTCATCTACATCAGGGCAGTAAAGACTCACACATAGATCTCTCATAGTAAGAGTCAATGCAGGATTAGTTTCTGCTTTTAAAGTGACAGTTTGGCCAGTAAAAATTCCAAAATGTAATCAACCCAGACATGCTTGGTGTCTGAAGTTTTCTTCTTTTGTTTTAGCTCTGGAGCTACGAGGCTCACTCTGTAATGGAAGTTTGTACCACCCCAGTTAGCACAGTAACTTCATGCCTAAATCATCACACTCACCTTAAACCGTGTCATAGGCCTGTGTCAGTAACAGGATCTTTTATACTTGTATAAACATGTTTAAATTTAATGGTTAAACAAGGGCTTCACAGTGCATTTACACACATTTTATTCTGGTAATTTTCTCTGAAGTGGACGCATGAGCAAACGCAGAGATAGCGAGTTGGAGCTTAAAGAAATGGTTTGGTACAAAACTGAATTTTAATGACTTTCCATGGTTTCCAAATGTAGATGATGAGCAAACACATGGTTGGTTTCCCACTTTTGTTTCTTTAGTTTAAAACTGGAGCTGCGAGGCTAGCAGTGCTAACAAACACTGGAAGTCAATAGTCACCCAAACCATTTACATGAAATAAATCTACAAATTAAAAAAAATGTTAAACCGGAGGTAAATAAGCTTTTTCCATCGCTGAGGGCTGTTATTACAGTACCTCAGTTAACCAGTGCCGGATACGGGCCTTCCATGTTGAGCTGTTATCGGTGTCTAATAGATGTGATTGTGTGGTTTCTTACACTGTATGACTCACTGTTATATATTAACATGGACTAAAGTACAGAAAAATACATGCGTCAAGATGGCAACTACTGTTTTAGCTATGCAACATGCTTTCTCTACAAATAAATTACAGCAAAATAAGGTTTATTTAATTTGAACATTTTTGTGTTTTTTTTTTTCAACACATTTCAACACTTTTATTACTTTTCTTAGGGAAATTATACCCATTTTTTACAATAATTAAGTATGAATTAGTGGTTGAGAGAAACTGAGTCATTCAGAGTGGTTTAATGTGAAACTCTATTCTAGAGGAACTCAGCAAATCAGGATAGATGGGTGGGCATATGGTTAGACGGATGGTTGGATGGATACATAGATGAATAGATGGATAGACACATGGATAGTTAGATAGACGGATAGATGGATTGATAGATGAATAGATGGGTTGACAGATCGATGGATGGATAGATAGACATAGACGGATGGATGGATGGTTGGATATATATATATATATGTGTGTGTGTATATATATATATAATTATTTCTATGCCCTCTTTTTGCATATTTACATAACATAATTAGACTGTTTCTGCTGCAGAGTGAACTGTTTCTGTACCATCAGCTGCATTTTGGGGCAGATTTCATGGCAGTTTGTCTAATCACAGATTAATCTGTGGTTTTAGACTAAAATCCACTGAAAAGACCTGAGCTTAAACTAAACTGGCTGGAAAATCTTCTACAGATTAGAGAGAGTAAGGGTGAGTCTGCAGGAGATATTCTCCAATAAAGCGGAACCCTGTTGTTCTTTCTGTAAGTCTTTTGTATCCGGTCTAATCTTCCTTTGTGCTCTGTTTAAATTGTATATAAGCTTTGTTTAACCAGAGCCGTCTTTTTGAAATTGAACATCTCATTTCCAGTTGTGTGCTGGCATTGATCTGATTGTTTTCTGCCTGAGTACGTAGTTTAGTTTAGATTATTTTTGCAAATTAAAATTTAAAATTAAAATTCACACAAAGATAACATAATATATAGGGCAGGGAGGGGCACAAACCAAAAAAACTTAAGCTGCTTATATAAAGCCTTCACCGAAATAATATATTATTTTTACAGTGTTATGGAAAATACAAAACGAAATAGAATAAACATGACAAACTTAATATCAATATAACACATAAAACAAAAACATGCAAATGTGTAAGCATATGTGTGTACCGTGTGTATGCACAAAGGTGTCCGTGTGTATATATATATGAAGTTAATAGTTACATATGAGTAAATTTCAAAACATTTTCAAGAACTAAATAAAGTACACTTAAAAACTTTCTCTGAGAAACTGGAAGTGAGTCTCCTGAAAAGAATGGAAGCTGTAATAAAGGTAAATAGTGACACACTGAACACTCAAACAGCTGACAGTAGCTTTAGTTGTTGAGGCTTCCGTGTAGTTTTAGGTCAAATGTGTTTTAAATTATGAATAACTTTTATTAATAGTTGTTTTGACTTGAAGTAAAATAAGTGAAAGTGGTCTCTGATTTTTACACAGTACTTTTCATTTATCTGTCTGACATATTTGGAATGTCTTTTTGAAATTAAGGTCAATTCAAATAGAAATTAATGGTAGTGTGTTCAAATTAAAACATAACACCTCATTTAAAAGGAGTAAATGACGCAGATATCACGTTTTGAATTCAGGTGGGGTGAAATTTAAATTTCTAAATATTCGGAAATGTATATAATCCAAAATGTATTTAGTTGCTCCATCATTTTGACTGAATTTTACATCTTGTTTTTAAACCTGTTTTGTTTGTGTTTCATTATTGTTAATTATTGTTCATGATTCTTGTTTTCAGTGCTCAGCAAAGAATCTAAAGAACATTTCAGAGCTGTTTTATTACGCTCAGAAAGCGGTCTTGCACCCCACCGGACCACTGTACTGCCCTGACCAGAAAGAGGTACTGACCACAATGACGATTTACTTTTGAATACAGCGCTGACACCAAATTCCAGTCCAATTATGTACCTTAAATAAGTTTTTTCAGGTGAAAAGTATGTATTTGTACCTTTTCATAATCTGACGAACAATAAAAATAAAAAGGCTGGAGACGAGACGGGGTGTGTGGAGTCAATATAGCTTAGAAAATATAATTTCAGTGGATTATGGTACAGTTATGTTCCCTCACTAAAGGTACTGAGATGTACCCTTGAGGGTCCCACCCGACTGACAAGAAGGGTACTGCCCCACTTATTTCTGAGAGTCTAGAGATGCTGTTTTATTGTTAAGGAAAGTGTTTGTTCCACTGCAGATGAAGGCTGCGTGTGTCCGAGCGCTCACTCGCATCTTTAAGGTTTCTGATTTGGATAATGATGGAATTCTCAACGATAACGAGCTCAACTTCTTCCAGGTGAGAGTTTGTGGTGTTTGGCATCTTTGTTTATTCCAAAACTGCTGTGTTGTGTTCAGGATGAGGCAATTTCTCCCATATTTAATAATTACTTTGATTAACCAGAGAACATGTTTCAACACGCCGCTGCCTCCTCAAGCTCTGGAGGACGTGAAGAACGTTGTTAGAAAAAATACAACGGACGGAGTTTGTGAGGACGGCCTGACGTTGAAGGGTGAGAGACAGAAAACACACACTTAGACATAAGAAGGTTCACAGCGATATTCAATACATGTGATTAGGGCTGCAGCCATCTACTGTTTTCAGTTTACTCTGTCAGATATTATTTCAAATATTCAGATATTCTTTAAGAGTCAGAGGCTAAGATACATGTTTCACTCTAATGATTAAATAAATACTTACTGATTATTTTTCTAGAATTAAAATTTTATTTCCACACAAAATCAGGTTCACAGGTACAGTTACCTTTGGACATACATACTCATCGTTACCAATGGACATGATAATAAAGAGAAAAAAAGAGAAAAAAAGACAGAAATTGACTGTTTAGGACTGTGTCTCAAGATATTAGTAATTGCCATATTTGCCAGAACTTGTACGTTTTCTGCCCAATCTGGCAACTCTTAGCAGGTTGCTGAGACTGTTTGAGCGCAATGTTTATACAAACAGCCAGCCTCAAAATGAACACATTACTGCTATTATTAAATTCACACACATTCAGAATTACACATTGTGGGGTACAGTATCACAACGCTCAAAGACATATTCATCATGATATTTGTTTTTCTGGGGTTTGATAAGTTGGAACAGTTGTGCCAAATGCTATTAAAAATGATTAATTCAGTGGTTTTTATTCAACATTTCACTGCACTTCACTAAAGCCAATTAAAGAGGACTAATTGCGCTCTCTTTGTAATCAAACACGCAGTTGTTCAGTGATCTTTAAGCATTGGCGAGATCCGCGGTGTGCTCAGAAAGCACAAATTTTGATTGAATTTTTCATCATGATGATAAAATATCGTCATATTGCCCACCCCTAACTACACTGATGTAGATATATTATCTTATACATTTTTTACTTCTCAATACCAATACTGTTCTCACTCTTATACAATATCATAATAATATTATATTATATGATATGATTCTTTTTGATATACCTATAAACGGTTAGGTAATTATCATGATAATAAAGTTTTATATCAGCTCAGCAAGTCAACAAATTGCCCATTACACTCTGTCAGCTTACTTTACATAGCAAATTGCAATATAACCAAAACTAACGTCAGAACTTGCAAATTAAACTCAAACTCTCTAGATCCCATGTGTCAAACTCAAGGCCTACGGGCCAGATCAGGCCCGCCACACGTTCCTTTTCAGCCCGCAAAGGTATTTTCATTTTCTAGTAATATTACTACAGTCCCCAGCATGCACTGCAATGTCATGTGCTTTGACTCTCCTACCCCTACAACAGACTATGGGACAGCAGTTACACCTCAATTCTACACAACTCTGTGCAATTCCACACCAGTCATATCACCAAAATGCATTTCAGCTGCAGTTTAACCTACATAAACGCTTAACATTAGCTCAGCAGCTCAGAAACGGAGCCCAAAGTACTAAACTAAACTAATATGTTTACATAAATGTTAATGAATTTGCTGTGTAAAATAAGTGCACTGTAAACACTTTGATTATATGCCGTGTACAGTTTCTCAAATAAGAAAACAGCATAAGCCTCTCATGTATTGTGCAACAGTAATACTAATTATATGTAATGGAAGTTTAACTGATCTGTTACTTTTTACTTTCATTATTGTTTTTTTTTTTCCCTCCCAGGATTCCTCTTTCTTCACACGCTCTTTATCCAGCGTGGTCGGCATGAGACCACGTGGGCAGTCCTCCGTCGCTTTGGTTACGATGATGACCTGGAGCTGCATCAGGATTACCTCTTCCCTCCGTAAGACCCAGCACCTCTGAGCATTTCTCTCCTTCAGCAGAATGAAATCAGTTAAATGTGTTAGACTCCTCATGCTCTTTGGACCGATGCTATAGAAGAATCACTTTTGGTTTACTAACAAACCTTTTAGTAAATGCTTCTTTAATGCAGTAGTGGTCCACAGGGACCCCCTGATGCTCCACATTGTGTTGAGAATTGGGATTGAGCACAAATGTGTACCATTTGGTGGTGTGGCTGCTGTAAAGAGTCAGTTTTGTAAATGAGATGTAAGAGTTTGAAGAACCTTTTTAAAGAAGCCTAAGCCATGCTCAGTTCCAAGCGTGGACTAGAGGGGTATAAAGCCCCTCAGCATTGGGCTGTGGAGCAGTGGAACTGCGTTCTCTAGAGTGATGAAGATCCATCCTTTGGGATGAGTTGGAGTGATCCAGAACTGACTATCCAAAATCAGTACCTGACCTCGCTAATGCTCAGTCAAATCCTCACAGCAATGTTTCACGATCTAGAAGCCTTTCCAGAAGAGCAGAGGCTGTTACTGCAGCACAAACTCACTATTAACACCCTTCATTTCAGAAGAAACACTGGAATCTACAGACTTTTGGACAGATATGATATGACGTATGATTCAGAATGATATTTACTGGCCTTTTCACTCATGAATCTCTCTCCGCTGACCTCCCTATAGCATCATTCACTGTAGTTTGTTACTTTCATTCTGTAGTGGATGTACAGAAATAATTCCGCCCCTGTAGTACATTTAAATCAAGAGTGGAGAGCAGATAAACATGTTCATATATTCTAGAGTAAGTGTGCTTTAACCTATTGATTGCTTTTGTGGTTTATTTGTGCCTCTGTTTTGCTTCTATTGTTTTGGTAACATATCTTTTACTATTATTTTCACAGAGCAAATGTAAAGTTTCATATGTGAGGTTGACACCAAAGTGTATTTGGTAATCCAGTCTGAGTTTTATCTAGTCCAGCTCTGGTCAAAATAGTGTAAATTTTACTTTCACAGTTTACACATGAGCTCTCAGTCCATTGCTACAGTGCATGGTAGAGCTACAGAGTTGGGTTGAATTTAGTTTCATTTGTTTAGGGCATAATATGCAGTATAATCTATGCAAAGTGCAGTATTTGGTTAAATAAAAGCAGCACCAGCACTCATTTTCTTTTATAGGGCGTAAAGTGGAATGTTAGACGTATGTAAGTTTATGCAGATTTATTTTCATAATACATACATAAACATGCATAAACATGATATATCTATGCACAGTGTGTACAAAAGTATAATGAAATTAAATTTTGTTGAGTGAAATTAAGTGAAGTTTAAGAGGACTGAAGCGCCAACTGTAGACTGTCAAAGAACTGACAAACGACAGCCAAAGGCGTTTATTTGTAAAGTGCTTTTCAAACGCTGCGCTCATTCAAAGTGCTTTACAAATGAGAAAATACAAAGATAATTCAAATTAAGATTTAAGTAACATAAAATTAAAGAGGAAATTGAAAAATGATTTAAAAAAAATTAAAGAATGGATGTTAAAAGAGAGGAAATTACAACCCCATTTCCAAAAAAGTTGGGACGCTGTGCAGAATGTAAATAAAAACAGAATGCAATGATGTGCAAATCATGTAAACCATATTTTTAAATGAAAATAGTAGAAAGACAACATATCAAATGTTGAAACTGCAAAATCTTGTTGTTTTTTTTTCTTTTTAAATATTTGCCCATTTTGATTTTGATGCCAACAACATGTTCCAAAGAAGTTAGGACGGGGGCATGTTTACCACTGTGTTTCATCACCTCTTCTTTTAACAACACACAGTAAGCGTTTGGGAACTGAGGAGACACTGCTGTAGTTTTGAAAGTGAAATGTTTTCCCATTCTTGTTTGATACAGGATTTCAGCTGCTCAACAGTTCGGGGTCTCTTTTGTCATATTTCTTTTTTCATAATGTGGCAAATGTTTTCAGTGGGTGACAGGTCTGGACTGCAGGCAGGCCAGGTTAGCACCCAGACTCTTTTAATACGGAGCAATGGTATTGTAATACATGCAGAATGTGGTTTGTCATTGTCTTGCTGAAATAATCAAACAAAAGAAAAAAGACGTCGTCTGGACGGCAGCATATGTTGCCAGAACATGTATATATCATTCAGCATTAATGGTGCCTTCACAGATGTATCAGTCAACCATGCCATGTGCACTAATGCACCCCTATACCATCATGAATGCCTGCTTTTGAACTGTGCACTGACAACAAGTGGAGTGGTCTTCAGCCCGGAGGACCACAAGACACTTTTCCACGTCGAAATATCGTTTTTAGACATACCGATTTTTTATTCTATTTCAAAAGTGAATCAGAACATTTATTCATTTATTGTTAATCATATTGTTTAAATGTAAATGTAAGTAGTCCTGATATTTTTGTAATATTAAGAAGTTACATTTCATAATCCCAAGTTTGCTTTACATAACAAAGAACACACACACACACACACACACATATACACACACACACACACACAAAAAAGTGTCATTACAGGAGAGGGCAAATAAAGTGCAAATTATATCTAAAAATAGCAGAATCCATTACCTTGAATGCCCAGCTGTTGGCTTTGTTGTGATTTTGTACCACATACTGTAGCCAACATACTGTAATAATCTTAGTGAGATTATTTTTTTCAGCGATGATTTTCATTTCAGGGCATCACCAAATGAATTTCTTAGTAATAGTAATAAATTGTTCCAACCGCCAAACAGTGTAGATTAAGAGTAGTGCTGTTGTAGCCAAGCAATAAAACGGTAAAAGATTCTTTATTACACATAAAGCACAGTGGTTGTTAATAACTAGGTGCATTCATACAGAATTTAACTGATGTGTGCAGTCACATGTATGTAAATCAAGTATTTTACAGTGGATCTGAATGTGGCTCAAACAGTCAGATTTAAAAACCTTCTGTCTGTTTAATAATGTATTGTAAACACTGCTAACAAATGAATCTGGAACAAAATAATGTTCTCTGTGGAGATCAATAGAGTTTTTATCCTAAGATAAAAGACAATGACACAGACAGACAAGGTAATAAGCCCCACCCCCCACCTGCTCCTCTATCTTCATCTTCTCCGTAGGGACCCTTCCATAATCCAGCTATTAATCCGGCTATTCTAATCTAATCTGCTAATCTCCTGTGTTTGTGTTCCTGCAGGTTAAAAATACCTCCCGACTGCAGCACAGAGCTCAACCACAATGCCTCGCTCTTCCTGCAGGGCGTCTTCGATAAACACGACAAGGTAACTGTGGATGGCTTCTGAACTCTCTCACTCATTAAAGTGATGTACGCTTCACGCGCCGCTTCACTGAAACCACACACAAATGTACAGTGAGCCAGTTTATGAGAAACCATGTACAGTACTGTGTGAAATTAATTTGCACTCAAAACAGCCTTTAAGTACAAGTTATTCATTAATTTAGGAGATATTTGTGAGGTAGTTAGATATGAGGTACTCCACTCGCATAAACATGGAGAAAGTCAAAGTGAACATAAGTGAAAAAAACGAAGTTCCCAAAATGTCATTATAACATATAAAAAAAAACATTTGCAAATCAAACAACAAAGCTGAACAATGGACTGACCACTCCAGAGTCCAGATCTTAACATCACTGAATGTGTTTGGGTTACTTCAGAAAGTGATCAACCACCTTCTAAGACTGAACTTTGGAGGTGTGTCTGCAGATTTCTTTGAGAAACTGAAAGTGAGTCTCTTGAAAAGAATGGAAGCTGTAATAAAGGTATCTAAATATTGAGATATCTGATATTATATACTTACAGTAAACATGTACTTAATGGCTGTTTTGATTCAGTGCAGTTGGGCCTGAGCTCTGAGGTGTGTGCTTTTGTTTAATGCCTCTTTGTGTTTGTTTGTTTGTTTATTTTTTGTTTAGGACCGAGACTGCGCGCTGTCCCCAGAGGAGCTTAAGGATCTGTTTGATGTTTTTCCCTACATGCCCTGGGGCCCAGACGTCAACAACACAGTGTGTACCAATGAGCATGGCTGGATCACCTACCAGGGCTTCCTCTCACAGTGGACGTGAGTTTACCTTTAGGAGTGTGTGTCCAGCGCAAGAGCCGTTCACATATCAAATACTTATTGATGGAGGACATTCGCTTTATGCATGTCCAAGTCGATTTTCAGAGAGGCGTTAATAAATTGTGTAGCAGCAGATGCACTACCGGTTGCAGTTATAGACGTACAGTGGTGAACGAAGTACACAAATCATGTACTTGAGTTAAAGTAGAGATAAAATATTACTCAGGTAAAAGTAGAATTCCCCCCTTTAGACCTCCACTTGAGTAAAAGTACAAAAGTATTTGCCAAATGTACTTAAGTATTGAAAGTAAAGGTACTAAAAGATGAATTATGACTCTAATGTCCTATTACCATTTTTGTAACAAGACTCTTGCTTCATGAATTCATTAACTCAAGGTATGTGTTTTTAATAAAGTGGCCAGTGAGTGGAAGCACACAGTGGGTGTTTCTAATAAAGTGGCCAGTGAGTGGAAAAATATGGTAGGTGTTTCTAATAAAGTGGTCAGTGAGTGGAAGCACAAGTCAGGTGTTTCTAATAAAGTGGAATTGCAAGATCTAAAGTCTAAAGTAGATGGTGATTGTAGTGTGGTGATAGTATTATCAGACTCAGTGTAAGAGTGTTGTGTGTGTGTGTGTGTGTGTGTGTGTGTGTGTGTGTGTGTGCGCGCGCACAGGTTAACTACGTACCTGGACGTCCAGCGGTGCCTGGAGTATCTGGGTTACCTTGGTTACTCCATCATTGCAGAGCAGGAGTCCCAGGCTTCTGCCATCACAGGTGAGCCTGTTGCCATGGATACCCACCTCCCACCTGGCAGGCTTGTATGAGAGAAATATTTAACTGAGGCAGTGCTGATGTGGCTTATTTGAACTGGCCACCCCAGAGTCCAGACCTTATCTCTGAATGTGTTTGGGATTACTTGGAGCACAACAAACAGAAAATGCAAAACCAGCTTCTAAGACTGAACCTTAGAAATGTAAAAAAAAATATCTCTGCACATTTCTTCAAAAAACTGAGAGTGAAAAGAGTGTAATAAACGCAAAAGGTGGATACAATAAATACAGACAATTTCCGTGATGTAATTTTCTGTTAAAATATGTTTTCTGCTTTTTCCTGACATTGAAAAATGAATAACTTACTTAATGGTCTTAATGGCTTGCTTAACATACTTAATGGCTGTTTTGACTGGAAATTCAATGAATGAAAGTTGGTCTCTGAGTTTTGTACAGTACTGTACATTTCAAGCATTAATTGGACAGTGAGTGACCGGTTTGTGTTTAGAGTAAAGGGTTTGGGCTGGTAGATTGCTGCTGTGAGTTATACCCAGTTGGTGGTGCTGTTGGATCAGTGGAAGAGACCTACAGTGGGAATGGACTGTGATACTATATTAGGGCAAAAAAAAGCAAGATATCACATTTAATTGGGTTTGTAGGTGTTTTTGAAGTGTGAGTGATCATACTGTGTGTGAACAAGCGTTTGAATGTGTGTAATCAGCTGTGTTTGTTTCTCTCAGTGACTCGGGAAAAGAGTCAGGATCTGCAGAAGAAACAAACTCAGCGCAGCGTGTTCCTCTGTAAGGTGTTTGGGGGGCCCGGCAGTGGGAAGAGTGGGCTCCTGCAAGGTTTCCTCGGACGCAACCTCATGGTCAGAACACACAAACACACACACACACACACACAAGAAAATTATAATTAAACACTGTTTATGTGGTCAATAAGAATTTATTTGCTCAGAAAATTGCTAATTTTACAAACATTGTTAATTCAGTATGTAGTGATTTTATGTATGATAATTAGTTTGTTTATCAATTTCCAGACCTCTCCTTCTGGCAGCCCAGTATTAATTGAATTAAATTCATGAAATAAGATAAAATCCGGAGTGCAAGGGGGCCTCAGCTGTGTCATATATATATATATATATATATATTACTGCTGATATAAGATAAGATATTTTTCCAAGTATTTGGAGCTGCTCATCACATTAAGTGATACCTTTTTTTTTTTTTTTTTTGCATCAGATTTCTCTGTTGTTTTTATTATAGTTGTTGTTTTCTCAGTGTTTGTGTCTCCCACAGCTTCAGAAGATGATCAGAGAAGAACACAAGTCATATTACGCTATCAGCACTGCCCATGTTTATGGTCAAGAGAAATACCTTTTGGTGAGGTTTTCCTTTTCATATCAGTGGAGCAGCCAAGAGCACAATCTTACAGACTGGAATGTGATTTGCTAATTACTTCTCTCAATTATATGTAATAAAATAAAAACCATTGATTTTATCAACTACTACTCACATATTCATCACTGTACTGTACTAATTATTGTAGTAATTCTTATTAATTAAAGTAATGGCCTTTAACCCCTGAAGCTCTTGATGTATTCTTCATTTATTGATCTTAAGGCATATTTAAGTACCGTGAACTGTTCTGGATCTACTATGAAACTCATATCAGTTCTGTAGTTATGAGGGTGATGAACTGAAGTGTGGACCCGGGCACTTGGGCTGTGTTCAGACTGCAGGCAAATCGGGTTTGTTTCTCAAATCGGTTCTTTTTGAGATGTCCCCAGTGTTATTTGCAAGTGATCGGATTGGATTTGTGTGTCCAGACATCACCAGTCTATCTGCCGTGGTAACGAAGTAGGCGTCAATAACTACATAGCTATGCTGGTGATGCAGATGCAAGAGAGATAGAGATGCATCATCTCACTCTCCAAACTCTCTCTGGCATAAACATGAATCTTTGCTGCTGTTCTTGAATCCCAGCACTTTAGTCACACTGGATTGAACATTGTTGTTTGTCATGTTGCGAGTGACACAAAAGACACTTTGAAATTGATTTGAGAGTCCAGAGTGGCTCAGTGTGGAGTCGCATTTCAGATCACCTCCAAATAGGGTTTGGGTCTATTTTTGCAAAAATCTGATTTAAATTTGGTCCAGACCATCAAAAATCAACACAGTCTGGAGACGCCAAAAATCAGATTTGGACTGTCAGTCTGAACAAGGCCTTAGAGCTTAAAGGGTTAAAGACTGTAATGAAATGTTTATTGTGTTTTATGTATTTCCGCACAGCTCCATGAAGTCTTCCCAGATTTTGACTTCCTGTCTGAGTCAGATCTGTCTTGTGACGTTGTGTGCCTGATTTATGATGTCAGTAACCCCTGCTCATTTGAGTACTGCGCTCAGATATTTAAGGTGTGTTGAACATTCGCTAGATACAGCATTCACTTGAGTTCTGTCAGTTCTATAATTTGTGAATGAAAGTTTTTTTTTGTTGCATCATTTTCATAGTGTGTATATATATATATATATATATATATATATATATATATATATATATATATATATATATATATATAAAAATTTTTTATATTTATTTTATTATATTTAAGATACTATATTATATATAAAACACTTACATATTTATTATAAGTAAGTATTATTTATGTTTTATTTGTGTATGCAATTTGATTTTGGTGCATTATAGCCATAGTAAATGTTTGGTTTTTTTGACCTTCTGATGTGGAAAACCTGATTATTTGTTATTATTTATTATATTTAAGTTTTATTATAAAGAACATACTATATTATATTTAAAATGAGTATACAACACTTATATAGTTATTATAAATAAGTATTATTTATTTACTTGTTACATAGTTTAGACATACCGATTTTTCATCCTTTTTTGAAAGTGAATCAGAACAATTTACGTATTGTTTAAACATAAATATAAGAATATGCTCTTAAATTTTGGTATATTAAGAGAAGTATAATTATTATAGATATAATAGACATTATTATTATTATTATTATTATTATTATTATTATTCATACATATTTTAAGTAAATGCACTGATTTTTTTTTATCTCTATTTAAAAAAAATGAAAAAAAAGGATATTTATTTAATTGAATCACAAGATATGAGACCACATATTACTGTCAGCAACTGTCCCTAAAAAGTTAGATAATTTACTCCTGGTTTGTGTTGTTCTCGGTTCTGCAGCAGTACTTTGTGGACAGCAGGGTTCCGTGCATGCTGGTTGCCGCGAAAGCAGACCTGCCAGAGGTTCGACAGCAGTTCAGCCCAAGTCCACTGGACTTCTGCAGGACGTACAGGCTGCCCCCTCCACAGAGCTTCACCTGCAACACCGCCGGCACCCCTAGCAAGGACGTCTTCATCAAACTCGCCACCATGGCCACATACCCGTGAGTGACACACACATTTATACGTATGCAGTCCATCAGTGGTTTGGTGACACTTAGCTTTTTAATACGTTTAATCAAAATGATCATGTTTTCTCTGTCGATTTACAAAAACTAACCATAATTAAAGCATAGTCAGGTTTGTTAGAGGAAAAAATATCACATGTAAATAATTCTACCAATGTTAGTGACCATGTTAGCTTGAGAGTGTTGTTAAAGATAAATATATCCGAAAACCTAAACTTTAGCAGGTTTTTTTCCTTACATCATTGAAAAATAACCATGACGCACACAGACAGATTCACTCACTCATGTTTCACCTCTACGACCTGTCTGGATTCAGTTCCTCTGCGGGCAGCTGGTCAGGTTGGTCAGGGTTTTGTGGGTTTCCGTTTGCTGTGTGATAGTGTCGCTTTCTTAATAACTAGAAAGCTAAAACTGTTTCCAGATGCATCCTGATTAAGCTCATTGATCCAAGGTCAGCTTTATTTCTTTACAGCCTTTATTATCGAGGCCTAAAGAGCAGAACATCCGCACTGTTTATAAATATACCACTGAATGGAGATGTAGAAGTATTCAGCCTTCAGACTCCGTATTTTCTCTATTGTTAATTAGACCCTGCCGAACTGTAATTCTTCAACGACCGATAGCCTCACCCACCCACTTGACAGAGTAAAAAAATGTACAGCTCCTTATCTGAGCCAGATCAATATCAACAGACAACTCACACCTTAGACAGAGGTGAAGGGCTTGCTTTCACACCATAACCATAATGCCCAACATAGCTTGACTTTCACATCATCAACATCAACATGAGAGATGTTTACTGCAAAGTTTCCAAGGAAACTTTTTCAGCAACTAACTGTGGTCTAATGATGTGGTAAGCCAGCCAGGAGAATGTGTGACTTTGAAAGAGGGTTTATTATTAATGAGGAGCTTCAGTCGCAAAGACCACTGGCTATTGTTTCAGTAGGAAAAAAAACTGGAAAAAACTAAAGTGATCTCTGTGTTTAGATCTATGGGAAAGACATAAGTTTGAAATTAAAGTTGAAAGTGCACATTCAGTGTGTGCAATAGTGCAATATGTATGAGAATGTCGATGTAGAACGTAATCAGACCAGCATAAATAGTCCGTCTACAGCTACATAGAGAGGAGTATTATGATAGGGCTGCAGTGTGTAAACTCCTCATTACAAAAGACGAATCACCCACTGAGACTCAAGATCATTGTAACGAGTGATCTGGTCAGATGAGTTATCATTCATCATATTCCCCACAAGTGGGCGAGTGCATGTGTAGCTGCACAGACAACATGAATCCTTGACCCCTACAGCAAATTTCATCCTTCCAGTACACATTGAAACTGATTTGGTGGCTCATGGTGGCCCAACACCTAATATAGTTTAAGACACTTAAAGTGCTGGTTTTTCCTCTAATTTGTCACCCCTTTCTATATCTAGAGCTGAACGATTTGGGGAAAATATCTAATTGCAATTTTTCTTATGTTCTATAAATTAAGATTCAGGCTTTTTTATTGCCAAGAAAACCAGAATATCCACTTTTTCGAGATTAAGGATTCACCCCTGAACTACTGGACAGCCAGTAAATTGTGGTTGTGATGTCACAACACATGGAGTTTTTTTTGCCTCTGATTAATCTAACTCATCTACAGGCAGTTCAAAAGCTCTGTGTTATAAGGTTAAATTTCCCTACTTAAGTTAAGACAGTTTTGATACTGTAGGCTATAATTGAAAAAAAAAATGCAGCTCTTGTGATTTGAAAATTGCACACTTAAATTGCGATTTCGATATAAAAAAGATCTTTCAGCCCTACTTACCGTCAATGTGCTGTGGTTTATACTGTTTAAATGAGTAACGTCTCCCTCATCAGCAATACAGAATGTAGGACTGTTTCAGTGTGATTCTGTGTTTGCACTGATGTAGTTTAGACTCAGGTTGTCTGGCCTGTAGTAATTCTGAAACTACTGACAGCCCAAAACACCATTCGGCAGGGTGGAACACTCCATAGCTGTTTATCTTAGGCTGGCTTCACTGGGGTGAAGGTTTCTTTGTTGTTCATTTCTTTGTTGTTCATTCCAGTTCTTCACTAGTTATTCTTTTCTATATCTATATTATTTTTCTTTCATAATTTTATATTAAAAATCATTTTTAACCTTTGGCTTCCAAATGAATCTGAGCTTTGTGGAAATAGCGAGAGACAAATTAATTATCTATGTAAGTCACAATAACAGCAAGCTAATAAAGAAGCATGAACTCTGGCACCAGCAATCATTTAAACAGCTGTGAACTCTGAACACATCTGGTTACAGTAGCGTTAGCTGTGAGGAGCTTGTGTTTGTTGTCAAGGATCAGAAAACTGAAAAACTACCAACCTCAAGTCAGTCGTCTGGGGGGAGTCTTCTTTTCCAAGTCTTCTACATCCAAGAAACCGTCTGGTGAAAATCAAGTGAAACTATGTTGTTTGATGTCATCACGTGATTGGCTGTTTCGTCAAACTTGTTTTATGAAGTTTGTGAAGAGACGCTTGTGACTGTTGTGGCTAAGTTTCAAGTGAGCTGCAGGACACTATGCAGCTCAAGTGCAATTTAGTTTCTTGCATGTTTCGAGCAACTAAAGTTGAATGAAAGTTTCCCAATGTAAAGCCAGCCTAAACAGTCTCATTGCCTACATCGTGCAGTGTATGATTTCAAACCATTAACAGAGGATAGTGCTGAACTGTGAGCCTGGCATCTCTTCATTGGTCAGTCGTATCTGTCAGTCTACTGCAAGGTTTTTCCTTGTCTCTGTCGCACTGGCTTTGTTCTTTGGGGTTTTAGGTGTGTGAGTAAATATGTAACCATGAGACATGTTGTTTTGGGGTGCGCAATATGACAAAAATATATCATCATACTTCAAGAAATGTTCACGATACATGATATGCATCATGATATTTCTTTTTTTCTGACATCTGATCAGTTAGAATGGACAAAAAAAGAACCAGTGCCACTTGGAAAAACAAAGCACTGTTAAAAAAAAAAAAGATTGTTACTCAACGTTTTACACACTGTGCAGCACTAATTCCAGTTTTTGAAGTACTGATTTCAAAGTGTGCTCAGAATTGACATATTGAGACGTAATTGATCACAGTAGCGATAAATACGTCATGTTGCTCAGCTCTGTGTTGTACTTCTATGAACTTTAGAAATGTAATGTAGGTCATGCTGTGGTGAGTGATGTGGGGCTGTTAGATTCAATGCTTGTGCTTGGTATTATGTCCACCTTGCTGTAATTCTACAACTATTTATAGCCTCACCCAATCAGTTGGCAGTACGGGACAGCTCACTGCTCTTTGTCTAAGACAGATTTCAACCCCTGGCCATAATGCCTACGATTAGAAATACATAAAGACTTGTGCTCGTCTACAGAGAACAGTGCTTCACTGTGGGCTTGACATTTTGTGGCTGTTGTCTCTCAAACTGGCTAATCGTATCTGCAGATCTGTAGATTCAGTCTCTGATACTTGTAGATGTTCACTGTAGAGTTCCTGTGGAAGCCTCTTCAGCGAGAAGCTATGGTCTGACAGTGTATGTGTCTGTGTGTGTTTTGTTTCTCTTTCGCCAGTCATGCTCGTCTGCGCTGTATGTGTACCTGTAACAGGTGCACCTTCTGCCTCTGTCAGAACTTCCTCAACTCAGAACTTCTTCACACGGTCAAAGCCAAACTCTACACGGCCATCTCCAGCAGGTTTCTCCTCTATCTGTCTGAGTTTCATCACTTTATCCATATCCATCCGTCCATCCCTCATCCCAGCATGGCCTTCACCTTTCTGGTTCTTCTTTGAATGGCTTGTACTTCATCTGTTAATAACTGGGTTCATCATTATTCATGCATTAGCCTTCCTTTTACTCAGCTTTAGTCGCTTTTTCATCTCGGTTCACAAGTTCTTCTTTGTTCATTTAGTTTCAATTTCAGTTTATTTACATTGCACATTAAAAAACAAGTGTTGTACAAAGTCCTGCAACAGATTTTCCATCCACTGATTACTGTGACTGAGTGACTGAGAGGATCTTGGAGCAGTATTAGGCATATCTGCTGTATTAGAGGGGGCTGGTTTGCCATTCATAGCTTTAAAAACAAATAATAAAACTTTGTATTATATCCTAAACTGGACAGGAAGCCAGTGAAGACATGAGACAAAATAAAGCATGAAGCATGACTTTTTCAAGTCTGGTAAAGTGTGACCCCTTTTTACATTTTTCTTTGATTGCACTTCATGCGATTGCTTTTAGCTGGAAAAGCTGTTTTTAATTCATTTGTGTGGACCAAATAAAACAGCCTAAAACAACCTAATAACCTAAACTTCAGGTTAAACAAGATGTATCCCAATAGGAGCATATATATGTTAAAACAGTATAGGCCCTAAAATGGAGCCCTGGGGAACTCCAGAACTGATGGTACCCTTCTTCTTTGTTTTTATTTATCTTGAAAGAAACCATTCATATTACTGTTTGTAATGGTATCTGTGATTTCTACACTAAGCCCATTAACAGTTTTACATAAACCACCAGCTGTTAAAGATGAACAACAATCGCAATATTTCAGCATAACATCTGCTTTAGACTGGAACTGAATGTCAAGATGACGGACTCTGGGTCCCTTGAAACAACTCAGTCATGCAGTATGACTGACTAAATAAGACATTGCAAGCTTGTTAATGCTTGTTGATGCTTATTTATATTTATAGCTGTTTATGTCTGCTTATATGTGTAAAGTTTAGTACAGTAGAGCTGATTGTAGTTCAGGAGTTTGGACCAGCCTTTGTTTTCTGGGCTTCAGTCTTTCCTGAGCATCATGGTGGAAGCGTGTTGAGTTTATCTGGTTCCTGACAGCTTTGACTTGCCTTATTTTGCTTGTCATACTGCATGACTGGCTTGTTTCAGTGTTGGTCATGACATCGAGTTCCATTCAGTTCCAGAGTTTGCAGATTAGGTTAGTGGGCTTAGATGCTGTTACAGACAGTAATGTGAATCGTGAAGTCGGTGTTGTGCAGTTTAAAACTAAATAAGAAAGAGTTGGATGAAAAATCAAAGGTTAATGCAGTGAACAAATCAAGGGAGCTTATGAACTAACAGTTAACTATGCAAAATACATGACTAAGAGGTTCTTCAAACATCACCTCTCTTTAAAACTCTTCATTATTTGCCGTAGCAGAATTGTGTCTGTACTTCTGTCCATTTTTGAGGTGTAAGCGTTAATCACTTGTTAACAGCGAAGAAACTATTGCATTAAGTTGAAACTCTAGATATCATTACAAACTTTATTAAGATGTAATTCTGGAGGAGTTTTAGACATTAACTCCGGAAGTAATCAAAGGTCGTATTTCCAAAGATTTTGGAAGACCAAGGTGAGCAGGAGTAGGATTTGTCCGGAAAAATCTGTTCCGAGCAGCACTCCTACTGCAAGAAGCCTAACGTAAACCATTTCAGTGGTTTCTCAGTGTTTTCTCAGTTTCCTCAGGCTTATTTATCTCTGTTTGGCTTCTGTTTTTTAGCATCCAGTCTAAACTTCTCCATTCTTCCTCATGATTACTCGGCCACAGCCTGCAACATGTGATCCTTCAGCCGCTCAGACAATAATAATAATTCTCCCATGATCAGAAGCGGACATTTTTCCGCATGCATTTTCTGTGTGGTCATGCAAAACGGTCTTCCCCTGCTCTGTCTTCTGGAATTTCATCTTTCTTTTCCTTATTTGTGGCTTATCATTAATCATCTGAGCATTATGTCATCCCATATCACTTCGTAACGTCACAACTCGACCACATCTTCATTTTCCTTAATCTTCTCCATTTTTCTACAATGTTATTTTCTTGTTCATTATTATCAGTGCATGTGTTCATATTAATGCCTTTTGTTCTCCTTGTGTTCCTGTTTGCGTAAGTGCCTTTTTAATTTCAGCTTCATTTTATGATGTTTTACTGTGTCAGAGCTGCAATGTTTTGGCATGATAGAGTCCAAAGAGCTACTTCTTGTATTCGTTTAGCATATTTTGAGTTTTGATACTGAACGTCTGATTGCTGGTATTGAAGTTGAGTTTCCGACGTATTTAAAACATTCTGACAGGAAATAAGTGAATTTACGTTAACATTATAATTTATTTGCATGCTTTGCATCCCCGTTTATTATTATCTTTGTTTATTTATGTATAAAATTTGTGTTTACCTAATAATATCACACATAAATCTGCCAAACTGAAACTCCCTCCCTCTCTCTCTCTCTCTCTCTCTCTCTCTCTCTCTCTCTCTCTCTCTCTCTCTCTCTCTCTCCTCTTAGGCACATGTCTCAGGTGGATCTGAAGAGTTCCTCAGTGTGGTTGAGAGTCAGTCTGGGGGCAGCTGTCTTTGCTGTGTTGGGTTTCACTATGTACCGCCTGCTGCTCAAGCCCCGGTGATCACCCAGCGTCATTAAAGCGATAGTTTTACCAAACTATTTCAGCCAAATAAATAGCCAAAACTCACATTTAAATAAATCCCCTCACTTTCCTCAGCCAGCACAGTTTTGGTGTCTGAAATTTGCTTCTTTAGTTTTAGCACTGGAGCTACTTTACATACTGTTTAGACACAATACACGCTAATACAGACAAAAATCATGCTTTTAAAGCAGCTGCTGCCACACACACACACACACACACACACAGTGTTTTTTTAGATAACATGGAGTCATACAGTGTCAGAAACCACACAATCAAATCTATTAGAGATACTGAAGATTACTCCGAGAACAATGCAGATTCACCGTTTCTATCTGTTTCTGATGATCAGGAGAAAACTTTGGTTTAAGTCCAGGACTTTTTAGTGGATTTTAGTCTAATCAGATTAAAATCTGTCTTAAAATGTTTCTGAAATAGTCCAATTATGCCACAATTAGTGATTCCAGTAGTGGTCGACTGATATGAGTCTTTCAAGAGCCGACAACAACAATACAGACCACAAATTACAATAGTACTGCAATTACAGAAATGGCAGATTTATTAAAACAGATCCTTTACAAAGCACTTCAAACCGTTGCTATTCTTCTATCATTTTAATTAAGAAAGCAATAAAACAACGTATCGAGAAAGTGTTGTACCCGCAAAACCTCACTAAAGTGTTGTATCCTGCAGCCTCAATATAGTCCGTGTTTATAGATAGCAGTGAGTCATACAGTGTCAGAAACCACATAATCAAGTCTATTAGAGATTCTGAACATCTCCACATGCTTTGAGGCAAATAATGATATTTGACATGCTGTTAGCACAGTGCTAATTGGTGGGACACATGCTTTCAGTGCTTGTTAGCTACCTTCACAGCTCCAGTGCAGAACTTTATAAAGAATAAAACTTTAGACACCAAACGTGTTGGGTTGGGGTAAGAGGGGAATTTGATTCTGTCTTAGTTGAAGTTTTGGCTGAACTATCGCTTTAACCCTCACTGCACCAGTTTATGTGCTCAAGTCATTCCTGCCTGCCAACACAAACACACTCCATCTCTCATTCACCCACTCAGTCCCTCTCTCACTTAACTGAGAACAGAAAATTGTGATTTGCATTCTATTTTAAAAGTTAACTGATGCCCAGTTTCTATCCAAGTATTAAAAGGGAACTCCACCAATTTTTAAAAATGTATGCATAATTTATTCACTGAGGTGTAAACAGAGAGATTTAGAGTGGTTTGGTGTTAAATGGTTCAGATTTCTTTACAGTGGTGGTGATAGGAACCAGGGGTCACCATGACTACAACACAGATACAGACATTTTATTTACTATCCAAAATCACCAGTGAACCTTCATGTGTCTTCTGAGTTTTATATGGGGAAACGGTGATAAATCTGAAAACAAACATTTTCTTTGGGGACTGTTTTTGCCACACAACACCCTGCATGCATCCCTCCACCATCAGTGGAGTGTAAAATACTTTTTAGGCCCTAAACAATGTCTCAGACATCAGGCAGTGTATTTTTATCTATTTAGCATCTGACTCAGTAAATTTCTCTAGAACGGAGCATTTCACACCAAACCACTCTGAATGACTGTTTACATCTTAGCCATTTATCTAACCAGAGGTTTTGAAAAATTGATGATGTTCACATATGTTACACCTCTATGACAACATTACATAACATCCTGTTTTGGGTGAGAAGCATGAGGATGTGTGTTGAGAGGAAGTGTTGCAAAACTATGACGAAAATGAACAAATTGTAAATATGATCATGTGTATAAAAGGCTATTTATTTGTATCTGTAAATCTACAGAAAAAAGGGAACAAACTTGTTTCCTGGATAAGCTAAGCGACAGGCCAGAGATGCAGCAAATAGCACTATTTTTTTGGGGTTATTTCATCTCATCCTGTCTATAGTTAAAGCATTAATGACCAAACTGAAGGAGAAAAGTTAAAGGAAATCATGTCATAGATTCACTGATCTATAAAGCATTACATGACCTGGTGTTGCTTTTTAAATAATCTGTAGATCTGCAGTGACAGCAGTTAACTTCTCTATTTCAAGATAAAGCTTGACAGGAAAGAAAATTTCCCAATTTCCCTCTTTTACCCCAAATGTAGTCAATTAGCCAAGACATGCTGGGTGTCTGAAGTTTGCTTCTTTAGTTTTAGCCCTGGAGCTACGAGTCTGATTTCGCTAACAAGTAATGGGATCTTATGCCAAATCAATTAGCATGGATTAGCACTCATGTCCCTCAGACTGCATCAAGTTGTTAAAAATCTCAGTGTTGCTTATGTGGTTTCTGACACTTTGATTTACTGTTCTTTGTACAACATTAAAAAGCATATTTTAAAAGTTTGTTCAGTGCTAACTGTGAAGTATTAGCGTAACATTCCTTGTTAGCTACATTAGCCTCGTAGCTTCAGTGGTAGAACTAAAGAACTTCGGACACCAAACATGTCTTGGCTGGTCGACTACGTTTAAGGTAAGAGCGGAAAATGTGAAAATCAGATTTTTTTGCAGCCTTTAAATGATTTTCCTTAGAAGTGGTACAACTATGAGCTGAAAAAGACTACAGTTCCCAGAAGTCTTAGCTGTCTTGGGTGTATCCAAGACCACCTGCATGTTTCAGTTGCCTCCCAGCGTACTACTAGTTAAAGAGCTGTTAGCAGAAACCAGCAGAGGATTGTGTGAAGGTTTATTGTGTGCAGCTCCACAGCACCGCAACACTCGTCACAAAGTTTGATTGTTCCATCTTTTCCAAAGTTTTAAATAAACGGGTCCTGCAAATGGTGACATCAGTTTACTGTCTTTCATTAATTTGTCTCGACTGTGTAGGTCTGTCCTGTGTGAGATGGACAGACCTGTGTCCTGTGTTCTGCCCTGTTTAGTTAAGGTAGCTGGTGTTGCACTTAAATTTCCCATTTTGATCTTAGTAGTAATTAGGTGCCTGTAAAAGAGCCAGTATTAGTATGTTTCATTCCGTGCACAAGACATGAACACGTTAAAAATAACTTTATTTGCATTGCATTTTTCATTTTTCACGTCAAAATGTGCTACAGGCAGACAATACATAATATTCTAAACTGTTACAAGTAACAAGAAGTTTAAAGTAGATTATAGCAATCATAAGAAACCAGAATGGCCTTGAGACAATATGACTAACTACAAAATCCAAGAGAGCTGCTTTTCTACAGTTTACATGCATTTAAAAAGACAATTTTTAAAAAATGATTTACTTTTTTCTATATACATTACAGAATATAAATCTGTTTTAATGCAACAGAAAAAAATTGATTTTTTTTTTTGTTTCCATTTTTTCCAAAAGGTTTTTTTCTGTAATATTCGAAAGAATCTTTCTTTTTATTATATCAGTGCTACAGTGAGTTTACCTGTTTCCCATAAAGGACCCAGAAATTTGACCTGACTTACACTTCACAGCATATATTCATATTAATGCATTACTACAGTTCCTGTATACAGTACATGCTGTTTTGTGGCTGCTAAGGCTGCATTTACATTACAGGCTGTATTGCTCAATTTCTCAGATCCCGAGAACGTTCTGCTTTACTGATGACCACAGTGACCTAAGCATGCACAGATGAGAAAAGAATTTGATCTGACTCTTCCAGTCCGACTCTTCTCATTACAGTTGCAAAGCCATGTAGATACGCATCTGATCAAGGAGCAAATATGAAAATGTCTCCAATCTGATTTTAAAATATTCAGATTTTGTGTTCACACAACACTAAAAGGATCTGTTTCATATTTAGGCAAAAATTCAGATCTGGGCCACTTCAACCCTGTAACATGAAAAGCCTAAAGCACTACTGGAACAGGGTTAGATTTCCCAGTGGAGGCTGTATAATGTAATGTGTGGCACTTAACTGGTCATTTGGTTTGGATAAAGTCTCTGTGTTCCTCCAGATTCCCAAAGATGACGCTGTTACATACCCAATAACAATAATATGCTGCGAGGCCACATCTGTGATCAGTTTTTGTTAGTCCATTAGCGTGAGGTGGATTGGAACATGACTACTATTACTGATCTAATTACAGAAAACCATACGCTCCACAGTTGTTACTGTAAAACTCTACAAATGGCACACACTGCAGATTCATACTGGTAATCTCTTACAGAACCTCCCCAGGTAAAACTAATCCAGCTCCAGAAGGACTTCAGAGATGTTCTGTGCACCATGTTTTTAGATACCACAGTTGTAATACACTGTTATTAAAAAACAATGATATTATAGGCTGTAGGGGTCAAACCCAGGCAAGGGGTCGTAGGGGTTTTCTTTGCGGGGCCTGATGTATTCAGATGTCTCGGTTTCCTCCTGCTCGTTCAGATATGTGCTGAAATGACAGCTGCCTGCTTTTCCGTTCGCTGTTCTCACCCCAGTCATCTCCTCGTAGATGGGAACTGCCTGTGGTTTCGGCTGGCTGGGTGGCCTCTTCTGACAGCAAGAGAGAAGAAGACAACGTTAGGGTGGGGTTCACACATCATGTCTCAGAAGGTGTAAATAAACCAGCAGCCTCTTCAAATCTAACCAGATGTGTGAACACACCCTGCATGTAGCTAAATCACATAAACATGATTTCCTGTGGTGAGATTTCACTCATTCAGCCTGTCCTGCTGTCTCAGTATCTAACTGAGCATTAACAACAGATTCAGACTGAAATAAGAACTGAAAACGGGTCATTCTACCAAAATATGACTGTCTGCTTCCCTCCCAGTCTTTTAGAAAAGAGCACAAAAGATCTCCTTAATATCTCTGTAGTTTTTCCTGGACAACAATGAGATCAGACGGAAAGACAAAAGACCCTGGAGTCTCTCCTGCTGCTCAGATGTTTCTTCTGAGAAAAAGACCCCAATAAGTAGCTCGTTTTAGTAGAGAGCTCAATAAAGTCACACACTGTGCTCAGACATATATATGTCTTATACATATACATGGTAAACATGGTTGCATACATCCCAGTACAATCATGTTGTCTGCTTGCTTTAAAAATATTGAATTATTAAAAAGTGTCAGGAAACAATATTTTCATTTACTGCATGTTTAAATGATTTTATTGCAAAGCAGAGTGCAGGGAAAAATATCTAACTGGACACACACAATTTGAGAAACGTAAGCTATAAAAGCACTGATTTTTACTTTTAGGCTTTCAAATGGCCCCATTTAACCAACACATAAAAATGATGGTTTGTCAAGGGTTCTTTAGTAAATAAAATGGTTCTATATAGAAGCATTACCATTCAAAGAACCTTTTCCATGCCTAAATGCCTATTAATGAAGTGGTTCTTCAGATTGTTGAAGAATGTGCTGTAGATGGTTTTATATAGAACCTTTTTGAAAAGGGTTCTTCTATTGTTATGATGTCAGGCTTGTTACAATAGAAGACCCCTTTTTGGTGCTATATACACATCAATCTGAAGAACCCTTTCACAATACAAAGAATCATTTAATCAAGCAAAGGGTTCTTTGAGTGTTCATGGTTCTATGTACAACCAATTTCTTTACTGAAGAAACCTTGAAGGACCATCTTTTTAAGTGTGAAGTAGTCATACTGACCAGCTGTGGACAAACAGAAGTAAAAACAAACCATTTTGAAGAAGTTTAGGTGAAGTTCCTCACACTGTTGGGTTTTCTACCCACTGTAACCCACTTACCAGAACTCACGCACTACAGACAGACTGAAGTGATACTCACGCACTACAGACAGACTGAAGTGATACTCACGCACTACAGACAGACTGAAGTGATACTCATACACTACAGACAGACTGAAGTGATACACTACAGACAGACTGAAGTGATACTCACGCACTACAGACAGACTAAAGTGATACTCACACTACAGACAGACTGAAGTGATACTCACATACTACAGACAGACTGAAGTAATACTCACATACTACAGACAGACTTGAGTGATACTCATGCAGTAGACAGACCACAGTAATATGCACTACAGACAGACTACAGTGATACATACTACAGACAGACTGCAGTGATTTGCATGCAGTAAAGACGGACTGCAGTGATACGCTCTACAGACAACAATGATACGCACTACAGACTGCAGTGATACGCACTTAAGACAGACTGCAATGATACTCACGCAGTAGACTCCAGCGAGGATCAGCAAACACAGGAACAACAGCACTGCTGCAGCTGATAGAGCGTAGAGCAACGGCTCGTAACTGTAGCAAGTGCACTCCTCAGGAACTGCAACGAAGGAAAAGGTTACAATAACTAAAGGTGTTTACATGCAGTTAATATGCTCACTATTTCATTTGACCATATTTCATCAGATATTTGTGTAGAGCCTTTGACAATGGCTTAACTCAGCTATTCAGGCCAGGAGTGGACATACAGGATGACATACAGGATATTAAAGGATATTAAATTCGCCAGGGGTCGGCAACATGTGGCCCTTTTACTGCCCTGTCGCAGCTCCACAGCAGAGTTAGATTTTTAGGTAAAAATAAAATAATCCTGTTTTGCAGCAAAATGAAGCTCTGCTAATTGTTCTACCATAGTTTTAACAATAAATGGTCTTAAACACTGGAGTTAATGTAGAACTGCTAATTCACCCTTTAACCCTGAAGGCTGGCGTGCAGACTGGTCACCATAGCAACGCAGACAAGATAATCTTGCCTAGCTAGTAGCTGATGAAACAGCAAAGAGAAAGATTTAAGACAAACATTGATAATTTAGAGATGAATGGACTTGTTTGCGTTTATAAGCACTCCGGCTGGTTTCCTGATATGTTTAATCTGCAACGAGAAACTGTCAAACACTTAAACGTCATGAGGCTGAAGTTCGTTTCTCGTTCGGCAGCTTCTTGCATGAATTTTCCCGGTCACTTTAAATAGTGCTTGAGGCGCCAAAATGTAACTGCTGCACCATTTAAGGTGGAACGGGAAAATGCGAACAAGAAGCTGGTGAATAAGAAGCGACTTCAGCCTTGTAAAAAGACGAACGTTGAAAGACATTTAATAAGAAATTGTTCTACTTTTGCAGAACATTTTCCTGCCAGAGATACGAGAAAAGCAGCTATAGCTGAGCTAAAGCTTAAAGCAGAGCAAAGTCTGCTCTTTTGTTTATATTCAATTTTTTACTCTATAGTAGTACATTAGCACAGACTGAGACATATTTACAGCCAAGATGGTAAAATGTACATAAAATGTTGAGGCTCCTAAGGTGGTAGATTTTTGTTGAAAGACAAAATGGCTCTTAAAATTTGAGATATGACCCCTGCCATAGTCTGTAATGCATATATATTACTGCTGTCAGAACAAATCGTTGTATCTCCATTTTTGGTGTTTTTCAGTTTGTGACATAAAATTTCACGATGAATGGACTGACAGAAATGACCCAAAATGACTTGGAAATAAGTCTGGTTCCACTGACTTACATTAAAGGTAAAGTATGTTTTTTCCTCCCCCTGTAAAGTTACTATTTTGGAGATATGAGGTTTCATTCCAACAGCAGAGATAAATATATTTAGGCTTTATTTTTCCCAGTTTTCCCCCAATTTAGTCGTGTCCAGTTCCACCTGCTTGTTAGGTCTCACACTATCACATGATGCTACCAAGCTGAGAGGGTGAAGCCTAGAATTAGCTTCCTCTGAAGTGAGGAAACACGTGAAGCTCCATCACGTATTTGCAAAGTGCCAATAACACAACACCATTGGACAGCTCAACACGCTTGGAGGAGGAGAACTCTTAACTGTTAAATCTGTTATGTCAGCTAACTCTCTTGGAGCGCCTGTGACGGATGGCTGTCGCATCCTGTATATAAAATATTTTATTCCATTCCTAGGTCAAGCATAAATGTCTCAGAGCATGCTGTCCTCATTCAGAAAGACTCTCTGGCCAGTCCACTCTTTACATCTTCCACTGTGGCAAGGCCCTGATCTTGGTATTTGTCAATACTGATGTTCATCCTAGGTGACACCTTCCACTTATCCGTTACTGAAAGTGTGTCATTTTCCACTGCTGTTATCATATTTTGCCTTACTGCCTTCTTAAATGGGGAGATTAATTTGCATATTTCCCAGAAAGGTTCTTTAATGTGCAGTTAGTATTCTCAGTACTGTGTGGGCAGTTTACGTACTTAATACCTCTCACACATACTTGGGGAAATATGGAGCTTGTGGGTGTTTTGAACAGAAATAACCACAACGTGCGAAGTGGAGTATGATCAACTGCCTGATATTCAGAATTTTCAGAATTCATGATGGGGCAATGATTTAGTAACAGTGTATGCCATCTGTCCTTCCTGTTACACCACCACGGCAGCACCACCTGAAAAAGCCAGCAGCCCTTTAAACTGTGTGAAGATTTCATGAAGAGAAAAAGAAAAGATTTAAAATAAAATCTTTTTCTGTTAACATTCATTAAAACCTTCTTAGGACAGTGAAAATACATAAAAATCTCCCTATAACAACATACTAAAGTATAACGTTGCATGCCAGCTAATGTTCAGCGCACCCGTGCATTCGAACTGAGAGAGATAAAGAGATGGAGATAAATGAGAAAGGACAGAGAGAGAAACTGATACAGGCAAACTGTCCACCACAGTTCAGAATCACCCCTGAAAAGATACAGAGAAAAACCCAAAGCCACAGCTGTCTGCAGTCTCAACAAACCAACTTCTGCTTTTCTCTCATCTAGGCCTGTTTATTTGTTTATTAGAAGTACATTCACTTATGTAATGGTACAACTACACAAAGTGGTCACAATGTAAAAGTAACTGACTGACAGTCCACATTCTGAATACGCTATACCCACAGAACGGCACTGTATGTGTAAGCATTTAATTTATGGATTATTACAAAACACTGTTTTACTGGCTTTGAGTGTAATTAGTCTAAATTGAAAAGTCTGTAGCCCAGCGAACACTACACAACTTTCAGGCTGAGCTCCACCAACAAGGATCACATTAAGTTGAGTGTAGAGGTAATCAAGGATTTGTTCATCTAGGATTTATTTAAACTGAGCTCTGTTGCACCATTTATTTTTAAACATGGATTTAAAAATCTGCTGAATCCTTGATATTTTAGGAATTTGGTACCACTTTAAAATAAGGCTACCCTTATACTATTTATGTTCATTTGTGTCAATCATAATTGTTTTATTTATCTAATTTATAGTATGATGTCACTAAAGGTCCCCCAAATAGACCTAGGATACTTACAGCACAGTGAAGTAAGTGTTGCTGCTTCTGTGACTACCAAAAATGCTGTAAAATAAAAGCAAGTCCAAAAACTCCTCAGGAGTTTCCAACAGAACTACAGTGGAATGTGTTGCTTCCCGTTTATGTAGTGGGGGTACTGTGCCAGTGTGCCACAGGAACTTTTACTTTCTTTTTCTGCCTCCACCTCGGGCTAGTTTTGGCCTTGTGCTGTAGTGCTGGGAACCAATTTTCTCCAAATTTCTCCAAGTCTTAAGCAGACTGAAATATTTGCCTGTATTTTGCTTTGTCCTTCTGTACTTGAGTTTCAGCAGAATTAAAGGTGATGCTGCCACCACCATGCTTCAGCAGACTAAGATATTGCCTGTGTTAACTTTGTGCCAAATGTACAACTTGGTGTTTATATAGGACAGCTCTATTCCCCCCTGCAAGGCGACAGGAAGGAAGGTCTGCTGTCTAATAATTGTTAAAGATAATTGTAATAATAGTTGCTGTTGGCCTCACAGAACTTGTTTGACTAATGGTTCCCATAATCAGTTTTAGGGACCCTTTGCTCTACACATTTTTCCTCACCTAAAACCCTGCAGATGAGTAGTTTGTTAATTAGTTAGTTGTTTAACTCAGAAGATGATGAAGTGTGGAGTCCCCAGGACTGACTTTGGGAACACCTAATGTAAGTATTTGTGGTGTATGAAGCTTCTTTCATCTCTTCCATTTCTTTATTAAAGAGCATGTCTGTTTTTAACACAGTGCTGCCCGAGGGCCTGAAGGTCAGCACTAGCCAGTATTGGTTTTAGGCATTGTGCCTGGTGAACAGAGATTTAGTTATGCTTGAATTGTTGTTCTATTTGATTGTGCAGTCTTTCACAGAGTGGTGAACCCCTCCTCATCTTCTGAAAGACTCAGCCTCTCTGAGATGCTCTTTTTATACCCAATCATGTTACTGACCTGTTGCCAATTAAGCTTCAGGTGTTTTTTTAGCCTTACACAACTTTATCAGTGTTTTGTTGCCCCCGTCCCAACTTTTATGGAATGTGTTGCTGACATCAAATTCAAAATGGGCATTAATTTTTCAAAAAACAATAAAATTTCTCGGTTGCGGCATGTGATATGTTGTCTTTGTACTATTTCCAGTGAAATATAGGGTTTAAATGATTTGCGCATCATTGCATTCTGTTTTTATTTACATTGGTGTCCCAGCTTTTTTGGAAACTGGGTTGTACAAACTATTAACCCAAAAGGTATTTTTAGATGTTTTATTCACTATTTGAAGAATTCAGTGAACACAAAGTTATCAAATTATAAACAATATGCTGTAATAATCTACTTGCATTCATTTCATGGTTAACTTATACCTCATATCTTAAGATTCAGTCTGTAATATCCAAATGAATTCTGGATATTAATTTTATTGTAACTGAATTATTAATGCCACACAGCTTTCTTACTCTTTGGCATCTCACTAATGTGAATGTAACAAATTTTTGTTACAGCTCATTAGCAAACTGCATGTTTTAAATGGCTGTATCTGAGGTAAGGTGTATCTAAGGTATAGTCCTTGGATAATAAAGTTTATTCTATTATACTAAAATTAGAAACCTGTGAAATTGTACCAGACCAGCATATCAGAATCATTTTTACACATTTATCTGCAACCAAACTGAGCGTAAGTAACTAATAATTATCCTAATAAAAATCCTTTTGAAATAACACTACGAACACTGATGGACCATTTCTTTAGTTATGTTAGGAGGAATAAGAAGGCGAGCACCATTTGTGGCTAAACGTTATTGTAAAAGGGCATGAAATATGTTTAAAACATGCAAAACTGTCAGAAAAAGAAGAAATTTAAATTTAACTTCTTCTCGCACTCCTGAAACCAAAACTGCTGGTGAATCCTTTTGCGCTTTTACAGTGGTCACTTTAAAGTTGTACAGTGTCTGTCACTAACAGTAAGAGCGTCCATCTGGGAGGAAGTCAAGCCACACTACTGTCTGTAGTAATAAAGAAAGTTATTCATGTATATCTCATCACATTGTAGAAAGAGGAAGGAATCATGCTCTGTGGACTGACCATAAAGAAGCTTAATGTGAGGACAAATATAATAATCAGAGAGCCGACGTAATACTGCACTGAAGAAAGAGCTGCATTGAGTTCACTTGATTCAAACATGTACATCATTTCCAAAAGAATAAGTGATATTACATCTACAGAGTTATTGCCAAAAGTAATAAACAGAAACACTAAACAGTGTTGATTAGGACTGAAAAATGGATCGTTTTTATATCAAAATGGCACTTTGAAATCTGAGCAGCAATATTAATTGTAGCCTATATTATCAACTATGTTGTCTTAGCAAGTTTTCATAATGCCTGTAGATAAGTTAGACCCGTCAAAAGCAAACAAACATCCATGTGCTGTGTACCTAACACAACCACAACTAACCCACCAACCAAGCAAAGTAGGAAAAATAGTGCTGGTCATGCTGACCAAAATAACAGGCCTGTGGTCGCTTGTTTAAAACCTCTGAAGTGGATTAAGGCCTTTTTCTGCTTTACCCTTCAGTGAGCTTCAAAATCTCTTCCAGAAAATGTTCAGTTAAGCGGAAAGTGAAAAATTGGGTTTAGACACAAAGTTTTAGTTTAGTACTTAAATTTCTGACCATTGAAAAAATTTAATTTACAGCTTAAATTTGATACCTTTATACCTTTGTTTTTTACCTTTACAGTTTACAGTCAACACTCAAGGAAGGTCACATTATATTCACATTCACATTACATCATATGATTGAAGGTCACATTACATTCACATTCACATAACATCACATCATGGCAACATTACTTTTGTTGACTTTAAGCAGAGTTTAAACTGATTAGTGACTCAATTCTGGTTTTAAAGATATACAGGATATAGTTGGAAATCTTTTGAAATGTTCTGGACTGTTGAATTCACATTATAACCGATAACGTCATCGATGCTGGAACAAAACCTTTGTTGTTTTTCTTTGACCAAACTTGAACACTAACAGTTTAAATACTCTGATTAAGAGTACACACATTTCTGATTACACATTTCTAGTTCATGGTATAAAAATTCTCTTTTAAGCTACTACCTCGCTTTTTCACAGCATTTTTAAAGATTTTTTTTTGTGGATTATTCGTCCAAAATCAATAACCTTAGACTATGTTAACACTCACTTTCTGAAGTGAATCATGCTCTCCATAAACGCAAATGTGCCACTGTCAAGAGAAAGAGTCAGGATTACTTACTGAAGTCTTCAACGTAGAGAAAAAACTCTGTCTTGCCAGGATAATCCTCAAACTTCTCAAAATCATAGTGGAAGACACAGCGGTACAGGTCAGTGTGGCGCCCCAGCAGGTGCGAGATGTTCACGGTGACTTGGTGACGGCTTGCATTATCCTGCACAACAATCCGGTTCTTGTCTTTCTCATTAAAAATGGAAGGGCTGTTCCCAAAGTGCACATACAGCACTTTTTCAGGTTTCACCAAGTCACGCATCAGAGAAAACGCAAACGGCTTTGCGTTCACATTTGTAGACACACAGGAAAACTCCACAGAGGAATTCCTCTGCTTGCTGAGATACACAACATCACCAAGCCCTGGAGGAAAAAGGGCCAGAATCACTGTTTTATAGGTTACTACAAGCTCTCTCAGTGATTAAGGTCACAAAAGTATCTAAAAGTATTTAAAAAGTATCTGAAAAAGCAACAATATGAAGGCAGCAATTCAGCTGCACTGATTTTGAAATGCTACACACTTAAAAAGATGGTTCTTCAAGGGTTCTGTGGTAAAGAGAATGTTTCTTTGCATCATGAAAGGGTTCTTTAGATTGATGGAAGATATGCTATAGATGGTTCTAAATAGAACCTTTTTGAAAAGGGCTCCACATAGTACCAAAAAGGGTTCTTCTATTCTATTATTCTTCTGTTACAGGAATGGTAGTTCTTCTATAGTGTCAAGCTTGATATCGTAACAGTAGAAGAACCCTTTTTTGGTGTCATATGGGACCCCTTTCAAAAGTGTTCTATATAGAACCATCTACAGCACATTCTCCATCAATCCGAAGAACGTTTCATGATGCAAAGAACCTATAATCATGTTTTTTTGAATGTTCATGGCTCTATGGAAACCATTGACTTTACTAAAGAACCCTTGAAGAACCACGTTTTTAAGAGTGTAGAACTGCCTTGATGTGTGTAGAGTAGCTCATTATATGTAATATAAATGATACACCATATAATCTCAATGATGCACAGACAGTTCTAAACAGAAATGAGCTAAAACAAACTCACCAGCTGTTGAAAATGTGATGACGAGCCACACAGTAAGCAGCGGATTCCTCATGACTGGTTTTTCATTGAAGTCCTTTTCAACTACAGGTGGCCGAATGTGTCCGAGCGATGCCCAGCGCAGGAGGATGATGCAAATGTGAGGCTGCTGGATGTGGTAAGATAGAAAAGAGGATATGAAGAGTGACTCCTGCTTCGGGGTGTTCGAGGTGGGGCCCTACACCAACAGAAACAGGAAATCCTAGTAGGTTTCTTTCACTGGGTCATGCAAAACGTTGCGAAAACCGTTTGACAATTTTGTTGACGACACCGTTTCAGTAGAGAACAACAAGTTGAACGTGATACTACAGTGTTTTAAGGACAGTCACAAAACCAAAGCAGCGCCTGAGACGGCCTCCGTTACACTGCAAACTGCAGTTTCACTAAAAAAAATAAAGTGTCATTTCAGGCAGTTTGTGTTTTTGAATGCAAAAAGCCAAGAAAGCACTACTAAAATGTTAATAAGTTTACCAACAGTGAATCTAAGAAAGAGGAGCGAAAGTGCAGCTTTTAAAAATTCATATTTCCCAACACTAATTGTTCTTTTGTTCAGTACAAGTGGTTTGCATCACTGGAGATTACAACAAATATACAATTTCACTTCCCAATTTCAAAATCTTACATATTGCGCAGCTTATACAATTTACTCAGTGATAAAGTGCTTTTTTAAAACAGATCTGGGATCAGTATGAGAGTCTCTCATCTCCGTGCATTAAAACTGGGCTTAGCTGTTAGCTAGAACCGCTCCTGTATCAGCAGACACAGGTGATGTGAGGTGGTGGCGGATGTGCTGCTGGTTATCTCCTGTGGGTTCATACTCCAAAAAAAAAAAAAAAAAAACAAAAAAAAACAGCTTTTTACAGTTTCGTCTACAGTTCAGTGCACAAAGCATTGAAGTCTAGATTGAATTACAAAACTTCTAGCTGCAAAATAAACAGGATCACTTCTATTTATTCTTCTGATGTTTAAAAAATTAATAAAACCTAAACTACATTAAAAGCACTGACTTCACAAATACTGAACCACATCCAGTATCTTACAAACAGCCTGTAAAACCACTATGTTTAAGTGTTAATCTGGTGTCTTGTGTCTTATCAACCTTGAGACCTGACTAGTGGCTCAGAGCAGAGTAAGACTACGCTGAGTAAGTTCTAACACTACTGAGAAAGACACCGTTTGGTAGAAAATGAAATGTAAGCCACACAGCTGTGCACTCAGCGCAGATATTTGGTTGGGGTGTATATTGTGTTTGACTGCTGACGTACTCTATAATCTCTCCAATTCAGTCTAGTTCATTAGATTTGTCAGTTTGTGTTCTGGTCATTCTCTGGAACAAAAATGTTACAATGTTTTTGTTTATGTTTGTCCAGTCGATGCCCTCTGTCCTTTAGAACAGAAGTTCCCAACCTTTTCTGACTGGTGGCTCACACAACTGACCACAAAAGCTTTCTCGGCCCAATGGATTTAACGAGCCAGATCATTTAATGTGCAAACAAATCTAATACATGCTTTTATATATTTGAAATACATTGCAAACACTAAAATGTATTTCAGAATATTTTGCCATATTAACCAAATATATTTCAAACTGCATTTATTTTAAAATGTATGGGGAAATATCACACATAGAATGTACCATAAAAAAATTAACGTATGTAAATGTATTGTAAATGTATTTTTTAGAAATGTATGAAAATAGTCAAAATCCTGTCTAATGCACTTTACTGTCTGATACCTTTTGAAATAAAATTGTATTCCAGTATGTTAATTTTAAATATTAGCAAATGATCCTTTAACATGACAAAAGTGCTGTAATATGATTTTTCAAATGGTGAAAATGTGACATTATTTTATTCACGTTGTTTGGTATTTGTGAACTTTCTCCAGTAACAGCTTTTGTTTGTCCTCTGCTTTCTCACAGATGCTGTTAGCATCTCCAAAATGAGCTCAAACTGAGTTACAAACATCTGACTGGAAACTCTTGTAAAGCTTCAGCTCCTGAATGAGGTGGTGAAGCTCTGCCTGCTCCTTTCACTTCTCCAAAATGGAAAGAAGCCCCTCAATGTCAGTTTGCTCTTTTTATGAGAAGCAAAGGAGATCTTGGTCACCTGAAGACACTCTGAGCATTTGTTTGTTTTTGTTTCAGTGATAAGTCTCGGTGCTCGCTGCTGTATTTTGTCTTAAGCCTGAGATACAGTGGCTTTCTCACTTGGTTAGTGGTCCAGCTTCGGGGTCTTTCCTTTTGAAAATCCCTGTTTGTAACCATTTGTCCATGATGGATGAATTCCACACGAACGAAAAGAGCAACGTTTTACTTTGACCTGCACTGAAAATGTAAACTAAGCAGACATTTTGGCAGACAAATGACTGTGGCTGACCTATATTGTTCTATTTTTGCAAATAATTAGTCATGTTTAAAATAACATTTGGTTAAATGTTTACATATCGTAAATAACATAAAAATCGCAACTTGAAAAGAATAACAGCTGTGGTCCCCTAGCAGTACCACTGTGGCCCACAGGTTAAAAACGACTGCTTTAGGAGGTTTGTGTTTGTCTGGTATTCTGGTCTGCTGGTTAGTATTAGACACTGTTATGACTTCTGGTCATAATATACCTTTTGTGTGCCTTGTGCTGGCATTCTGTGTGTTTTCCCTGTTGTGTGTCCCCTTATGTGCAGGCACATGATTGGCCACACAGTTGTGCACTGATGTATGAGAGGTGGCCAAGCCACCATCTTGTGAGATGTTCAGGGCTTTCTTTCCTGGAAGATCACCTGCCCAGACCAGCCCGACACTCTTTACAACACTTCGCTTTGCTTTGCTTGTAAAATTTGTGAAAACATTATTAGATACTGTAAAGCTCTTTGTAAAGATTTGGAAAGTAGGGGACGAGTGCTACTGTTCCTCCTTGTTTTGAAGCAGGGAGCTGGGGTAGCCTATTGTACTTCTGTTTCATTTTGTTTTCAGGTTAGTTAGTTAGGTTTGTAATCATTAGTTGTTCTGTTTGTTATTTTGACATATGCTCACCCATAAAGCCATCAACCCAACCTATGTTTGAGCCCTTGAAGTAAATAAACCTGCCATTTTCTGACTCCCATGGTGTCTGGTTTCTGGTCTGGCAGCAGGTCTGGAGAGAGGGCCCACTTTCATTGTTACGGCCTGACCCTAGACCGGGTCGTAACAGGCACACAGTCTGCAAGACGCTAATTGGTGAGGTTTAAGCTTTTATTACTTGTTAGCTACTTAACCCTCAACGATTAGTGAAAAGGAAAAAAATCCACATAGCTGTAAACTTATTTAACCTTTAAATGACGTAAACAGTGTGGCTAAGTGTGCGTGCTACTCTTCAGTTCAGCTACATAAGTTTGAGGTTGATTCTTCTCACGCAGACCACTCTCATCCTCTTTACTGAAACACGTAAAAAGACCACAGAAACACAGACACTCACGCAAACACGCTGATATTGCAGTATTCTTACATCTACTGACTGATTAACTCCTAACAAAACAATAAATTCACTGTGTCATAAAGCAGTTTAGTGAATAAAACAGTTAAGTTGGTAAAGTCTGCTTACTTCATCAAACAGTATGTATAGAGATGTATAGAAATTGTATGAAGTGTTCAAATAAATATTAACAACAATAATTCAGGAAGATTTAGTCCTAATTCATCAACATCAGCAAATATGTACTTGAAAAATATCAGATATCTGCATCTGACTGTAATTCCTATGTTGGTCCATCCATAGTTAATATTAGTAAAACCACCACTGATACATTGTTCTGGACCACACACTGCCAGCTACTGCACATTAGCATATAAGTGTATAAGTATGTGTGCAGTATGTCTGAATCTGCCCATATGGAAAAAAATATGTTGCAAATGTATTTATCAAATAAATTTTGCTATGTATGAAAGTGGCCAAAATATATGTATTAAAAATATATTTATAAAATGCATTTATTTGTTTGTGTTATTATATGTGTTCAGTTGTGTGTAGTTGCAATAAAGGTTACAGATGGAACTAAACAGTACTGACTTCTTTGTTCTGCATTGTACCTTACATTAACCATGTACGTATGCCTTAAGACACTCACTTGTAGTTCAAATAAACAAGATACCAAATCATAACTGCTTTTTTACAGAGTATCAATACCTACAACACTCGCTTTTGTCATGTTAAAGGTTCATTAGATCATATTTGAAATTAAGATACTGAAATACAAATTCATTTCAAAAGGTATCAAACAGTGAAGTGCATTAAACAGGATTTTTGGCTGTTTCCATACATTTTCAAATGGATTTGAAAAACACATTAATATAAATTTATTTTTGTATGGTACATTTCTATGTGTAATATTTCCCCAAACATTTTAAAATAAATCAATTATAAAATATTTGGTTAATATGACAAAATATTCTGAATTACATTTTAGTGCTTGGAATGTATTTTAGCACTGACTGCAGTGTACTAGTTGTACAGAAATTTTCCATATGGGTGAGAAAAAAGAGACACTTTGCTTTAGTGAGTCAATGCAGAAGTGGTTAAAACAAAAAAGTAGAACTAGAAATGTAGAACTAGATTGGAGGATTTCTGAACAACTTTACAAACCGTGTCTGATACTTGAATCTGTGCACTTCCACAATTAGCATTTTCAAGACTGCCACTGATGCTGATAGGCAGGGTGGTCTTTGCAATGAGCAAAGACAGGCAGCAGCGGAGGACCGTCATGAAATTACAAATTATACATATTGTACGTGTTGATGTTAAAATTCTATTCCTATTTATATACAACCCCATTTCCAAAAAAGTTGAGACGCTGTGCAAAATGTAAATAAAAACAGGGTGCAATGATATGCAAATCACACAGCGTCCATGATTTCCAAAAATAATTTCAAATGTCGATTCGTCAGATCAAAGTACACTTTTCCACTTCCCCACAGTCCATTTTAAATGAGCTCAGGCCCAGAGAAGATGGCAGCGTTTCTGGATCCTCCTGTTTATATACGGTTTCATCTTTGTGTTTTAGAGTTTTAACTTGCATTTGTGGATGCAGTGACTGTTTTCACAGACAGTGGTTTTCAGAAGTTTTCCTGAGCCTATGCAGTGATTTCCACTACAGAATCAGGTCTGTTTTTAATGCAATGCCCA